TTCATTTTTGGTTAAATTTGGTAAGTTCTGCTTTACTTTGCCTTAAGAGTTCAAAAATATAGGAAATACTTGAAAATATTCAACAATGCCATTGTTTATATGATTAACTGGCAGGCTACAAAAATGCCCATTCATCATTAACCATCTGATCATAGTCAATTATCAATCAGGTTGCTTAAATTTTGAAATAGGAATTCCAAGAGCTTGGCCTTTTTAAGACAAGACAAAAGGAGCCTAAAAAAAGTAAGAACTAAAGCTCCACTTGTGTAAATATCTTCCTCATGTACTCTTGATTCTCCAGCAATATTGGTGGCTTAATGTTCATGTTCATTTAAAAAAAAAAAGAAATTGTTAGAAAGACAACTGTCTTGTAGTAGTAGTTCATCTACAAATATAAAATGTACAGCTTCAAACCATAAATTATGATTTAAAATTAGTTAGATAGAATTTACTATCAGTCATGAGAAAATTATTCAAAGCTTCAAGGTATAGATATGCCGATATGTTTGGGAAATCCAAATGCACACATATATCCATATATATGTACATGGATGACATGTAGGAATTTGGGTATCTTACCTAGTATGGATGTCCAATAAAAGAATAGTTAATAGGAGTCAACAGAAAGACAAAATGGCTTACCATGGAAATCTTGACAGGGTCATCAGTCAAAGGTGTGCTTTACTTTTTCAGAGGACCTGAGCTAGATTCCTAGCACCCACTTCAGGTGCCTTACAACTGCCTGCAAATCCAGCTCCTAGGGGATCTATCATCTCTAGCCACACACCCAAAATATGGAGTAAGTGAGGTATTTATTCAAGATATAAAATGATCACAATTCCATTCTGGTGAAAATGTCTCTAATACAAATGTAAATAAAACCAATGGCTCTTGATCTCTTAAGAATACATCAGTCCTGTTTGCTCTCAAACCAATTTTTCATTTTCCAGGACTCTTTATGGTAGGAAGCCAGACTTCAAACAGGCAAAGTTACCCTACTCACCTGTCAGCTAACTTCTGGTTAAGTTTGCTAAAATGGCAAGAGCCTGTTCAGGTTGGAATTCAAGAGGAAGAAGCCAAATTCCCTGATTGCCTCAAGAATCTCTTCTCTGCCCATAGCTCCCTTATCAGACAAGTCTTTAGTTTCATCTTCCCACACAGTAAGTAGCCTCTGGGTTGCATTATATGCCTTGTCTCCTGGATTAGCATGGTTTCCTGCTGTGCTAACTAACCTATAAATTGCCTCACATAAGCTGTTCAGCTTCTTAGCTTTTGTATCACTGGTGTAACCAATTCCTTCATTAAATCCTACCACATTAAACATACAACTTAGTTTCTGGTTTCTTTTCTGAATGGATGCCAACTCATACAGAAAGTAACCTACTTAAGAAATTAAGAAAATCTGAACCCTTTAACCAGAAAGTACTCCTTTTACACACAGAACTTTTTTAGCATTTTGTAGGTTCCTAAGAACTCTTCAAGCTTGACTACAATATAAAGAAATACTGAATAAGAAAGTTTCAGTTTAGGAAGAAGGAAAAATTTTAGAGGTGGATGGTAGGGATGGTTGCAGTATGTAACTAATACTAAAGTACTATAAGTTTAAAAACTGCTGAAATGACCAATTTTGTTATGTGTTTCATATATATATATATATACATATATATATATATATATATATATATATATATATATATAATAAAACCCTTTACCCACCAACACAACTACTTTAATAGGATGCTGGAGATATTACCAACTTTTTGCTATCACATTTGACTTGAACCTTTATTAGGAAGGCAAGTGGTCTGATGCAGCCTACTGAAAATAAAAACAGGCCTAGGTAGGAAGACAAGCAGAATGAGCTCCACAGAGCACTTCCTATGACACATTAGTAAAAGCCAATTGAAGGCCTAGAGGCAGTAAGCAACAGTCTGACGTATCTAGGTCGCTACAATATTTTTTAAAGATCCATTAAGACAAGAAATAGCTGGCTATGGCTGAGCAGAGAGCAATGAGATTAGTATAGTAAGCTAAAGAATTAGGGGAAAATGAATTAGTAAAATAGTTAAGTACTAAGTGGTTTTACAAGTAAATCTATCTTGTAAGTGACACAGGGTACTGGACAATGCGAGATGGGGTTCAGAAAAAAAAAATGTTTTGGTGTTAAAGAGTTTAAAAAACAACAGAAGAGTGAATGCTAAGTTAAGAAAAATTACCTTTCTCCTTATACTTAGAAACTGGCAGTGTTTGGAACATGCCAAGAAACAAGCAAACAAAAAAACCACAAGGGATTGAAAGAGGGGCTAAAGATGGTACAGGGGTGGGAGGAGTGGGGGGGGGGTAAAATAGAAGAATCCTGACCAAGCAATAAAACTGTTGACATAAGTTTACATGTGCATAAAAGATAACGAAACCACAAAATTGAGAGTAATGGGAAGATTTTCTGGTATACCAAAAGCATTTCAATTCTTAGAACATGTGGTAGAACCTGAATGCTTCAGGAAGATTTGAAAATAGAGTACACATGAATTGCGAGTATATAGAAAGAAATCACAATTCCAAAACAGAATGGAAGGCATGCTGGAATTCATGGTACTGAAAATGGAATCTGAATAACAAAGATGGTTTTAAGGATGAAAAGCAACAACTTGAGTTTCTAGCCCCCAAGAGAAAAATAGTCAGTAAACAGCTTATTAGTGGGGGAGAAGCATTAATTACTCCAATTAGAAAACCCTGTTATTTCCTTAAGGTTTTCTTAACAAGGCAGGACTTTCCCTTCAGGGATACACTGACTGTGTAGAGGTGTCTTTCCCTTTTTACAGCTGGGAATGAAGGGGGAATGGAGGTCCTAAAAAGGATGTAGTGGAGGAGAAATCATGGTTGATGCTAAACATTTCATAAAATATGAACACAGAAGGACTCATAATTATCGACTTCACAATGTTTATATTGCCAAACTTGATGCCCCACCACCACAGTGTTTCTGAGTAGCCCTCACTCTTCTGGAACTCCCTCTGTAGACTAGACTGGACTCGAATTCACAGAGATCTGCCTGCCTCTGCTTTCCAAGTGCTGGGATTAAAGGCATACACCACCACTGCTAGAGGGTTGAGGGGAAAAAAAAAATTAAGACTATGATCCCGGAATTTTGTATGATTTGCCAGATTGCTAAAAGTCACAATTCTTATCCAAACAATACACACAGAGGGAAAAAAAATTAATGCTTTTCATATGGCCCTAATAGATTTAAAAATTACAAGATAGCCAACTTTAAAAATGTCACAGGTAGAAACTACTCAATTCTGATAAAGCAGGAAAAAATTAGAAATTCCAAACAGTTTTAGTGTTTAAGGTTCTCCAAAAATGGACGTTGAAACCATTTAGAGCCCCTCAATATTTTCTGCCAAACGTGCTTATCAAAAACCCCATGAAATTTTTTTAAAGAGCTAAAAAAGGAGTTTATGTAGAATGGGGAGGGGGAAGGGAAGAGCATAGAGGCACCAGGAACAGGAGAGGGGGAGAGGAAGGGAGAGAGGGAGAGGGAGAGGGAGAGAGAGAGAGAGAGAGACAGGGAGAGGGAGAGAGAGAGAGACAGAGAGAGAGAGAGAGCGCCCCCATGAAATTTTCAATCCATTCTTTTTTTTTTTTATTTTTTGACAACACTGGACACAAAACAAATGTTAGCAACGGTTGTTGAAAGTAGGGATGGATTTACCATACTTGTACCAATTTCTTCTAGAGATGTCGCAAATAATGTTTCAAAGTCACTGCCCAATTTTGAGCCTAAGAGGTTCTTCTTCCCAGCAGTACAATTCCTTTTATTCTTTTGGAGGACAAACAACGAAAACTGTCTTACAATATACCCCGACCGACCGGTGGGCTATGAACTAGCCCTTTTCAAAAATGGAGGAAAAACTAGGACTAGAACGTGTGCAGTCGTCATACCCTCCCCCCGAAATATTTGCTCAAGAACGTGAAAAACTGCCATTTTTAAAATATGCAACTGGCATTTCAAGCCCCTTTGGTAAGGAGTATGGAAACCTTGTGTCCCAAATTCCTAATGCTAAAAGCGAGTTATGGGTAAGGGCACGGGAGTCTGCACAAAGCTGGGCGGATGGGGAAGCCCTTCTTTTTGGTTTTTCTTTTCCTTTTTTCGGTCCCAGCTCTGACAAGGGAGAGGGTGAAGGACACCCAGCCCTGTCCATCACGTAGACGACACTCTTTCAAGGGTCGTAGAGGGCCTGGCTCTGCCTCGGAATCCAGGCCCCAGGTGTCTCACGCCGAGCCTCTCCCTTTGGCTGCCCCCTCGTCACGCAGCTTAAGGAGAGGAGCATCCACACACCACGGGGTCACAAAAGCCTAAAGCCTCCGAGGGACCGAGCGCCTCCGCCAGTCTGAACTTGGACCCTTGGGGGCGACCCCCCAAAGCGTCCCCACCCTAAGCAACTAACGCCCGGCCCCCAGTCTTTCCGTCCTCTCAGCCCAGTCCGATCCCCCGCCCTCCCGGGAAGGCACTTACCCAACACCAGCCTGGCTACATCCGAGGGTAACAGCATGATCCGAACTGCACAGGGAGCCGCCTAAAGGTAGGAGAGTCAACCCAAAGCAGACACCGCGACAGCCCCGGCGCCGCCGCATCTCCCGGTCCCAGTGGCGGTACTGAACCCGCGGCAATTTGTCCCGCCTCTTTCCTTACACACCAACCAATCACTTCCGCGGGAGGCAGAAAGGCGCCGAAACGAAACCCGCCTCCGTTCTCCTCCGAACTGTCGTCATTTCCGCCCGCGGAGAAGTGGGGCTAGAGAGGACCCGGTGGCCCTGTGTGGGAGCATCAGCCTCTGGGCGGAGTCGCCCGCGCGAGGTCGCTCCTCATTGGCGCGCCGTGCGCAGGCGCGTTTCCTCAGACTGGGTGAATGTTTTGAGGGGAGCGAATGTTTTGAGTTAGGGAGCGCGTGATCGCTGCGCGCACGCGCACACCGGGTAGCGAGCGACTCCTTTGGGGAGCCCACGCAGTGCGAAGTTGCTGCTTTTGGACCGGAAGCGGGGAGGCGTGCGTCGGCAGCCAGGTGCGTGATCCGCGGACGCGGGAAAAGAAGAAGCAACCTGGATTTGCTTTGGCAGATAAAATGCAACGGTAGGAGCGTGGAACGAACGCGGGGCTTCTGTGAGGGAAAGTTCTCGCCACACCCCATCTTTTCTCGGTTCCGGAATGGTTCTGGACGCCTCTTCATCTTTCTCGGGCGCCTGTGATTCTCTTTCTCTCTGTGGAGTGGAGTGAGCCTGAACCTTCTCTTCTATGCGTCCCCCTTTCCTGCCTGTCACTTTAAGGGTTCTAATTTTTCTAAGAGAATACTCATTTTTTTAAATCTCACATTTTAGTCACAGACCATTTATTTATACCTAAGCTACAGGTCCGTATAAACAAAGTAAAGCACAGGTTCGTGGTTAAGAGTGTGGGCTCAAAAAAAAAAAAAAAAAAAAAAAAAGCATGGACTCGGAAATTAGTCTGAGTTCGAATTCGCATTTTCAGTTGCATGCCATGTGCTGTCTTTAGGAAGATTTGTGGCAGCCCCTAAGAGTTAACTGCTGGTTCTCCGACCCCCTCCCCACCTGTCATAGATAACTAGCTAATTTTCAAAGCGACGATGTGGTGGGGGAGCACCGTGTTAGGCGAGGAGGGACTGATTCTGTGGAAATTGAGCAAAATTGAGCCTGATTTGCTGCTAGACTTCCCCAAGTGAAAATTGTTCTGCAAGGTGGTAGCGAACTGTTCAGACAGAAGGAAATGCAAGGAAAGGCACAACGCATAGAAAGGTTTCTGAAGCTCCAGAGCGAACTCTGATTGAGTAATAATAGATTTTGCACGTTTTCAGTATGTTGAAGCCACAGGGAAGGATAAGAACAAAAAACCCCTAGCCAAATATATTTATGAAGCGATTCTAAGGGAAGTAATAATAGAATGGCCGTTACTCTGAACATTAGCTCTGTGTGTGTGTGTGTGTGTGAGAGAGAGAGAGAGAGAGAGAGAGAGAGAGAGAGCGCGAGAGCGAGAGCTAGAGCGAGAGAGAGAGAGAGACTCACTTGAGAAAACAGTTTACAGGTTTGAGAGGTTAACCCAATGCAATCCAGGTTGGATAACTGTTAATTAATTGACTGGTTTTGAACTGCAATAATACAACTTGACTGTAGAGCCCGCTCTTGCAACCGAAGCTAGCCATGAACTCACAATCTTGCTGCCTAAGCCTCCCCCCAGGCCTGGGAATATAGATAGATGTATGGTGCCATTCCTGGCTGAGCTCTACCATTAGTTGAAAATGGTGTGCCAGAAGTGGGATTATTTATGAGAAGGTGACTATAATTATCATTGCCAATTTTGTAAATACTTGGTTGAAATTAAGATTGGATTTGTCAATTCAGGGATTTTGCTTTTTTTTTCAATTGAATGGAGTTGAAGCAGCTATCTTTTTAGTATCTGAATAGTGTGTTTACTTTATTGCTCTCTTTCTCTAGTTGAATAGCTTTAGTTCTGCCACCCACGATTATTTTTTTTAAACATGGAACATTTCATGAATTTGTGCATCGTCTCTGCATGATTGTTTCAGTTTTACTGTGTGTGCTGTGGAATCTAGCACAATTCTGTCTTTCAGTTCCTTTAACGTGCTCTTTTTCCATTTTAGGTCCTTTTGGCTTCTCCAATCTCCTTCCCTAAAATGTTCTCTCTTTAGTTCTTCCTGTAATTGACACCAGTTCATTCAGATCTTGACATTAACCCTCCTATGATACACATTCTTGACAGCTCATCTAAAATGATAAACTGCTGTAATTTTTATTTTGAAACATGAGCTTCTATATAGCAATCTGACATTGCTGTCACACTGAGGATGACCATAAACTCTTGATCCTCCTGCCTCTGCCTCCTCACTGATGGGATTACATGCATTTGCCATCACACTCAGTTCTCTTCTGTTGTTTTCTACTGTATTTTTGTTTCCTTTGGGGCATATATTGCAATTTGGAACTATGCAATAATAATTTTATAGCCATCAGTTCTACCAGATGTCTCCAAGAGGAGAGGCTTTGTGTCAGTACAGTTCATTTATTTTCTTGCTGACCCTAACATATTCCTAATCTGAAATATCATATATATGAAACAAATACTGTTTTAACTTATCAATGGATGTTTTTTCTTTCAGAAATATATTGAACTGTTTCATTTTCTTCAAAATATACTTTCTTCTGCTATGCAAAGTGCACAATTGAGAATTAGAGGATAATTTTGATAAATTATAAGATAATGTCTTATAAAAACGTTAAGAAAAATTGTTGTGTCTTTGATCACAGTGTGTCTCTGGATGTACAGTTAGGTTTAAATGTATAGAGGTACTGTACTCTAAAATAATTACATCCAGGTTTATAGTATAGCCAGTCCTCAGCACCAAAATTAATTTCATATATTTCTATTTACAGGTAAGGATGTATGTTCCAGAATCTTAAGCCATGAGTCTATCACTTAATGATCTGCTCATTTGCTGCCGGCAATTAGAACATGACAGAGCTACAGAACGAAGGGTAACAAATTACTTGAAATTGTTTTTCTTGAAACAGATGTGTGATTGGTGATATGGTATATAATTATTATAATGTTCTTTTTGTTTTCAGAAAGAAGTGGAGAAATTTAAGCGTCTGATTCAGGACCCTGAAACAGTTCAAAATCTAGATAGGCATTCAGATTCCAAACAACAAAAATACTTGAATTGGGATGCTGTTTTCAGGTATCGTCTTTGAATTTGTTTTGCTTTCTTTTCCCATTTTGTGATACCATTTTATGTTTTGTTTTTTGGGTTTTTTTTGTTTGTTTGTTTGTTTGTTTTTGTTTTTTGTTTTTTTTTTCCCCCGAGACAGTGTTTTTCTGTATTGCTTTGGAGCCTGTCCTAGAACTAGCTCTGTAGACCAGGCTGGCTTCAAACTCAAAGAGATCTGCCTGCCTCTGCCTCCCGAGTGCTGGGACTAAAGGTGTGTGCCATCAACGCCCGTTGTGGTGCCATTTTATTGTTTGAGTTTTGTGCAGTGTATATCATTATTTGTTATATAGGAAGTTGGCATTTAGTTATCTAAAACATAGTTTTTAAAACTCATACAGAATATTGAAAGTTTTAAGTCAGTTCTTCAACAAAATGCTTTAGGCATATGTCATTTAAGATCAACAAAGAAACTGGCCATCATGGAGTTCCTGTAATAATGTGTTCTTGAGGCTGAGGTAGGATATGCATGAGATCCAGTCTTAATCTGGTCTATAAAACAAAACAACAGATTAAGAATTCTGTTCATTTTGATTAGTTTATAAGGATTTTTTTTTATTTCAAATATAGGTTTATAAGTAAGCTATAATAACCTGGTGGTAGTGTTTCATGCCTTTAATCCCAGCACTCAGTAGGCAGAGACAGACAGATTTCTGAGTTTGAGGCCAGCCAGGTCTACAGAGTAAATTCTAGGACAACAGGGCTACATAGAGAGACCCCGTCTCAAAACAAAACAAAAAAAAGTAAGTTACAGTATTTGTTATCATTTTGATTGTTGCTGATTATTAATAACTGGCATGTGTTGAAATATAATAAAACAAATAAAATAAATATTGGGTACTTTCAGATTAAAGCTGTTTTAACTTGTTTGTGGCACAGTTTATTTATTTTTATATTGAAACTTCATTTTCAACCATAACTTTATTTATAACTAGAAACAGGTTTTGAGAGAGTTGGGGGGATTGTTCAAAAAATGTAAAAATATTTCTATTTGTGTATGTGTGTCTTTGTCAAGTGTGTGCAGATCCCTGGAAGTCCAAAAGTAGACATTGGATATTCTTGACCTGGAGTTAGAGGAGGTTGTAAGCTGTCTGCCATGGGTCCTAGAACCTGAGCACTCTTAACCACTGAGCCATCTTTTGAGCTCCCCAAATGCATTTTAAATCTATGTAGAATACTAAAAGTATTACATCTGAAGCTAGTATGGTGATATAGCACCTGTGATCTTGGCTCCTTGGGAAGTTGATAGAGGAAGATAATGAGTTCAGTTCAATACAAATCAACAAATAATTGCAGTAAAGAAGGTGTTCACATTTCTTAATACAATATTAAATTATCTTATTGTACTTCTAACAGATAAACTTTTATTGGTTTGATTTTTGGTTTTTCAGGATAGGGTTTCTTTTTGTAGCCTTGGCTATCCTAGAACTTGCTTTGTAGAAGACCAGGCTGGCCTCAAACTCAAGAGATCTGCCTGCCTCTGCCTTCAGAGTGCTGGAATTATAGGTGAGCACCATTACCTCCCAGTTGATAAACCTAAGTTTTATCGCTTGTTTGATACTAATCAGTTAAAGTTCTAAATGCATATGACATGAAAAAAAATGCGTGCTTTCTTATTGAGCATTTAACTTATTTGCAATATTAGAAATATAGTTATTGCCAGGCAGTGGTGGCACATGCCTTTAATCCTAGCACTTGGGATGCAGAGGCAGGCGGATCTCTGTGAGTTTGAGGGTAGCTTAGTCTACAGAGTGAGTTCCAGGATAGGCTCCAAAGCTACAGAGAAACCCTGTCTTGAAAAAACAGGAAAACCAAACCAAAACAAATACAGTTATCTCTTTTTATAAGCTGATTAAATACTCCTGGCCAGTCTTCAGTGTCTTCTAGGCAGTTGTCATTTAAAGACTAGAAGTATTATTACCCTCTTATAATGTAAGGAGAGTTGAAGTCTTCAGTAGCATTCTGAGCAAGCAGGTGAGATGACAGAAAACCATGCAGGTTACAGATTAAGAACTTTGCAGGCTAGACTTTATATTGACTTTACACCTTCTTAGACTTTGGAACAGTAATAATTTCGTATACATGGTACAACACTGGTTTACATGATGCTTTGGGGGAAAGGCGTACCAGAGTTTTTGAAATGGTAAAATTATAAGTATTAATGAGGATATGAATTTTTTTTTCTTGCAGGTTTCTGCAGAATTATATTAAAAAAGAAACAGAATGTCTGAGAACAGCAAGATCAAATGTATCAGCCTCCACACAAACCTCCAGACAGAAGAAGATGCAAGAGATCAGCAGTTTGGTCAGATACTTCATCAAATGTGCAAATAAGAGTAAGCAACATTATGTATTACACACAGAAGCCTCAGTCGTTACCATAGCATAAATTTGATCTTAATAAAGTAGCATAAAAAATAAATTACTGACTGAAATTCCTAGCACATATAGTGGCTTTTAAAACTATGGGTCCAAAATTTGGGGGAGTTCAGTATAAAATCTTTAATCTCAAAAATGGAAAGATTAAAAATTATTCCCTCCCCATCTCTAGACATTGGCAGAAGTATAGTCTTAAGGTTTCAAAAAGCATTTTGAAGCTGAACAGTTTTAAAGGTATAAAGTCCTGTTAGGCCAGTGAGATGTCTTGGCAGGTAAAGGCACTTTAACCTGAGTTGGAGCCCCAAAACCTATGCTTATGTGATGGAGAAAACAAACTCCTTCAAGGTGTTCTCCACACATGTACATGACATGGGTGTTTTATTATACTTATGAGCATTTGCATACTCACAAATAAATGAAAAAATGTAAAAAAAAATAGTTTTAAAAACCCCATTTATTACTGCTTCTATTTTGTTTTCTAAGATTTATTTATGTGTATGAATATTTTGTCTGCATGTATGTAAGCGTACCATATGATATGCTCCTCATACTTGTAGAGATAGAGCTAGAAGAATCCAATACCCATGTCCTCTATAAGAACAATAAATGTCATCTCTCCATCTCCTCTAAATCCTCAAACGATATACAGGAAACCTTGTAATTATTTCAACATGATATCATTTGATATATTTGAAAATACACATAGAATTCCCAAGTACTCTTTCTCTAAGGTAAATGGACCTAATTCTTTGAGCTCATGTGACCTAGTTTTTGCTTTACTCTTTCATTAATCTTCAGTTTGTTACTTCTCTCAAGGAAAGTGGGACTTGGCTTTGTGCTATAATCTAATTGACATAGTCTACAGCATATTTGTTTCAGTTTTGCTATTTGAAACAGGGTTTTCATTGAAGCTAAGATTTGTGATCCTGCTGTCTCAAATCTTCCTTGTGCTGAGATTTCAGATATGTGTCCGTGTGTGTGTGTGTGTGTGTGTGTGTGTGTGTGTTGTTTGTGTTTGCTCATGCTTGTATGTGATGTGCTCTCACAAGAGTTTTGGTTAAAGGGTGTTCTGAGGACAACCTCAGCTGTCATTCCTTTGGTGCCTTATGTTTTGTTACAGAGTTTCTTGTTGACCTGAAGGTGGCTAAATAGGCCAGGTTTGCTGGCCAACAAGCCCCAGGGATCCTCCTGTCTGTTCTCTACAGTTGATATTTTTAAGGAATGATTTTTAAATTTTTCAATACTTCTTTTTGTTCGTTTTGTATACATGTATGTACATTTGCCATGATGTGCTCATGGATGTCAGAAAACAACTTGTAGGAGTCGGTTTTCTCCTTGTACCATATAGGTCCTGGGGATTGGACTCAGATCATCAGGCTTGGTAGTAAGTACCTCACCAAAGGAGCCATTTTACTGACCTCAAGAATGACATTTTTGATCCAATCGTTGCTGGCCCACGCCTTTAATTCCAGCATTCAGGAGGCAGAAGCAGGTGGATCTCTGAGTTCAAGGCCAGCCTGGTCTACAGAGCGAGTTCCAGGACAGCCTCAAAAGCTGTGCAGATAAAGATGTGGATTTGTGGTAGCGATTTGAGGCTAAAAATGCAGGGTCTGGCATGTTGATTTAGCAGGTAAAATGTACCTGGTGCCAGACCTGACAACTTGAGTTCAGTCCCTAGGTTCCACATGGTGGAAGGGGAAAACTCACTCTAATAAAGTTGTCCTCAGACTCTTAAGTTCATGAGTACCATGCACACATACATATAGGCATGTACATACAAAAAAAAAAAAATGTAATTGGAAGGTCCAGATTATGGTAAACATTTAGTAGAAGCACATAGATAGTTGGTTAATGATCTATTAGAATGAGTCTAATGAACAGTTTTAGAAATTTTTCATTCCCCTGAGATGCCATTTGTGTGGGTAGCTTTAACCCTCCCTAGATTCTCCAGCTGAGACAGAACCACACTGAAATATTCAGTGCTTGCTTTGGCTGATGTGGTAGCTTTGTATTCACTCAAACATTGTATTATTGTCTTGTAAGATTGGAAGCTTAATTTGTACCATGTAATTCCATGTAATTCCGGAGTGAAAGATAGCAAGGTTTTTTGTTTGTTTTCTTTGGGTTTTGTTTTTTGTTTTTTTTTTTTTTTTTTTTTTTTTTTTTCTTTCCCCCAAGATGGGGCACTTGCTCTGTAGATCAGGCTGGCCTGGAATTCACAAAGTTAGGCCTGCCTCTGCCTCCTGAGTGCTAGGACTAAAGGCATGCACCACCACTGTTAGGCTAAGATACCAAGTTGGTTACCCTGCAGAAAGATTTGTAGTTTGTAATTTTGCCTTCTAGTAAAAAGAAACTTAGTTAGAAAATTAATCTTGGAGATAACATTTAAAAATGTACCAATATATTGGTTTACAAAAAAGTAAAATTGCTAATACAAGATCATTTAAACAGTTATAAGTACTGTTTTACTTAGGTGCTAGCTTTTAATTTGAACTCACAGAATCTGAAGCAGCAGGCAAGCACAGGGCCAACATGAGCCTGCACCAGGTCCTCTATGTATATATTACAGCTGACAGCGTATATTTTTATGGGACTCCTGAGTGTGAATAAGTGGGGCTCTGATTCTTGGGCTGGCTGTTGTGGCTCTTAGGTTGCCTGGTTTGGCATCAATGGGATGGTTTTTGTTTTATATTTTATTATGTTTGGTTGTTATCTCTTAGAAGCCCATTCTTTCCTAATGAGTGACAGAAGGAGAGTGGATCCAGAGGAATGGGAAACTGTAAAGTTGTATTGTATGAAAAAAGAATCTATTTCAACAAAAAATTAAATTAAAAAAAGTGGATTTTGTAGTGTCAGGCTCTTTAAACCTAAAACCAGAGATACCATGTTACCTTACTTTCTATTTAAACACACATTGAAGTTTTAACAGACTTGTTTAATGTTGCATTCAAAGTAGAATGAAGAAAAACATTAAATAACTAGTGGGTGTGGGAATAACTAAGAAGGAACTTGAATACTGTTATTCCTGATTCTGTATTAAGCAGAGTGTAAAGAATAGAAATCCCAGCTGTGCAAACTAATTCATCAGGTTTCTTACGCGTACAGACAACTCAGCCTTTTTATAAGACAGATTGTTAAATTTTTGTTTACTTTTTTTGTTTTTGTTTTTTTAAAAGTGATAGGTATGAAACTCATGGTTTGTGCATGCTAGGCAAATATTGTGTCACTGAATTTTAACCTCTAGTGTGAGAACCTTTTTAGAAAGTAAATTGTAACTTTTAAAACATTTATGTTTAGCAGAGCAAGAGGATATTCTGAGATAAAATATATAGAAAAATATGAGTTTATGTTAATATTTATTAAGTTAACTTTATTTGTTATCTACTGTGGGTTCTGAGCATTTATGGTAATATGAAAGTTAATCCTTTCAATAATGTCTGGTAATACAAGTAATACTTTAGATTTAAAAAAAGTTTCAAGAGTTGTGTGAGATAGTAGGAATAGTAGAAAAAGATCACATGGGTGTGGATACCATCATGGGCCAGATGCCTGAAACCATAAGCCCTAACTGAAAGCTATTGTGCTGTGATGTCAGTGAGTACTTACCTTAGGATGATACTTCTGAATATAAACAGTCTCATCATTGAGAGAGTGCTAGTCTAATACAGTTCATATGTGCATTTTGCATTGAACTCTACACATAGTTCCATTTCAAAATAAAGTCAATATTGAAGAAACGATAGTATTCTAGTTTTGACATCAGTATGATTTGATGAAAATAAAACCTTTTTATTTCTATAGCCCTGGATGGCTATAGAACAGACATGCACCACCCTACCTGACTTAATTTTTTCCTTTTTTTTTTTTTTCTTTTTTAGATGGGGTCTCCATGTGGCCCAACATGGTCTTAATATAGTCAGGAATGACACTTTGACTTTCCTAATCTTGCCTTTACCTGGGGCCATTGGGATTATTGGTGTATAATACTGTGCCTTGTTTAAATTGTTTGAAATGTAATTTTGTGACCTTTAAGATTATACACCTAGGGGTGGGAGAGGTGACTTTGGTTAAGAGCACTGACTGCTTTTCTAGAAGACTTGAATTAAATCCCCAGCACCCACATGGGAGCTCCCAACTACCTATAACTCCAATCCTAGGGGATCTGATGCTGTCTGTCTTCTGGCCTCCACAAGCACTGCGTGCATGTGATTGACAGACATACATGCAGGCAAAACAACCATACACATATACAAAAATAATAAAACTTTAGAAAAGGTGGCTGCTTAAAGTGCCTTATGCAAGGTCCCTTACAGAAGGGGAAAGGAACAAGATCTCCTGAGCATATTGGGAGTGTGGGGGGGGGGCAATGAGTAGAGAGGGAATTAGGAGAAAGGGAGGAGAGGAGAGCATGTGGGTCTAGGAAGATTGAGTCAGGGAAGGAATAAACGAGAGCAAAAAAGAAAGAAGAGATACCATAATAAAGGTGTAGAGAGCCACCAGTGCCACTCCCGAAGATGGCACTGGTTTCCTGTCCATGAGCCAGCAAGGCATGGTTGTTTTCCTCCCGAAGGATAGCAATGCGTATGCGTAACACATGTCATGGGGTGTTTATCACGAGTATCGTGGGCTGCACCAATCAGTAACGGACACGACTCCTCTGAGCATATATAAGCAGAGCCCTTTTTCCTCCTCAGGGTCCTTCCTCATCTCACAGTAAGAGCCGCCCAATAAAGCTACACTACAGAAGAATCCTGTTGTTGAGCATCGTTCTTGCAGGCAAGGCGATAGCGCTCGACATAAAGGGAGTCATAGGTTTGAAGAGAAAACTGACTATAGAGAAATGTCTAGAGACTTACAAGGATAACTCCAACTAACAATCTGAGCAACAGTGGAAAGGTTACCTTAAATGCCCTTCTCTGATAATGAGATTGATAACTAACGTATATACCATCCTAGAGCCCTCATCTAGTAGCTGATGGAAACAGAAGCAGACACCCACAGATAAACACTGAGTCAACCTCCTGGAATCCAATTGCAGAGAGGGAGGAGTGATAAGAAAATGGGGGCAAAACCAGGTTACAGAAACTGACAGAGAGAGCTGACCTGAACAAGAGGGAGCTAATGGACCCCCAGACTGATAGGAAACCAGCATTGGACTGACTCAGACCCCCTGAACATGGGTCTCAGAAGGCCTGGGCCTGGGCAGTCTAAGGGGAATCTCTGACAGTGGAACCAGGATGTATCCCTGGTGCATGAAAGGACTTTGGGAGCACATTCCCTATGGAGGGATATTCCCATATCCTAGAGGCAAGAGAGAGGGCTTAGTTCATACTCTAAATGAGGCATCACACTCCCTGTGGAGTGAGGGTGGGTGGGTAGGATGAAAGGGGGGCTGGGGGCATGGAAGGGAGGAAGAGAGGGAGAGGGAACTGGGATCAATATGTAAAATAAAAAAAAACATTTATTAGCAATTATTTTTCATAATCTAAAATACTGTGTTGTTAAACTTTCAGCCTTTTCTATATGTATACCATTTGTATGCTGTTAGATGCCATTGAAATAGTCATGTTTTTTAGAGTAAATAGGCTATTTCTAATTAGAATAAAGATTATTTTAATAAATGTTTTCATAAAGATGCTCAGAGACGTAGAATCCTTTTAAGTCTAATGCCAGGAATTGTGAGTTGTAAAGTATTAAAGATAATTGTTATTTCTGCTATATCTTTAGGGGTTGACAAACTCAATCTTTTTGGATGGCGGTGAGACATCATTTCTTTGTGTGTCCCTTGCTGTCTTGGAACTCTGTAGACCAGGCTGGCCTCGAACTCACGGAGATCCGCCTGTGTCAGCCTCATGAGTGCGCCACCACAGCCTGGTGGCAAACTTAATCTTTGATGAAGTTATATAGTGAAGTTTTTTTTACAACTTTCTGGCTCATATATTATCTGTAGCAGTTACTCATTTCACATGATTGCATTCCAGTAAAAGATCATTAACAAAATAACGAACAAGCTGAATTTTACTTGGAGGTTACAGGATTTGCTGTTAAGGGTAAAGTGAATTGATAGCAGTTTCCTGAGTGGAATCATTTAAAGAAGTTGGCATTCCAAGAATTTTTTATTTTTAACATCTTTATGTTCTTACTTTTTCATTTTATTTTTAAATAGGAGCACCCAGGCTAAAATGTCAAGACCTCTTGAATTATGTCATGGATACAGTGAGAGATTCATCTAATGGTTTAACTTATGGAGCTGATTGTAGCAACATACTACTTAAAGATATTCTTTCTGTGAGAAAATACTGGTGTGAAATATCTCAGCAACAGTGGCTAGGTATGTTTTGAAGTCTTTTCTCTTATAAAATGAAATTTCAACAGTAAAAGTAGTCTACATCTCACAGATGACTCAAATTTAACATTACATTGATGAAATTATATCATTAGAGAATCAGATCCTTAAATTCTTTGTTTTTTCAAGATAAGATCTTGCTATATATCCTGTTCTGTTCTTCAACTTGCAATCCTCCTGCCTTGGTCTCCCGAGAGCTGGGATTGTAGGTATGTACTACTGTTCAGTTCTTAATTTTAATTTATTATGTACTTTTAAATTATTAAGTCACATAGTTTATAGTAGTTGCTTAATAGAACTGTAATTATAGATTTCAAAGATCACTGCTCTGTTTGTAATTATTCAATCCAGTGACTGAAAAATGTTCCAAATAAAAATTACCATTCCATTTGTTATAATACACATTCATGTATACAATGTGTGTACACAATGGTGACATCTCAACTGGACCATAAGTAAAGGTGACAGGAATAACCAAAAGAGAGAGATGACACAGAAGTAGAAAGCAAAAGTTCTGAGTTCAAATGGATGTGGGGGACACCTTATATGTTATACGAAGGATAAAGTGTACAAGTATTCATTGGATTAGGCAGAGATGCTATCTAACTTGAAACCTTACCAGAGTCAGGCTCATTTTGTATATCATTTTAGCATTGTGTTGTTGTCCAGGTTGTTAAACAAAAATAACAGATCTGAAAGGCTTATATCATTTAGTTTCATTTGCAGGTGCCAGGATTGCTCATTTTTAATGCCTCAAGAAATTTCCATTTGATGATATTTGGGTTTTCATTTTTTTCAACTTATTTTTCATATGCAATTTTACTATCTACCTTTGGGTTTTTGTTTTTTTGTTTTTTGTTTTTTGTTCTTTTTTTTTTTTTTTTTTTTGCTATTGGATTCATGGAGAAAGTACATGTATGAATGCATATATCTCACCATTTTTGAAGAAGCAGGAGTCTGTTCTTCTGAGATTTCTAGAAGTGTCTTATGTCATCCTTTATACCCCTCTATTGGAGTATGATGGATTTTGTGAAAATTTGGATCAATTCTGAGTAACATGCCTTGAAGTCTGTGCTTTAGTGAGAAGCAATTGCAATTTTGTCTTTTTCTACTTCATCTTGCCTAATCTGTCAATAAAAGATAAAATTATTTAAAAGAATTTCTCTTCAGTATGTGTGTATAAACATTTTTACCATTGTGTGGCTATTTAATGCAATGAAAACGTTGATATAATTGCTATAATTTTATAAACTCATTACATAGTAAGATTAAAAATTACGTTTTCCAATATAATGTTTGAAATATTTATGTTGGCCTTGTATATCTTCCAATATCTGATTTTAAGGCATTTGTCAATTTCTCCAGAATCTTGACATGAACAATTGAAAAGAAAGATACAGATGGTCGTTATTTTTCTTATCTTTTAATAGGAATAAATCTTAAGCCACTAGTTTACTTATTTTTATATTTGGGATAATTCTCAATAAATTTTACTTTTCTGCATGTCTCTGACATAGAGATGCTGGCTGCCTTTTTCTTTTCCTTTCATTGTTTTAATCCAGACTACTTTTTTCAAGGGTGTATTGTATAGTGAATAACTTAGGAGGTAAAGTCAATGGCTTCCTTCACACAGAGAGTAGTTTTGCTCTTGCCAGTAGTTGGTGGCACATACCTTTAATCACAGCACTCAGGAGGCAGAGGCAGGCAGATCTCTGAGTTTCAGGTCAGCCTGGTCTACAGAGTGAGTTTCAAGATAGCCAGGGCTGTTACAAAAAAGAAACCCTATCTTGAAAAACAAACAAAGAAACCCATCCAAACAACAAAGAATGGTTTTGCTTTTAACCCTTTTATTTATAAAAGTGCTACTATTTTCATTTGGGTCAGCTGTCCCTCTTCATGATGCTATTGAGGTTGGGAAACTAATGCAAAGATGGAAGTATTCTGCCTGTTAATGCTGTGAGGAATAAACTTTCCTTTTTCTTTGAGCAAGAAGCTCATGTCCTTTGCCAAAATCCATGCAACTGTTAATGCTATTATGTTACAAGCAGAGTGAACTTTGAGGTCATTCATAAGTGGTAATATATTTAAAGAACAGCATTGATAGGACACCAAGACTTTGTCAAAGACTTGGTTAGTCCTAGGTAAAGGAGCGTAGGCATAGAGAAGTAAAGTAGCTTATCTGAGGCCTGGCTGTTAAACAGATACCCTCGGAACATGCTATTTATTTTAAGTATATTATATAACCATTGATAGAATATTCTGTTAAATTCAAGGTTATCTTTAATGCCTTGTCTATGGAGAATTACAGCTTAAGTTGAATTATGATGTTGAACGTACTTGATTTTTTTACATTAATTAGCTAATTCTCCCCCCCCCCCCCCCCATTTTTAGAATTGTTCTCTGTGTACTTCAGGCTGTATCTCAGACCATCACAAGACATCAATAGAGTTTTAGTGGCTAGAATAATTCATGCTGTCACTGGAGGATGCTGTTCACAGACTGATGGATTACCTTCTAAGTTTTTAGATTTTTTTTCCAAGGCTGTTCAGTATGCAAGGTAATCATTGTCTTTTCATATGGTACCAAACTGCATTAAATCTTCTTGTCATGATCATGTTTTAAATTTAGTGACTAAAAAATACTATCTTTTAAACAGAGGTAATTTTAGTTGCTCAAATTTGTGATGTAAAATATGGTAATAGGTATACGGTATGTAACTATCAAATCAGGCTATTTCTATTTTCTTGAATATTAAATTTATTAACATAATTATGTTCAAATGTTCTACTGTGATATTTCATATTTTGTATGTAGCATGACCTCTATTTCCCATCCTATATGAAAAAAAAATCATAAAAGAAACCTTAAATAGACCAAAGATTTGCAACTTAGAAACGTGAAGAAAACAGATGAAATACTTTAAGATATTTATAAAAGGGGTGCACCAATGTTCATACTTACTAAGCCACCTCCCCACCCAATAAAACAGCTCAGTGTAACTGGACAGGCTTTTAATCCCAGCACAGTGTTGGAGTTGAAAACAGAGACAGAGAATCTTTGCAGCCTGCTGACCACCAGCCTTGCTCCAAAATGGCAAACTTCAGTCTGAATGATAGACCCTCTTTGAAGAGAATGATGTGAAGAATAGTTGGGACATTCAGCATCCTCCTTTAGAGATCTTCATGCATACATGTACACATGTGCACGCACACTAAATAATTTCCTAAAAGATAAAAGCTAAACCCCTAAAACATGAAACCAAAAAGAGATAAATGGAGTTATATGAACTCAGCTTTTTCACAGAAAGGGAATACTATGCAGACTCAAGAGATAGCTTTGGAAATGGGGAGGCTTTTTGCACACTGTTTATCTCACTAAAGACTTAAAGTCCAGATTATATAACAACTTTAGCAAACCCAGGAACAAAACCATGTTGTCGGGGAGATAAGATGGGTGAATTTGACCAAGACACATTGATGAATAAAAATAGTTTGTTATTAAAGGTCTTTAAATACACTTACTTAAAAAAAGATTGGCTAAGGTCTGGGTGTAGTGGTGTACTTCAGTAATTCCAGTACTCCGGGGGTTCTGCATAGGATAATTGCAAGTTTATGGCTAACTTGGCCTATATCATGAGAAAATAGACAAGAAAAGAAAAATAATTGTGCAGCCAATGAATTCATAAAGTAAACATTTAACTTCCTTAGCTGTCAAAGACATGAAGGCCAAACCATAATGAGATAAAATGGTACCGTAGAAATAAAGAAATAGCAAAGGCTCTCAACAGTTTGGAGAAAAGATAACTCATTGCATTGGTGGGAGTGTAAAATACTGTTTTTCAAAAGGAACCATTAACTCAGAACCAGCAGTTTCTTAAAGGATCAGAAACAAATTTCCTTAATATGCAAATACTAAATGACACTCTTAAGCGTGAGTCTTGGGGTCTTTCTCATCTGATAACAAAGGAAGATGAATATCACTTAAGTAATTTAATTCACTACGTTTTAAGGATAGATGTATTATATTGAGGATAGAGTAATAAAATATTTTGGAAGCATTGGTATAAATATGTGTGGCATTTTTCTAATTTACGTTAAACACACGAATTGTAGGTATACAAATCAATTCTGTGTTTTTAGACAGTGGTTTAGTAGCAGAGAGGTTAACAGGACAAGTTTGTTGATTCCCCATGCGAGAATCAGTGTTTTTGTTACTGGTTAGTATAGACCTCCACCTTCCCAAATCAAGACATGGAGACTTATTATCAATTATGAATGCTCAGCCTTTTCCTATGCTTGTCCCACTAACTCTTAAAACTTAATTTATCCTGCTTTTCTTTAACCACATTTTGCCTTGGGGCTTTTTACCTTTTGTTCTGTATCTCATGTTTTTCCTGCTTCCACAGTATCTGGCTGTCTGGCTGCCTGGCTGGCTGGCCCTGGGCGTTTCCCTCTCTTTCTCCCTTTCTCATTTCTAGAATAGATTACTCCTCCTACTTAATCTCCCTGCCTGCCAGCCCCTCTTATCTCTCTACTGCCTAGCTTTTGGCTATTCAGCTTTTTTTTAGACCAATCCGGTGCCTTAGGCAGTTACAGCAACAAACAGATCTTTACATTGTTAAACAAACACAGCGTAAACAAATGTAATGCATCTTTACATAGTTAAAATAATATTCCACAACAGGTTAGTGCTGTTGTGTTGGTTTTTGTTTTGTTTTCTGAAGAGATTTGAACCAAGAATATGATACTGTTTGAAAATTAGATCTTATTCTTTAGAATGTGCCTGTTATACTGTGTTGACATTGTCTTCTGTTGCAGACAAGAAAAGAACTCTCCTGGCTTAAGTCATATCTTAGCAGCCCTTATCATTTTCCTCAAGACTTTGGCTGTCAACTTCCGGAAACGGGTGTGTGAAGTAGGAGATGAAATTCTTCCTACCTTACTGTGTATTTGGACTCAACACAGACTTAATGATTCTTTAAAAGAAGTAATCATTGAATTAATTCAACTGCAAATTTATATCCATCATCCACAAGGAGCCAAAGCCCCTGAAAAAGGTATAAAGGAAACTCTCCTTGTTTGCATATACTTCATTAAAATATAAGAGACCCAAGTATGGTATCAATATTCTGTAGATGAATGAAGTTTTTGGTTAATAGTATGGTTAGTCTTCAGGCTGTTTTTCATTCATTTTCTTGAATTTCAGTCAGTGGCAGTAAATTGCCTTTACATTGTTCAAGAAAGTATTATGATGAAAACAAGTATGAGACATTGCCTGTTCCTCCAAAAATCATTTATCCATCTTCACTATTAAGAGGTGAAACAGGCTATAGAGCAAAGGAGGTTAGAGACAGCAGGAACTTGTTTATCTGCGAGTTGCTTCTTATTTCTAATAGGAAATAAGATAGCTAAACTGAAAACAGCCCATCCACTTACTCAGTTTCTAAGGAGATTATGTGCTTAAGTCTTTGCAAAGACATGTGAGGTAAAAATGTGACAATGGCTGCACCTTGTGCTTTTAGTTACACCACATGTTTTCTTGGGGGGGGGGCAGAAGGGGCAGCGTACAACAGTAAAATACTGATCTCTTGTTCGTCCTGATTGATTTGCCTTTTTTTTTTTTTTTTTTTCCTGAAACGGAGTATTCACTCTTTAGAATTGGATTGAATGACACCTGACTTAAAAGAACTCTGTTCTGCTGTGTCTGATTGCCTTTGAGCTTGCACTGTCCTTCAGACTAGTTCATCATGGCTGACTGTGATGATTTTGTTAACATGCCCTGTCACATTAAATAACAACAGCTAGAATGGAGGACAATTGTTGTAGCCACTTTTTATTTTATATGTATAAGCTCTTCTAGAATTGTGACTTCTCAGCCTTTCCCCTTGCCCTATCCAGGATAAAGAACAGGCTGGTTAAGAGGTGGTTTCGTGTGTTATTTAACTGCATATTTATGGTGAAAATTTGACAGGAGGATGAGACTTCCAGGAAAAACTCAGTTTTAGCTTCCAATAATTTATTTTTATGATATGCTTTTTGTGAGAATTAATAGCCCTATCCTTTTTCCATGAGGATCAGACAGTTGGAGAAATAAGTTCACCAGACTCTGCAGACTCTGGTTAAGCCTTTTGAGAGGGTCATAAGTTCACTGGAGTGTGATGTGAATGGTGAGCTAACCACCATAAATAGATAACATCATATATTTACTAGTGGAAGAAGCTGGTAATAGTTCCTCTTAACAATAATAAGAATTAAAGATGCTGTTGCCATGTGGAATGGAGCTTATTCTCCTTAGAGGACATCATGCATTAGAAAAGGGAAAATTTTAGATGCGAATGTGAGGGTATTTATAACACCACAGTTAACTAATTATGAAGGGAATAGAGTTTTTAAGGATATTTCCTAAAGATGTATTAGTACTAGACATCTAATATTGATGTGAGAGCTGGCAGTGCAGATGGGGTTTGTATATAAATGCACTTACTGTGTTTCTGGGTTACAGGTGCTTACGAATCAACAAAATGGAAAAGTATCTTGTACAACTTATATGACCTGCTGGTGAATGAGATAAGTCATATAGGAAGTAGAGGGAAATACTCTTCAGGATCTCGTAATATTGCTGTCAAGGAAAATTTGATTGATTTGATGGCAGATATCTGTCACCAGGTATAGTAGCTGTTGTCATATTTGAAATTTTCTGGTTATTTTCTTTCTGCTGGACAATTACACCTTGCATAATCGCAAGAAAACTATAAACTATTCTATACATATAACACTTATTTTCAAATTATGTGTATTTGAAATTAACCCTTTTAATTGAAAAATAACTCCTGAACATATGTCTAGACCCAGTGATGACAGTCATATACAGGGAAAGTGGATGTATCCTTAAAGTTAAATTAGAATTCACATATCATAAAATTCACTGATATTTACAATAGTAATTATTATTGGTTTGTTCTAAAACTATCACCAAAATCTAATTTCAAAGCCTCTTTGTCATCTCAAAAGAAACTTCAGACTTACTAGCTTTTAGTTACATCTATTTGTTTCTCTTAGCTACCAATCTGCTTCTATATCTGTGAATGGTTTGTCTGTTTTGGATAATTCATAGATGTGTAATCATAAATTTGTGGTCGTTTATGCCTGGCTTCCTTCATATGGTGAAATATTTTCCACTCGACACTACAAATTAGTATTTTATTCCTTCTTATAATGGAATAATAATTACATGGATGTGGTACATTTTGCTTATCCAGTTATCAGTTGATGTCCTACTGTGTCTTAAGTAAAATTCTTCTCCCCACGGATTTGGTTGACATCCTGGTGGTAATTTTGCTCTCTTAAATATGAATGGTGAATTTACATTTTTTAAAATTTATCTTTATTTGCATTGGTATTTTGCCTGCATTTATGTCTGTGCGAGGGTGTTAGATCTTGGAGTTACAGCTGTTACCTGTCATATGGGTGCTAAGAATTGATCCCGGTCCTCTGGAAGAACAGTCAGTGCTTTTAATTGCTGAGCCATCTCTCTAGCTCAGTAAATTTAATTTTTAATTCTGTTGGAAATACACAATTTGCAGTTTCGTAAACACACTAATGTTCATATATTTCTATAACTTTTAATCATTATGAGTTCCTGCATCTTCATTTGAGAGGGATCCCCCACCATGATTTATTGGGAAATTGTAGCAATAAACATGTTTTTTTTTTTCCTTGCAGCTTTTTAATGCCGATACCAGATTGGTGGAGATTTCTCAGTCTTTTACTACACAAAGAGAATCTACTGATTATACTGTGCCTTGCAAAAAAAGGAGAATAGAAGTAGGCTGGGAAGTGATAAAAGATCATCTTCAGAAGTCACAGAATGATTTTGATCTTGTGCCTTGGTAAAGTGTTTATTTTTCCTCTTCGGTGTCACTTGAGCTGTCATTTCTCTACTCCCAGTGTTATTGAGATAGCCACTAAAGGCTCATCTACCTTTTTAGGAAGAGGGACCTGGCTGTGATTGTCAGCCTTACTTTCTGCCTTTGGGATTCACTGAGCTATAAACCTCATTAAGGGATTTTTTTTTTTTACAGTGCAAAGTACCTTCATGTATATTTGTATTAGCAGTGAATTAAAGAACATTCAGTAATCACAGGGTAATTTTGTCATGAGAGTAGAGTTTGAGTTTTGGTTTTTTCCTTCTCTTTATTTTCATTCATGCATAATTAAATATGCACAATTTTAGAATAACAGATTAGTTTTTTAATTTTGATAAGGATCATTAGATTATATCTAGTCAGGCTTGTTCACTTTGCTGAAAGGGACCAACTTAGAAATGTTAAGCAGAGTGCCTAAAGATACTGAGAAATGTACAGGAGAGAGAGAGAGAGAGAGTGTGTGTGGCGCGCATACTTGTGTGGCACTTTACCGTGTTTTGGAATCTTTAGATTTAATTGCATTATGAAGAAAGCCATATAGAATTTGTTACTTACTACTTAAGCTTATATTTATTTTATATAATTGAGAGTTCTACATCAGATTCTTTGTCAAATTAGTTAAGAAATACTAGTTCTGCAGTGATGGCACATGAACTTAATCCCAGTACTTGGCAGAGACAGGCGGATCTCTTGAGTTCAAGGCCAATTTGGTCTACAAAGTGAGATCCAGAGCAGCCAGGACTACAGAGAGAAACCCTGTCTTGCAAAACAAACAAAAAGAATTACTGAATGATTTTTATGTGTCACATTTTAGATGTGCAGCATTGAATAACACAGGACTCCAGTTGTCGAGAAGCACTCCTACATCAGTGATTCTCAATCTTCATAATGCCATGATCCTTTAATACAGTTCCTCATGTTGTGGTGATCCCGCCATAAAATTATTTTAGTTGCTACTTCATAAATGCAATTGTGCTGCTGTTCATAATATAAATATATCCGATATGCAAGATAATCTGATATGTGACTCCGGTGAAAGGTTTGTTCAACTCCCAAGTTGAGCACCGCTATTCTAGAGAATTCACAATACATTATGTTGAATAATAAATTGGTATCCAAGGACAAATATTTAGGCAAAAGATCAGAAACATAGTTGTGTTTTCTTCTTTTCTTCCTTTTTTTTTTTTTTTTTTTTTTGGTTGAGGTTTTATGTAAAGAGCTAGGCAGAAGTTTTAATTCTTCCTTCCATAATTAGCAATTGGGCCTAGTAAATATCAATAGTTATTTTATTTTAAAAACACTATGGAAAATAGTGAAGATGATGCTTTAGTTAATATACATAAAGGTATATAATTGTGTATTTGTTTTCTTCTAAATTGTTAATGGGAGTGATAAAAATTCAGATTCTTTTGTTTTCCTTTCAGGCTACAGATTGCAACCCAATTAATATCAAAGTATCCTTCCAGTTTACCTAACTGTGAGCTGTCTCCATTACTGCTGATACTGTACCAGCTTCTACCTCAACAGCGGCGTGGAGCACGCACACCATATGTGTTACGATGCCTTATGGAAGTTGCCTTATGTCAAGGGAAGAAATCAAACCTAGAAAGCTCTCAAAAATCAGACTTACTGAAACTGTGGGTTAAAATTTGGTCTATTGCCTTTCGTGGTATTAGTTCTGAACATACACAAACTGAAAACTTTGGTTTACTTGGGGCCATTATTCAAGGTAGTTTAATTGAATTTGACAGAGAATTCTGGAAGTTATTTACTGGCTCAGCCTGTAAACCTTCAAGGTAGGTTGCATTCTGCTTGATTTTACATATGCACACAAGTGTATGCCCCTGATCATTTTTGTGTTTGTTTCTTCAATAAAAGATAGATTAAATTTTGTTTTGGGTACTTCTGTTTTTGGTCCAAAATGCTTAATAATACAGAGGGTTTTTGTTAAGGCCAACTTAGGTTTTGTTTTCTTGTCTCTTGTTTTTTTGGAGATAGGGTCTTACTATGTGGCCCTTGCTGGCCTGCACCTCTAATTGAGACTTATAGAGGCCTTGGATGTATAGAGGTCTGCCTGCCTCTGCTTCCCAAGTGCTAGGATTAAAGATATGAGCTATCATGTCCTGCTTTTTTATTTTTTTAAGGCCTGTTTTCTTGAAAGGATTATGAAGTTTAAATTTCTTCTATAATTTATATACACTATTCATAAACATTTTTGTAGTTCTGTATATTTATTGAACAAGAGTTTCCTCAAATGTAACCTTCCTTTTACATTTTGTTAACAAAATGTAGCTTGTATTGCCCTGAGCATGGCAGGCTCAGTGGTAAGCAGGATAGATAGGTAAGACATTTGCCCTCAAAGAGCTTGCTCTAACAGTTGTATTTTGTTTCTCTGTAGTCCTTCAGTATGCTGTTTGAGTTTGGCACTTAATATCTGTGTAGTTCCGGATGCTATAAAAATGGGAACAGAGCAAAGTATGTGTGAAGTAAATAGAAGTTTCTCTGTAAAGGAGTCAATAATGAGATGGCTCTTATTCTACCAGTTAGAGGAAGACTTAGAAGTCAGCACAGAACTGCCTCCGATTCTTCAGAGGTATTTGCAGTATACTGTTTTGTTTTATCTGTGCTTGTTTACTTGTTTAATTTTATAAGACACCCCCTCTACACATTTAATATCAGATAGCTTTACTTCATGCTCATATTGTAGAATTTCCTAGACTTAGTTCTAAAATATTAAAGTCATCTGTATCTTTGTGCTGGATCATTTCTAAAATAAAAGATCTCATTGTAGGATATGGGAGATGTTCTCAAAGGATAGACACATAATTCTTATTTAAAAATTTAGCATACTTATGAAGATTATTCATAATAACCATGTAATGTTTTGATACAGGCATACACTGCAAAATGTTTAAATCAGGGAAAGATACTAGCTTTTCCTGAACGCAGCACCTTAGCTCAGTTATCCTGACCCTAAGATATTAGCTTTTCAAATAATTGTAATTTACTTATTAAAACACATTGAAAATCATGACTTATTTTTAAAAAATACATAGTAAGGGCTGGAGAGATGGCTCAGCCGTTAAAGGCTAGGCTCACAACCAAAAACATAAAAAAATACATAGTAAATTATTACGAGCACTCACTCCATTGTATGACATCAGAATGTCTTTCTCCCATCATAAATTGTGCCTGCTCTTTGTTTTGGGGTGTGGGTGGGCTGCTCTTTTATTTATTTTTTGAGACAGGGTCTAATTTAGGCTGGTCTGGCTTGCAACTCAGTATATAGACCAAGTTGGCCTCTTACAGGTATTCTCTCCTGCCTCTGCCTCCTAAGTGCTAGGATTAAAGGCGTGTGCCACTACAGCTGGTCTAGGGTGTTACTTTGTGACCTTTTGTGAACAGGTCCCTTATCTCCTCTTATTCCTTAACTATAATGGGTATCTTCTGCATAAAATTTGTTACTTCTGCATAGAATTTGTTACATCAGTGATAAGAAAAACAAAATAGTACTTAAGCTCTAGGATGGACCAGGTTTACCTTTCCCCTAGAAGGTAGAATATAATGCTTTTAGTTTATAATCTTTTATTTCAGAATGTTGGGAGAGGGGTGCTAGAAACGAGCAATTAAAAGCACTTGGCTGTTCTTCTAGAGGACCTGGGTTTGATTTCTTAGCACCTATATGGAAGATTACAACAGTATGTAACTCCAGTCTCAGAATCTTACACCATTTTCTGGCCTTTGTGGGCATCAGGCACCTACTCAATGCACAGACATTGATTCAGGAAAAACACACATATAAAAATACTAAATAAATAATTTTTAAAAAATCTTACTTTAAAAATTATATATAACTTATTCAAAGTAGTGTTAGAAACTATGATAGCATTGTTCCAACCTCCTTACTAAATTCTTTTAGTACTAAGTGATTTAGGACAGATGAAAACATTTTTGTTTGGGATCTCAGTTTTAGGGATCTTATGTGTAGGTATATATACAGGTATGTTAAAGAGTTTTTGTAATGGCATGAGTTCATTTAAATAAAGCTTTTTTTTTTTTTTTTTTTAGTAGTAACTTTCCTCATCTTGTACTGGAGAAAATTCTTGTAAGTCTTACTGTGAAAAACTCTAGAGCTGCAATGAAGTTTTTTCAAAGTGTGCCAGAATGGTATGTTATATAAGAAAATATGTGACATTTTAAGATATAGTATTAATTAGATAGATAATTTTAGCTGGTTGGGAGCTTATCTTATTGGTAATTGTGATCTAATTAAAAAAAATCACTATAGTTAAGCGGGGGGGTTTCTTATCAGTGATTATAATTTATGTCTATATCTTTAAATAAAGGTTATAGTTTTATTACTGAGTATTATAATATCTATATCTTTAAGTGAAGATTATAGTTTCATTACTGTGTATTATAATAAACTTAACAGTTCTGATGGGAAATTGGGGATATAAAATTTACATGAAGTGAGTTTTTTAGTAGGGACCCATTTTCTTTTTTCTAAAATTTTTTTGAGTAAAATTTATTAGGTTTAAAAATGGGCCAGTGAGATAGCTCAGTGGGTAAAGTTACCTTTCAAACCTGATGACCTGAGTTCAATCTTTGGGACTGATGTTGGAAGTAAGAACAAACTCTGGCAAGTTCATCATGTGTGTCTGTGGGACAATTCTCTCTCTCTCTTTCACACACACACACACACACACACACACACACACACACACACACTAGCTAAATGGATGTCATGGAAGCAACAAAACCTAGCGAGAGTTGGATATAATGATGTCCTGTGGTTCCAACACTGAAGCTGAGACAAGAGTATCTTGAAATCAGAATTTTGAGATGATCTTGAGCAGTGTAACTAGAATCAGTCAAACCTAATTATACTTAGAGTGAAAATAATCTAAAACCTTGTTTTTAGTTGGTTGACTAAAAGACTTAAGTTTATCTCTGTGACTGAAAATAACTCAGTGATGTGAAGATGCATAGTCTTTTGAAGGCATTAAATGAAAGGAAAATCATGCATTTTGGAAATAAGAGGTGAAAAGAAGGCAATGTTTTGGCAGTTACATTCGGTTATCTAGTGTTAATGTCTAAATAGTGCATGGATTTGCCTTTTAAATTGTAGTTTTTATATTTATGTGAGTAAAATTTGTTACGGAATAATGACATTTTCAGGCCTGTATTCAATTTGCTGTAAAAGTTCAAAACAGAGAAGCATTTGTCATAATTCACAAATTATATGAGCAGTCTTTAACTAGTGTATATGCTTTCTTGGTGTTTTTATATGAAATATGTTGAGAAAACTTTTGATGGTAGTTATTAATCAGTAATCTCACTTTCTAAGTGAACAACACTGCCAAGATAAAGAAGAGTCTTCATTTTCAGAAGTGGAAGAACTATTTCTTCAGACAACTTTTGACAAGATGGATTTTTTAACCACTGTGAAAGAATGTGTTGTAGAAAAATGTCAATCTTCTGTTGGCTTTTCGGTCCACCAAAATCTCAAGGAATCATTGGATCATTATCTTCTGGAATTATCAGAACAGCTTCTAAATAATTATTCTTCTGAGGTGAGATTTTTTTTTTTTTTTTTCCTCTGTTTTTCTTGAGACAGGTTTGGAGGCTGTCCTGGAACTGGTACTGTAGACCTAGACCAGGCTGGCCTCAAACTCACACAGATCCTCATGCCTCTCCTCACAGTGCTGGGATTAAAGGCGTGTACCATCACCATCTGGCCAATATTTCTTTAATTTAAAAAAAAAAAAAGAATTATCTATATTTGAACTTTCCTAGATTGTTAGGAAGGAGAACTAGGGGAGTGAAAGGCATGAAAGATGAGAGAAGTCTGGTTTTAAGTAATACCTGGGTTCAAGGCAGTATGGTCTAAAAGCTAGTTTCAGGGTAGCCAGGGATACTGTCTCTGGAAAAAAACAACAGCTGTGTGTGGTGGCTCATGCCTTTAATCCTAGCACTTGGAAGGCAGACCACGTGAATTTCAAAATTTGAGGCCAACCTGATCTACAGATTGAGCTTCATGATGTCAAAGACTACACAGAGAAACCCTCTCCTGAAGAAAAAAGAAAAGAAAAACAACAAAAAGTTGTAGTATTCAGTATTATAATTTTTAAAAAAGAACTAGCTTTTTTAAATTTATTTTTATTTTATGTGCATTGGTGTTTTGCCTTGGGTGACAGGTCTTCTGGAACTGTAGTTGACAGTTGAGCTGCCACGTGGGTGCTGGGAATTCAATCTTTGTCCTCTGGAAGAGCAGTCAGTGTTCTTAAACACTGAGCCATCTTTCCACTCTAGTATAATAATTTTAAGGGCACTTAAGTAGTATCTTCTTTGTATCATGGTTATTTATATGTCTATATATCTCAACCTTTGCTATAATTTGCTTAAAGGGCATAAAAGTTTAATCTTTATGTCTTCCACAAAGTCTTGTGTTATGTAAATGACATAATTTTAAAAAGCTTGTAAGTTCCCCAAAGGAGTGAAATAAGAAGCCAGGGAAAATGACCTTAGGAATTTGTAAGTATACCTTATTTATCAAGCATATGTTACCTATCTAGCAGCTTGATGTTAATTTGTGTGGAAATAGGCAGAGTTGGTACTCTATATGGTTTCATGGTGATGGGGTTTTTTTCCATAGAATTTTGTAGAGGCGGCCATTTACACATTTTCATCCTTCACCAAAGTCTGCACAAAATTTCCTAAAGGGAATGGCATAATAGTGAGAATCATTAAAATGGAAAAAAGGGTGCTGGAGAATTGTGATCCACAAGTTGAAACTTTGTCAGGCAGTAATGGTCGCAATGTGGTCATCACCAACTTTTATACGACTCTAGTTTTGATCATATTCAAAGTCTTGTTTTTTTTTCCCCTTCAATACTGTAATCAAACCTGGACCTTGTGTTTGTTAGGCAAGCACTCTACCACTGAGCGACATGGCCAGGTTTCTACTCATGTTCTAAGATAGTTGTTTGCTTGCCAGAGTTTTCTTTCTTCCTTATGTGCTGCTCCCTTGGGAGGGTAAAAGGGCATACTCTTAGTATTCAGTATTCAGGCATCTGTTCTGACCTGCCCTTCATTTTCTGTCAAGATATGCCCTCAGCTGCAGTCACTAAGAACACTATCTGTACATACTCACTCCGTTCCCTTTTAAAACCTCCTCTCTTTCTTTCCCCATTCACTATCCCTCAATTAAACCCCACCACCACCACCCAATGTCTGTCACATGGTGTCTTTCTCTCTAGTGCCACTTTTTAAAATTACAACACATACTCTTTCCTGTCTTTAGGAGAACTTGGACTATTTATTTTGGAATATTGGTTATCCTAACTCTGCAGTCATCTTTATGCTGGTTTTTAAAGGTTACCGTAGAGCATTCCAGTTTTAACTCTGCTGAATTTTTATTTCTTCATATGTGCATGAACTTGTTTTTCCAGAGGTAATTCCAAAGTACATACAATTATTTACATCTAATACTATATTTTTAAATTTATGATTCATTGAAGATTACAAACCCAGAAACACTTGTCCGGTGTTCAAGTCTTTTGGTGGGAGTTCTTGGCTGCTATTGTTTTGTGGGTATAATAATGGAAGAGGAAGCGTATAAATCAGAACTGTTCCAGAAAGCCAAGGTAGGAATATTTATACGGATAAAGTTTGATAGATTTAAATGAAATGAATTCCTGGAAGAATTAGGAAAAATATATTTTTGAATATGTTGAATGTCCCAAATCTGAAAATAGGAAATCTGAAATATTTTTAGAACTAGAAAATTTGAGTTCTAGCACAACCACTAAGATGAAAATTTTTACATCTGACCTCATATGACAGGTCATATTCAAGATGTACACACAGGTTATCATCAGATGTGTGTAAGATGTTGTCTTTAGTTTAATATTGCTGTGATAAAGTCCATGGCCAAAAGCAACCTGGGGAGGAAGGGGAGGAAAGGTGTATTTGGATTATATATCAGGACCATGGTCCGGTATTGATGGCAGTCGGGGCAGGAACCTGGAGATGGTAATTGAAGCAGATGCCATGGAGGAATGTTTTATATTGGCTTGTTCCTCCTGGCTTGCTTACTTTAGTTTCTTACCCAGGACCTGCTCAGGGATGATATTGTGCACAGTAGACTATGCCTTTCTACAGCAGTGATCAGTCAAGAAAATGCCCTTACAGACTTGCCTATAGATCAAATTCTCAATTAAGGTCCCTCTTCTCATATGACTAGCTGGTGTCGTATTGACAGAAAACTAACCAATACAGAGTAGATGAAAGAGGTGAGTTTTGTTTTTAGATTTGGAATCTTTCACAAAGATATCTTGTTATGTATATGTAAATATTCTAAATTCTGAAACATTTTTTGTCCTGTATATTTTAGCTAAGAGATGCTCGACATATATAAACTTTGTTCTTTCACTTAAACAGACTAAAAGAAATAGTGTATCTTTCCTTAAGATATGGAATTATTATAAGCCAGTAATAAGTAAATAAATATCACAATGTAACCTCATTATAATACTGACATTTTATTGTTGTTGTTACTATTTTGAGATAGGGTCCCTGATTGTCCTGGACCTCAACAGATCTGCCTGCCTCGGCTTTCCAAGGCTCCACCATGACTGGCTATGCATACTGTTTTTTTTTTTTTTTTTTTTTTTTTTTTTGTTCTGTACTCTTAAATTTTTTTCTCCAAGATAATCTGTAGTGAGGAGTTCTTGATTGGATATATTAATCAAGTATGTTCTAAGGTTAAAATTTTTTTAATCTCTTGATACTTGTATGTCTTATCTGTGGTGGGATTTGCAAAGGGAACAGAGTATAAGATTAAGGTGGGATTTTTCTATTACTTTGTTGAAACAGGGTCTCACTATATAGTCCAATCTGCCTGGAACTAAAAATCCAGTACCCTCTGAGCACTAGGATTATAGGTGCATTGCTACACATGGCTTGGATTTGTCATTTTCTGTTTGGGTATTCCTCATTTGTAATCTTGTTGCATGACTTTTTTTTTTTTTTTTTTTTTTGGAGACAGGGTATCAGCTTTTAGCCCAGCCTAGCCTGGTGATCCCTTTGCCTCAGCCTTTCCCAAGTGCTGGGATCACAGGTGTCTGCCCCCACTCCCAGTTTCATATTGAGTTTGTAAACATAGTTTCAGTTCTTAAATGAAATTTCAAGATAGCAATACTAAATTGTTATTTTTAACTGGAATTTGTCTTTTTCTTCTGTTCTAAATAGTCTCTAATGCAATGTGCAGGAGAAAGTATCTCTCTATTTAAAAATAAGACAAATGAGGAATCTAGAATTGGTTCATTGAGAAATGTGATACATCTGTGTACAAGTTGCTTATGTAGACATACCAAGGTAAGATCATCTTCTTGGTAGTATAGTGTATTCATGGGAGTTATTATTTAGTGGTGTTGAGTTTTTGATCTATTTTTGAGTTTATATGCTGAATTGAATGATAAATAAGAATATTCTGTAACTTCATTTTCTTATTATATATATGTATTATATGTATGTGTGTATATATGTATAGCTACATAGTCTCTTATTGCTAGCACATTTTTATTAATCTATTGCTTCATTGTTAACAAGTCTGTGATTTTTCATAGCATTATACTACAGGTGATAAGTGCTACAAAGATAAGTAATGCCTTCCTAGGATGTGCTCAGTCTATAGAGTGCCAATAAAGATTACTAGTACAAATGTTATGTTTACTTTTGCCCATATTATCTTAGGTAATATTTATTGAAAAAGTACGGCTGTGTGTAAACCTTGTTTTGTTTTTCAAAGGCCTATTGTAGTAGCTAAAAGAAGCTAGAATGTTGCTAATAATTGGAGCAGTCTTTGAAAGCCAGTGCATAAGCAACATGGTTTTGGTTTACTAATGTGCTTTCCTATATTTTTATATAAGTGTGGAATGCATGAAATGGAAAAGTGAATCTCAGTAGCTGATATTTTAATGATGTATTACTGAATTATCTCATTTACAGACATTTACCTCATTTATTATTTCCTTAAGAGGTTAGCTGTAGTTGTTAATTCTGGTTACTTTCTAGTTAACTACCCTTTTAAAATGGACTCTAAGTCTTTTTTCTTAAAAAAAAAGAAAGATGGTAATGTACCTCAACTTGTAATTTGACCTCAGTTCTGGAGTCTTTAGAAAATATTATCACCAAAAATCTGTATTTGTTTTATTATTTATTTCTTGGATATTTGCTTAAATTACAGCATAATCCACACAAGATGGTATCCAGCTTTTTCCTACGATTGTTAACATCAAAGCTTATGAATGACATTGCAGATATTTGTAAAAGTTTAGTAAGTATGAATCTTTTTTACTAATAAACTTCATTGATTCTGAGATATAATTAAAATTATATATGTATAGTGTGTGAGGGAGGAGGAGGGAGGAAGAGCAAGCACAGATAAGCCGGCACACGTGTACCACAGTGCGTGTGGAAGTCAGAGGGCAGCTCTTGGGAATGGATTCTCCTCTGTCATTTTTCTGGGATCTAGTGATTGAACTCAGAATGTCAGGCTCGAATGTAAAAGCCTCTACCACTGACCCATCTTGCTGGCCCTAAATTGCAAATTTTTGTTGTAATGGCTAATTAATATTATGTAGTATCTTGGATTTTTTAAAATAAATGTAGCCTTTATTAAACTTATTGTATTAGGAGGACATGTATTTGATTTCTTCTTAATATCAGTATCTGGCAGAGTAGCTAACTTGCCTTTTAATTTCCTACTAAATAACTGACTGATAGATTCAGTTTATTGTACAAGATATGTTCTCACTGTAGAGCTTAACCTAGAATTTGCCATGCAGTTCAGGTTGGCCTTGAACTCACAGAGTTCTGCCTCTGCCTCCCCAGTGCTGGGATTAACAGTGTGCACCACCATGCCTGGACAATTCATTTAACAAAAACTCCCAAAGTGGAGGAAAATACCTTGTCTTCTAGGGAGCTTGTTCTTACTGTGGTGTTTATACTTTATCTTCTATGACCTTGAACTTTTGTTATGTATGCTCTCTTATAGCATCTGATGAAACTTTAAATTATTCACTGAGTGAAAAAATATTCTGTAACATCATTATTTGTATTTCATGACAAATTGTTTACCTTGTTAATATACTTACGAGGTACACACTGCTGTGCTTTATTTGACAGTTATGATATTACACTGCTTAGGAATGGTGTATGTCTAGTCTAGTTCTAGGAGAGGCTCCAAAGCTACACAGAGAAACCTTGTCTCGAAAGACAAGAACAAGCAAAAAGATTTATTTATTTATTTATCCATTTATTTATTATGATTACATTTGCCTCCATGTATACCTGCACACCAGCAGATTTCTTCTGCACTAGATTTCTTCTCTTTGGCTGTCCTGGAACTATAGTCCAGGCTGGTCTCGAAGTCACAGAGATCTGCCTGCCTCTGCCTCCTGAGTGCTGGGATTAAAGGCGTATGCTACCACCCCCTGACTAGATTTCATTGTTGATTGCTGGGAATTGAACAAAAGACATCTGGAAGAGCAGTCATTGCTTTTAACCTCTGAGCCATCTCTCTAGCCCTGATCTAAGCAGTCTGCTTTGGCACATATACCCCCATGCCTGCCATACCCGTTTGCTCTCACTAACCATTTCAACTCATTTTCCCTTCTAATCAAAAGTTCTGCTATAGAGACTCCCTCATTTCAATTTTGTCTTCTTGTATTTGTATACTTAAAGGGATGCAAGAAAGGATCTCTATTTTTCAAAGGAATGTGTGAGACTTTTAGGGAGCATGTGTGAGTGGGTGTGTGTATGTTACAGTAAGATCTTAATTGTGTTGCCCAGGCTCACCTTTAACTCTAGGCTCAAATGATTCCTTTGCTTCAAGTATCCAAAGAGGTGGGACTACAGGCACATGCCTCCTTGCCCTTTAATTTTGATGGACATTGTTATTGTCCCACAAAAAAAGTCCTAATAATGATACTCTTTTTGAGTTTTTATCAATCTCGTGCTAAATTTTAAAAGTTTACTAAATATTGCAGGGTATAGTTCTGTATGTTTGTAGGGGTACAGAGGGGCGTTTGAGTATTTAAATACAATATGGAATGACTGTTACACTTTTTATTATATTTATTTTAGGCCTTTGTGCTGGCACGTGTGTCACAGTGCACATGTGAAAGTCAAGGAAAAATTTCTGGAATCTATACTCTTCTAACATGTGGATAACAGGGATTTAACTCAGGTCATCAGGCATGGCAGCAAGCGTCCTTATCCCATGAGCCATCTTGCTGGCCTATGGTAGTTTTTAATATAAGAAGTTATTTTTAAATTTTTGTTATTATCCTGTTACCTAAACAGATTCTAGTTTATATATTTACTTCCTACAATATGATGGACTAGGGTGTTTCTGAAAGAAGTTGAAAACAGCATCTTTGTTTCTCCTTTCTAAAGGCATCCTGTGTGAAAAAGCCATTTGATTATGGAGAAGTCCACTCAGTGAAAGATGATGCTGATGAAAATCTAATGGAGGCACAGGGTTCATCATCCAAAAGTACTGTGAGTGATGCAAATGACTCTGGAGAGAACCAGAACACTGTTGGTAAGTAAGTGTTCACTGCTTGGGATTTCTTTTACCACTGTATATGAATTTGTCACTGTAGAGGACCTCACTAAAAAAACTTTAATGAAAATTTCATTTCCCTTAGGTATAGTCTACTTAGATAATTCTATACATTTAAAACCTTTTTTTTTTTTTTTTTTTTCCTTTCCTGGAGACAGAGTTTAACTATGTAGTCCTGTCTTGGAATTCATTTTGTAGACCAAGCTGGCCTGCAGCCAGGAGGCACCTGCCTCTGCCTCCCAAATTCTGAGATTAAAAGTGTGTGCCACCATCCTTGGGCATTTAAAATATATATTACTGTTTTTATAATTTCCTGTGTTCATGTGTGTTAAAGTTGGCACACGTGTGGAGGTTGGAGGACAATGTTCCAGGAGTCAGGTCTCTCCTTCCACTGTGGATGATGTATTCCGGGTTTCAAACTAAGAACAAGCGCTCTTAGTTTCTGAGTCAACTTCACTGTTCCTCCTTACTACTCATTTTAAACTACTCTTATTTTAAAAATCAAATTTATTAGTTTATTATTTTATTCTTCATGGGAAAATTTAAAATAGTATAAAGAAAACCTATACAATAGACTATTTGAGCTGTAGATGGCATCAGTCTGGAAAGATGTTTGAAGTTGTGTCAGTCTACTGTGCCCTCTCTTGGTGTTAATAAGTGCCTTTTGTTTTTAGGTGCCATGAATCCTTTAACTGCCGACTACCTGTCAAAGCAAGATCATCTTCTTTTAGACATGCTCAGGTTCTTGTGCCTGTGTGTAACAGCATCTCAGAGCAATACTGTGTCTTTCAGAGCAGCAGATATTAGAAGGAAGTTGTTAGTGCTACTTGATTCTAGCACACTGGATCTTACTAAATCCCTCCACCTACATATGGTGAGTCAGATAGAATGGAAAAGCTTTTTTGTTTTTGTCTGGTGTTGCCAAAAAAATGTAATAGTTGGATATGTAAGAGTGGTGCAGTTATGCGGGGCAGTGGTGGCTCACGCCTTTTATCCCAGCACTTGGGAGGCAGAGGCAAATGTGTGAGTTTGAGGCCAACCTGGTCTGCAGAGCAAGTTTCAGGACAGACTTCAAAGCTACAGGGAAACCCTATCTCAAAAAACAAAAACAACAACAACAAAAAAAAGGAAAGGTATAGTAACTTTGAAGGGTTGATTTGTTTTTTTTTTCCCTCTGAAAGATAAATCTGAGACTAATTGTAAAATTTATTCAGCATGTGTTTGTGTGTTTCACAGGTTGGACTGAAGCAATCTTACTGAATATATGGGGTAACAGATACATTTTATGCCTAGATTTCTCATTTTTTCTTTTAAGTTAAAAGAATTGAAGTTGAGGTTAAAGCTTTGAAACTTGGATGCATTTTGAGTATTCCCTGTAATTATTATGAATTATTATAGACTGGAACAGGAAACATCTTTGAGGCACTGTGTAGCCCAGACTGCCCTGCTAAATAGTCTTCCTTACAGGTGCTGAGATTATGAGTGTAATCAGCAGCAGTCAAGACAGAGATGTAAAAATAATTCATAATATGAAATTTGAGGTTGCTTTTGAACTAATGCTACTAATACATACCTTCAGTTTCAATTTTTAACTTCATGGCTTAATCCCCCTTCCTCCCCCAAACTTGTAGCTTCTGTGTTTTGCCTTTATAAGACAAAATGAAAACCCTGCCTTCCCACAAATAAGTAATGAATTTGTTTACTACTCAGTAACCTTCTATGGAACTAATGTACTATCGCGTGGAACATGTCCTTATCTTATTCCCAGTAAACAGTTGGACATAGCTCCTGGCCCTGGCCCATTGAGTATCTTCTGGGTGTGTTCAAGGTTATAACCTTGGTTTGGTAAGCTAGCAGACATACCTGGTGCATTCCTTAATCATGTAATCCCTTGTGATGGATGTCTTGAACCTGCACAGGCCTTTTCTAATTGAAATGGGTTTCATTGTATTGTTGGGACCCTTGGTTTCATTCCTCTGGAATACTCTAGTGAAGTTTTACTTCCCTGACTCATGGGAAGGGTTATTTGTTTTTGAAGTTTTGATGTTTAAAATAATTTCACATTCTCAATAATAATACATATGACTCACATATTAGTTATTAAAGAGGATTTTAGCAAATTCTTCATTAGTATATGAGAAATATCTCATGGGATTTTTTTTTTGTAATTACAAAATTGTTTAACACCTCTGAGAAATTGATTGCTATGATTGCTTATTTATAACTACCATTATAAATGTTACTGGTAACAGAGCTCTTTCTATATAGTATTTGTAACACATAGTTACAGAGTTGCCATGGTAAATAGGTAGGTTAGGTTATTTTACTTCTCAGAATTATCTTTGCTTCCTAGAATTCAGTAGTTTTTCACCATTAAACTTAGCATTATTCTGAGAGTATAGAGACATAGTAGTTTCAGCTTCTTTATCTTCTAACTGCAGTGGTGACAGTCATGATAGTTTATTGAATTCAAGCAATAGAAATTATTGTTTATACTTTTATGCTGCCTGACTAGGTAATTGAGTATGTGTAGACTCCATGGCATATGGTCATGAGTTTTAACCATTTAAGTTAAGGTTATTGTGCTGTGTTTTGAATCTAATATTTTATTTGAAAGATACTTTATTATATGCTGTGTTTAGAATTTACAGCTCTGTGCATGTTTGAATTTGTTTATATAATGTATTTAAAAGTAAGTGATCTGTGGGTAAAGCTGGCTTTCTTTTTTTAAATCACCTTAGTACTTAGTGCTTCTGAAGGATCTCCCTGGAGGAGAACATTCATTGCCAATGGAAGATGTCGATGAACTTCTAAAACCATTATCGTAAGAAATGAAAGCCATGTTATGTATGTTCACTTTAAATTATAAACTGACATGTTCTTGTAAGCTTATAACAAAAATGTTTTCTACCACAGCCATGTCTGTTCTCTGTATCGTCGCGACCAAGATGTTTGTAAAACAATTTTAAGCCATGTCCTTCATGTAGTGACAAACCTAAGTCAGGGCAGTGTGGACACTGAGAGTACAAGGAATGCTCAAGGACAGTTCCTGACAGTGATTGGAGCATTTTGGTAAGTATAAGTCCCTTTTTCTGTCTCTAGATGCAGAAGTAAACTCTGCACATTAGTGATTCCCCACCCCACCCTGATTATCTTGTATAACTTTCTGCGTCTTTAATAATAGCATAACATAATCTGTCCTCCTTTTTTAAATGTGCATGTTTGTGAATGTTTGCTTCCATGAATGTGGGTACATGTGTGTCACTGCACTCTGTGGCAGTCAAAAAACACCTTTAGGTGTCAGTCCTCACTTTGTACGTGTTTGAAGCAGGTACTACTGGGCCCACAAGTTCCTCTTTTTCTGATTTACATTTTGCTGTAGACCTGCTGATATTCGGATGTTAGTGTGTCTTATTTTACATGAGTCTGAGAGATGCAGACTCTGGTTTTCACACTTCCATAGCATGTACTTTGTCTATTGAGCCCTTTCCCTAGCTCTGTCTTCCAGTCCCTTAATTGAGAAGCAACATTGGTTTTTTATAAAGTTTTGTTTTCTAAAATGTTTAGCATATGGCTCTGTAAATTTTGAATCACATAACTTGACATGGATGGTGCATAAAAAAGTGTAACAATCTTAAACCAATTGAATTATTGAATTATTGGTGACCCAAATGAACCAATGGCTTTGTTGCTGTTTATTTCACTCATAGTCTCACAGCATTTTTAAACACCTTTAATATTTATGTGTGTGGGGAAGTTTGAGCACATGCCATGGTGTACATGTTCAGGTTAGAGAACAATGAGTAGGAGTAGTTTTTCTCCTTCTACTATGCAGGTCCCAAGCATCAAACTGAGGTCTAGCAAGTGCTTTTGCCCACTGCAGCAGCCCTTTGGCCCAACAATAACATCTAGGAAATAACTTAGATGCCTCATTCATTTAGATTAATAAGGACTTCTGTAAGTCAATATAGAACATAGATTTTTAAATGTATAATGACCAAAATTTAAAGAATATTCTGTTTATATTTGATTTGCTATAGCATGGGTATCTGAAGTGTGTCAGTTCCAAGATACAAAACAAATGTACATCAAAATGAATTTCTTTTTATTTAGCTTGAATTTGGGGGAAGATAAACATACTGGCATGTTTACTTATAATGAAAATTAACTGGACAGAACCTTTTGAAATTACATGTGATAATGTTGATAGCAATTATTCTTTTCTTTTTCTTTTGTTTGAATAATTATTACATTGAGAATCTTACCTAATTTCAGGCACCTAACAAAGGAGAAGAAATGTATATTCTCTGTAAGAATGGCATTAGTAAAGTGTCTTCAAACTCTGCTTGAGGTGAGTTACTCCATGTGTCTAGAAAATTCTTCATTGGAATGGTCGAAGCCACCTTTATTAAGGTAATGAGTGATGTTTCTCTTAATGTTTGGTGTTTAACCTTAATTGTTGTTTTACTGTAGGCCGATCCATATTCCAAATGGGCGATTCTTAATGTAAAGGGCCAGGACTTTCCTGTAAATGAAGCATTTCCACATTTTCTTGCTGATGATCATCATCAAGTTCGGATGTTGACTGCAGGCTCAATCAACAGGTAAAGCTCTTGTAATGCTGCTGTGTTATTAACAGCAACACACAGTCAGAATATACATGTGTCTCAGAGTTGTGGTTTTTCTTTAATCTGACAATTCTGTCAGTTCCCCAGTTTACAAGTGAAAACTCTGGCTTAAAGAAGCAACTTGTTTAGTGCTGTGGAGCAAAACAAGTCATTGATTTGAATGAGAAGTGTCTGCTAGCACCTCAGGAGGTATAGACTATCTGGATATTACCATGGCTTTAAGTGAGTCAATAAAGTATAGTTTTGCTGGGCACTGGTGGCGCATGCCTTTAATCCAAGTACTCAGGAGTCAAAGGCAGGCATATCTTTTGAGTTTGAGGCCAGCCTGGTCTATAAAAGCTACACAGAGAAACCCTGTCTTGAAAAACCAAAAAGTAAGTATAGTTTTTTCATTTTTGTTGATGCTAATATGATTGCTGTTTTTAGCCTAAAATAATACTTGGCCATGGTGGGTGTTCATTAACAATTGCTGAATGAATATATTTGGAAAAGAAATGCTGTGCTACTTTAAAAATATCAAAGGTGAAAATTTGCATATTATTCAGACCAAAATGACCAGTAAGAGAAGGTTGCCATAAAGAAATTATCCAAGGAGTCATATACTCTATTAGTATGTGGGTTGTGACCCTTTGGGGTGGTTGGATGACCCTTTTTCACAGGGGTCACCTAAGACCATTGAAAAACACAGATATTTACATTGTGATTCATAACAGTATCAAAATCATATTTAGGAAGTAACAGTGAATAATTTTATGGCTAGGGGGTCGCCACAACATAAAGAACTGTATTAAAGGGTCACAGCATTAGAAAGGTTGAGAACCACTGCTTTATGAATCTGTGACAGTGATGTTTCCACGAACCAGGTGTTGTTCCTCATTCCTCATTTGTTTTGGTAAGAAAATAGTTCACTGTCAAGTGCTAGTGGTTGTGTGGGAGTTCAGATTTTTACTGTACTGAAGTGAGGTTATAGAGGATCATAAGTTGAGTGTAGTGGTATCATGAGGGAAAAATACCTTAAGTTTCAGAAATTTCAAGGAAGGTAAGTCAGATTCACTGTTTTTTGTTTTTGTTTTTTCTTTGGTTTGTTATATACTTAATGTTGGGCTCTTTCAGGAGAGGTTAGCAAAATTAAGGAATCAGAAGTAACAAATTTCTAAGAAATACCAAGAACAAAATTCATTATAAAGTCGTCTTAAAATATGCGGGTGTTATGTAAGAGGCATTGATAACCTCCACATTAAATATAATGCCAACTGAACATTGAAACATTAAGCTACTTATTTTGGGGGTGATTAAACAGAACAGATTGATAAAGAAGTTTGTGGACTCGTTTGATTCATGTTTGGCAAGAGGACAGTGAATCTTTGAGTGTAGTGTTCAAATGTGACCAGTAGTTAAAGATCTTTGAAATCTTTTCTATCTGGAAAAACTGGCTTTGATATGTAGGGTTTGTAATAAATTTATTTATTTTTTTGTTGTTTTTAAAGATTATTCCAGGATGTGAAACATGGAGATTCCTCCAGATGCTTGAAAGCATTGCCTTTGAAGTTTCAGCAAATAGCTTTTAAAAATGCATACATGAAAGCAGAGGCAGCAATAAGAGAAGCGGTAGGTGTAGTAACTTGTGTATGTTCTGCACTCAAGTATGGTCTATCTGTGTCACATTTCTTTAGCACACACTGGATGAGAGTTTGTATTTAGTAGTTTACACTGGAAAGCTGGTTTAAGTCAAGTGTATGGACTGAATGAGTCAAATAATAGCAATCACTTCTGCTTCAACTAATCTATGGTGTTTTGTGAGGAAAATCCAAATTAATGGGGATTTCAACATAAGAGAGAAATTTAAAAGGCTTTTATAGTTTAAGAAATCCTACATTCCAAACAGCTGGACAGGACAGCCCTGCAGACTACAGCTAGGATATCTGAATCTTCTTCGAATCCCCCAAGACAGCGCCCCTTACCAGCAGGAAGTAGTTTGGAAAGAACGACGCCCAAATTCCCAAATATTGTGTATAAATGTTTGTTTTCATTTAATTGGACTTTGTTATATAAAATTAAATAAAAAATACTCTATATGCATAAAAAAAAAAAAAAAAGAAATCTTTAAATCCAAAAAGAAAAATTCAAAACACACCATAAAATGCTGTGTGTGGTGGTGTATACCAGTGACCTTACTATTTCAAAGACTGGAAGTTAAAGTTGAGGGGACCCTGGATTGTAGAGTGAGTATAGCTAGTAAAAAATGCAGATAGGGGCTAGGGAGATGGCTCTCAGTTCCCCGCACCCACATGGCACCTGTAACTCCAGTTGAAGGGTATCTGGCACCTCATTCTGACCTCTGAAGGTACTGTACATAGACATATATACAGGCAAAACACCCACATACATAAAAATAAAATTTAAAAAAATGCAGAAGGGTACCTATTGGGCGTTTTTTTTACAAAAAATAATTGGTTGTTAAGCTGAAAGCATGTCATTCTATTTTCAAGACTTTGTTTCTTTTGCTTATATAGATGGCAGTAATTTTTTGAAGAAAACACTTTAAAGATGTATTGGTAACAGTCTTAGGTGTAGCACCTTATAGTGGGAGAACTCTTAATACTTCTCATTCTCCGTTTGCTGTCTGTTTTTTAAACAACTTGATACCTTGTGAAAAACTTTCGTCTTCGCTAATTATTTCCCTTAGATCTTAGGAAAAGGCACCTTTTCTTAACTATAGAAAAGCTTGTTTCTCAGTTCTTTCCTCTTAGCTCATTACTATAAGATTTAAAAGTTTGCAGGCTACTTAGAGATTAGAGAATAGTTGAGCTTGCTTGCTTGATTTACCAATTTAATATATTTATGTCATTATTCTTAAAATTTTTTGAAGTCGTGTGATACTCAGAACCCTGATCTTCTGGATGAGATACATAATAGAAAATCTGTTTTACTGATGGTGATAGCTGTGATCTTGCACTCTAGTCCTGTCTGTGAAAAACAGGCTCTGTTTGCCTTATGCAAATCTGTGAAGGAAAATGGATTAGAACCTCATCTTGTGAAAAAGGTATGATGAGTATGTTCACATTGTTTGTATGTGGCATTTGATACTTAGAAACAGTTTCTTTTTCAGACTGAGAATGTTAGAAACAAGTGTGTGTGTGGCACGTTTTACCTTGCTGGGGTTTGCACCCATGCCCTTATGCTTAGTAAGCCAGCACTCTACCACTGAATTACTGTCTTTTTTCACGGACAAACTTAAAAATTCTGTAAGTGGTATTTTTGTATTCAGTTTTATAAATCACTCATTGAGAACTAGCAAAAGTGAGTGGTCTGTCTCCACACAGATCAGATCCTCTAGAACAATTTGTTGATGGAAACATTGGATATGTTTGGTTGCTTTTGTGGAGTCAGCAGCACATTGGGATTTAACAAGGCCAGAAAACAAAGTTGAGGGCATTGTGACTTTTAGGTTTCATTTAAAGAAGAGGCCTGGGCTCAGTTATTGCAACCATCATCTCATTTTTGTAGAATATGGAAGCCCTCCCTGTTCATCATTTGGGAACCACTAGCCTCAAGTTCTTGTTACAGGTTCTAATGTGGTGAATATGGACTGATAGGCAGTTAACTTTGTACCAGCATGGGTTCCGTGGAGTTTTATTATTGTAGGTCAGTCTGTAGGGATCTGGTCTCAAGTAAGAACTTTTATTAAACTGAGTGACATGTTTTGGGATTTTTATAAAGTTGGATGTGAGGTTGAAAAGACTTAATTTTTCCTAAAACTTTTCTTGGAGACATAGTCAGCTGTGTAAATTTTACTATTATTTTTAAATGTTTATTACGGATTTTCAGTGTGCTGGATGCTGTGCCAGCAAATGTATAGTAAATACATTTTCCATTTTCTCATTTATCACTACCCATGTCATTGACAAGAAGTGAGGTGTAAAAATGTCAGGTGACTGCTACAAAGTCCTCGATTAAATACCAAGAAGCTGAAAGAAGGATGGTTGTTCCCATTAAGCATCGCATTTTCCTTTTGTGCAGGTTTTAGAGAAAGTCTCCGAATCTTTTGGATGTAGATGTTTAGAAGACTTCATGGCTTCTCATCTAGATTACCTGGTCTTGGAGTGGTTGAACCTTCAAGATAATGAATACAACTTATCTTCCTTTCCTTTTATTTTACTAAACTACACAAGTGTTGAGGATTTCTATAGGTAGGTTTATATGTTATGTGCAGTAGTGTTTGACAGCCCTCCCCCCACCTCTCACATCAGTAGCTACAGGTAGGAAGTTGCCTGGTTTTCTTTTTAAATAAAGACATACTGAGTATGTATCAAACAATGTATTTGAACTTAGGATTTGTTTGTAGCAATATTAGTAACCAGTTGTGTATATTTGGTTAAGCTGTGGTAATACTTTATGCATCTTGATTTACACACAAATGTCTTCCTTTGGAAAGTAATCAAAGATCTATTACTAGTGGGCAATTATTTCCTGGTTGAGTTTTCTTTCCTATTGCTTGATAGTGGATTATTTAATCATTATTTCTATTAATTTTCAAAAAATACTGGGGTGTAGTTCAGTTGGTACAGTGCATGCCTAGCATGCTAAAAGTGATGGATTTAGCACTGACTATGTAAACCAGGCATAGTGGCTTCTAGTTATAATCCCATGACTCAGAAGGTAGATAGATGAAGGATGCTCAGTAGTTCAATGTAATTTCTGGCTACAAAGGGAGTTCGATACCAGCCTGTACTACAGAAGACCCTGTATCAAAAAAAAAAAAAAGTTTTCTGATAGCTGTACATTTGATGGTCTTTATCATCCATTCTTTTTTTTTGTAATAACTTTTATATTTATTCTTTGAAGTTACAAATTGCTTTACCTTTGATCTCACAATATTGCCTTAGGTTGATTATGTATAAAATATTAAATTTCCTTAGCTGGGTATGATAATGCCACATGCCTACAGTTCCTGAACTTGAGAGGTAGGGGCAGGAAGATTACCACAATTTAGAGGTCATCATGGTCTATACAAATGTAGTTCAGGCTGTAATATGAGGTTCCTGCAGTTTTTTAGCCCCAAATAAACACACAGACATTATATTAATTATGAAACTGTTGGCTGATGGCTTGAGCTTCTTATTAGCTAGTTCTGTCTTAATTATTAACCCATTTCTATCGATCTATGTATTGCTAAGAGGCTGTGGCTTATCTTACTGGAGAATGGTCCAGACCTCTAACTCCTTTTTCTGCTCACATGACGACTGCTAAGCATCTCTGCAGAGAAGAGATTTGTCCCTGCTTATATCCTAATTCTGCCAGCTACATCACTTCTTGTCTGGCCAATCAGTGTTTTATTTATTAACCAATAAGAGAAACATGTATACAAAAGAATATTCCCCATCACCAGTCTAGCCTGGGCAACGGAGTGAGACTGTCTCATATAAAGGAAAAGGAGAATCAAGTTGATCTTTTTTTTAAGTGTTATTATTTATATTTTCCTTAACTTTAATTTCCCCATTTATACTTAAGGGTCTAGGGTCGGGAGCTATGGCTCAGCAGTTAAGAGCAATGACTTCTCTTCTAGAGGACCCACATTCAATTCCCAGCACCCACATGGTAGCTCACAATGATCTGTAACTTCTTTTCCAAGGGATCCAATGCCCTCTTTGTTCAAGAGATCCAATGCTCTTTTTCTAGCCTCCATGGACACCAGGCATGCAAGCAGTATATACATACATATGCAGGCAAAGTACCTACATACATAAAATTTTAAATAAATAGATAATTAATAATATATAAAGAATATTTAAAGATTGAAAGTGTTGCTTGGAACTCTGACTGTGTTAAAGCATTTTGTTATTTTCATGTAAAATTTTACTTTGAAAATTTTTATAACCTAAATTTTAAACTTAAAACATTTTCAGGTCTTGTTACAAGGTTTTGATTCCACATTTGGTGATTAGAAGTCAGTTTGATGAGGTGAAGTCCATTGCTAATCAGATTCAAAAGGATTGGAAAAGTCTGTTGATAGACTGCTTTCCAAAGATTCTTGTACATATTCTTCCTTACTTCGCCTATGAGGGCACAGGGGACAGCAGCATAACACAGAAGAGAGAGACTGCTACCATGGTCTATGACACACTTAAAAGCGAAGACTTACTAGGAAAACAGGTATGCCTTCAAGTTTTTGTCTACCGTTATCCCCTTACTGATAAAGGATGGAAGCTGTAAAGTTATGCTTGGGGAGATTGCCTGGTAAAGTGTTACTGGGTAGGTAGGACTACCTGAATTCATATACCTATGTTCACATAAAAGCTGGACATGTAACCCCAGAGCTGCTGGGGATCCTGGGTGCTTGCTGACAATCCTAGAGAATTTCTGCCCTTTTGAAGTTGACTATAGCAGAAGAAGAGGTGAGAAATCTACTTCTTAGACAGTCATCATTTTAGTGACTATTGATGAAAGATGATGCTGGCTTCAGATTTTGTGGTTATTTCATGATACCAGGAGAAGCATACAGGGCATCTAAGGGGCTTATTGCCAGTTAACAAAGATTTCTTAATTGTTAAGATTCTTGAAGAGTTAGCAAATGAATAAAAAATAAAGTGCAAACTGAGGAATAGTGAAGATTATGGAACTTTGCTAGCTTTCCAGTTTGAGAAATTTAATGCTAAATCCAAAGTCTGTTAAAATGATTCTGTAAGATATAAAGGTGGCTGTGGAGAAGAAAATGTAGAGGTTTTCTTTGTGAAACTTGATCTTGGTTATCTTTTTTTTTTTTAATAGTTATGACATAGTAAAGAATTATTACATACCTTTCAGTGTTATAAAAATCACAACAGTAAAAATGTTTAATGTATCCTAATTTTGTATCCTTATAGATTGATCAAGTATTCATTAGTAATTTACCAGAGATTGTGGTGGAGTTACTGATGACATTACACGAAACAGCTGATTGTGATGCCAGTCAATGCACTGACCTCGGTGACTTCTCAGGGTATGGCCATTTCATAGCGAGCTAGCTATAGCTGAGTCACCTTAATTACCCATCTCCTTCACTGCAGCCTTCCTACTCTACTTGCTCTTTCTAGCTGGCTTTTTAGGGAGCACAGTAACCTGTTTCTTTTCACTCTTCCCTTGGTATCAGCAGTGAGCTACCTAATGCCTTTTGAGACTATTTTTCTTTATGTGTTTTCTTACTGGTTCTCTATCCATGTCTTGCCTTTCTCTGCTTCCTTTCTTTGTGGTGCTCCTTAGCTTAGATGTGAAATCAGTTGATTGTATATGAATGTTAGAGTGATTTGGGGGGGGTTGTTAAGGTCCTTGAAAATTCTCAATTTTTAAAAAATATTTAAAAATATTTTACTCTTGCATATGAGTGTCTTGCCTGCATGTATATCTATGCATCATGTGCATGCAGTTCCCATACAGACCACAAGAGGGCAGTAGAGAGCCCTTCCTCCAATTCAAACCTCTTGGAGTTGGAGTTGTTACCCACTATGTGGGTGCTACGAATTAAACCTTGGTTCTCTAGAAAAGCAGTCAGTGCTCTTGACTTTTGTTTGTTTTTATGAGGTCCTGAAACTCACTTTGTAGAATATGCTAGCTTCAAGCTTAGTTCTGCCTGCTTCTGTTTCCCTAGTGCTGGGATTAAAGGCGTGTGCCTTCGTGTCCTGCTGAAAATACTCAATTTTTAAAAATGCTGACTGTTGGACATATTAATTAGTAGTAATGCTGAGAAAGTATTTAGTGTTTATAATTGTAAATATAATTTAATATTCACCTGGCTTAAGATACTGTTGGTCTTGTAGTACTGTAGTACAGAGTTATAAATCAGACCTGAAGGAAAGATTTACTAAGTTCCAACTCTGGGGCTGCCGTTGACTTCATAAAAGGCTAAATAAGCCAGATAAACCAATTATTTTAATCAAACCCATATGACATTATGGACATATTAGGGGTAGATGCCTAATTTCATGTATGTGAACTATGTTGTATTGTTTGTGATTTTGAAAATATAGTTTTCAATAGAAAGCTTTTGTAACTTGGGAGTTTCATTTTGGAAGTTCATTCCTCTAATTTTATTTTAAAAATAATTTTTTTTTTTTTTTTTTTTTTTTTTTTTTTTTTTGTCTTTAGGGATTTGGATCCTGCTCCTAATCCACCGTATTTTCCATCACATGTTATTAAAGCAACATTTGCCTATATCAGTAACTGTCATAAAACTAAGTTCAAAAGCATTTTAGAAATTCTTTCTAAAATCCCTGTAAGTACATATTGCATTATTAGCTAGTATTTGTAAGGATTAGGGTTTTTCTGCCTGCTGCTGCTCTGGTCCCGCCGCCGTGCCAGCCCCAATTAACACAGAGAGACTCTGTATTAGATATAATGCTGTTGGCCAGGTACTAGTTTCTTATCGGCTAGCTCTGTCTTAAGTATTAACCCATTTGTGTTAATCTATGTATTTCCACGTGGTTTCATCTTACCGGGAGCCGGCTGCTGTACTGCTCTCTCCAGACCCTCCATGCTGCCTCCTCTTTACCACTTCCTCTTTCCTCCTTGTCTCCTAGTCCCTCCTCTCTTACTTTCCTATTGGCCAACAGTGCTTTATTCATTAACCAGTATGAGAAACATATTTACAGAATAACATCACCCATCAAGTATTTGATAAGAAAAGTCCGTTTCATCTAGGAAATAAATCTAAGTATATCTTGTGGGGGTATGAAAGTTTAGTTGACTAATTTAAAAGGAAAACAGTTCAAGTGGTATCTTAGTATTTTAGTCAATGTTAACTAAATGTATTATATATCAGGCCAGAATTTCATGACCCTGCCTTTATTAATTAGCTCAGAGAACATGTCTTCTGTTTCACCATAATCTATTGAGTTTCAATTTACTTTCTGAAAACTAACGTGGCAACTTTTTAAAACATGAAATAGACTTTTAACAATTCTAGTATAATAATTTGCATGTGATAATCAAGCCCATATATAAATGATCATTTAGTAAAGTATAAACTATATTGGTTACAGCTGAATATATTTGATTTTAAAATATTTTTCTAAATGTGTATCTATTTTGTAGGATTCCTATCAGAAAATTCTTCTGGCAATTTGTGAACAAGCAGCTGAGACAAATAATGTCTATAAAAAGCACAGAATTCTTAAAATATATCACCTGTTTGTTACTTTATTACTGAAAGATATAAAAAGTAGCTTGGGAGGAGCTTGGGCCTTTGTTCTTCGTGATGTTATTTATACTTTGATACACTATATCAACAAAAGGTAAATAATATATTGGACTGATGCATTAGCAGTATTTTGTGTGTGTAAGCATGTTTTCGTGATAATCTCATTCTATTTTGGCTACTATGTCTTTGTCATCAAAAGTATGCTCTTGCTTTTTTCTTTTTTACTTAGAATTGCTTTGGCTGTTTGAGTTTTTGTGTGTGTGCATTCTATTTGAATCATAATTTTTCTTTATTTTTCTTTCTCTAAGGAATCATTAGTATCTTTAGGGATTATATTACATAAATTGCTTTAGGTGGAGTGAACATTTTAATAAAGATGAAAGGATTTCTTCCTTTTTTATTTTCTTTCATAAATATAAGTTTCTCTTTGTGTTGTAGAGATTGTTCCTGTTTGGGTTAAAATTTCTGTAGCTATTATAAATGAGATCCTCCACCCCCCACTCCCAACTCCTTTTCTATTTTTTTTTATTTTCAGTATGAAGAAATCCTGATTCCTTTGGGGGCGGGGGTTGGTTCAAGAGAGGGTTTCTCTGGGTAGTTTTGGAGCCTGTCCTGGAACTCACTTTGTAGACCACGTTGGTCTCGAACTCACAGAGATGCTCCTGCCTTTGCCTGAGTGCTGGGATTAAAGGTGTGTGCCTCCACCCAGAAATCCTGATTCTTTTGTTGATTTTATAACCTGAACCTTTACTGAATACATTTAGTAGTTTTAGTAGGGCTTTTATTGTTTGTTTGTTTTGTGGAGCCATTAAGTTCACCTGCAAATGGTGGTGATTTGACTTTCTCTGTTTGAACACAATTTATAGTAGAAGTGGTGAAAAAGTAGTTCTTGTCTTTTCCAAATCTTAGAGAAACTGCTCAGCTTTTCTCTGTTTACTGTGTTAGCTGGGAACTTCTTATGTGTAGCATTTATGTTGAGATAAATTCCAAAAGTAACGTATTTTGTTCAGACATCCACCACCGGAGATGTTAAATTTATTCAAATTCCTTTTTTGCCTATTGAGATCACCATAGATTTTACCCTTAATTCTGTTGCTGTGTGGTTTAGTACTTTTATTGATTTGCATATGTTGAACCATCCTAGCATCTCTGGGATGAATCCCACCTGCTTATGTGTAATCTTTCCAGGGATATTGGGTTTAATTTGCTAGAACTTTGTGGAGGACTTTTCTATCTTTGCTTATCAGGAATATGGCCTGTAGTTTTTTGTTGTTGTTGTTATGTACTTGTCTGGTTTGGGTATCAGGCTAATTCTGGCCTAGTGGAATGTATTGGCAGAAACTCTGTGTAATTTTGAGAATAAACAGTATTAGTTTAGTGAAGTCATGTGGTCCTGGGCTTTGTTGTTGGATGACTTTTTGTTTAGTCTCATTACTTGATTACTTATTATTGACTTGTTTAAGTTTGCTATTTAAGTTTGTTTTTCTTTCCTTATTATTGGTTATTATTGTTTTAAAGTAGAGTCTAGCTGTGTTGCCTTGAAACAACCCAGGTTCAGAATTCCTCTTGATTTGGCCTTCCAAATAACAACATAGGCATATAGTCTCTGATAAATTCATTTGGCTGTCTTTTTTTTTTTTTTAGCTCCAGAGGTTTGTCATTTTTGTTTGTCTTCAAAGAATGGAAATTTAAAATCATTCATCATTTTGTTATAGTGAAGGCATTCAAAACCCTTTCTTGTGGCTTTTTGATCTATAGAATTATTATCTGCTGTTGTCCTCTTCTCTAGCACATCAGAATGTCTCGGTCCCCAACTGTAACTTAGTGCCCGTAGATCTCTTGCCCGTTCTTCCGTAGCCCCACTCTCTGTTCTTTGGTTACCCTCATTCTATCCTGAACTTCTAATTAGATTTTAAAATTATTTTGAATTCTTTCTTTAGTAACTCCAGTGTATGAAGTTCTTCAGGAAATGTTTCTGTTTTCTTCTTCTGAATAGTTCATGCCTTATTTCTTTATATGGTTTTCAGTGTTTCAGTTATATGGTTTCAGTATATGGTTTTCAGATGATAAAATCTGATCTCTTCAGTACATAATGAGGTTAAGTGTTGAAATCAGGTTTTCCTTAAGGTTTGACTTGGAATGCTTCTCCATGCATGTTGAGACATTCTCTGTCTTCCTCTATCTCCTTTCGCCTATTCCTTTAAGACAGAGTCTCTCACTAAGGAGAACCTGGCCATTTCAGAGAGTCTTGCTGGCCAGCAAGCTCCTGACCCACCAGTCCTATGGTGTGGACATGAACAGCCATGCCTGGCTCTTTATATAGGTGCTCAGAATTGGAACTCAGGTCCTCATGCTTTCAGAGTAAACACACTTACCCACTGAGCTATCACCCCAGCATTGTTTGACTTTTATTTACTTTCTTCTCTTTTCTTCCTTCCTTTCCTCTCTCCCTTCCTTCTTGTCTTATTTTTATTTTTTTACTGAACACCAGCTGTTACCAAGTAGCTGTTTTGTCAATGGTTTTCTTGATGTGTGTATTCAATGAAGCCTGGCTTTATTTTTTGGGTTTTGTTTGTTTGTTTGTTTTGTTTTTTGCCTTCTTTTGGATAGCACCCTTTGGAGGTGACTTGACTGGCAGGAGCAGCAGAAGTACTGGGGATGTGGAGAGCATGACTGAAAGACTAAGACTTTTGTTTAGAGAAATGACTGCTGGAACTGTCCTTCAGTGCTTGCTGGCTTGCAGGAATTCTTGGATCTCTTAGTTGAATGATTGTGACAGTTTTCTTGTTTTTCAGTAATTACATCAGAAAACAGGAACCTAGGATTGCATGTTCTGTATCTTTCTGACATTCTTTTCAATTTTGGATTATAACCATTGAAGTATTGGATATAAAGCATTAGAATTAGAGACATTCAATAAAATGACTTGAATATTACTTCAAAGTAATTTCTTAAACCTTGTTATTTTTTATTTCTTTTTCTTATTAGGCCTTCTCATTTCACAGATGTGTCATTGAGGAGCTTTTCTCTTTGCTGTGATCTGTTAAGTCGAGTGTGCCATACAGCTGTAACTCACTGTAAGGATGCTCTAGAAAACCATCTTCATGTTATTGTTGGCACACTTATACCACTTGTGAATTATCAGGAGGTTCAAGAGCAGGTAATTTACCAGTTGAGATTTTTTTGAGATAAACGATACTCTTAGGAATTGAATGCCTTAAGTTTACCTGGTGTAATTAGTTTTTATGGGAATGTTTTTAATAAGTGATGAGGAAGACAGTATTAGTGAATTATTCTTTGAAATCAGTTACCTAGCCATTGGTAACTTTTATCTAATAAATCTAATAGTTTTGTCTATTACTAGTAGTCCAAAGTAGAGCTAGCAGTTCCCACTGTTAAGTGAGATCCCATATAAAATGCTTCATTAACACTGTATTTGTTATGTCCACCTTGTGTAGCACTGTACATATTTTAGTTTTTGAAGCCATACCCAGATAGCTGGGTACCACAGATACCATTAGACCATTTCTGGGTTAGCAGTTATAGTGGGTTTATCGGTTATAGTGGGATTTGACTCTTTGAATATAATTAAGACTTACCCCCTTTCCCCTCCCTCTCCTTTGGTAATTATTTAGGTATTGGACCTTTTGAAGTACTTGGTGATAGATAACAAGGACAATGAAAATCTCTTTGTCATGATTAAACTTTTGGATCCTTTTCCTGACCACGTTGTTTTTAAGAATTTGCGGCTTACTCAACAGAAAATCAAGTATAGTGGAGGGCAATTTTCACTTTTAGAGGTAACGAAAGTTTTATTTATAATTTTGCATTACAGAATATAGGCAGTAGTATTTTTTTAAACCTTTAATGTGCTACTGATAAAGACTGAATACTTTGTTGTAATAAAAGTAATGCCTGAGATTTACCTTCTTAAATAAAATCAAAATCATTTAAAATATACATATCTATTTCAAATCATGTGTCTGTGTGAATATGCTTTATATGTGCATGTGCTAAAGGAAGCCAAAAGGTTCCAGATTCCCCTGTAGTCGAAGTTATAGATAGTCCTGAACCATCTGACATGGGTTCTGGGAACTGAACACAGGTCCTCTGCAAGAGCAGCCAGCTCTTTTAACCACCAGGCCTTCTCTTCAACCCCTCAAAACAGATTGTTACGCATCTTCATGCATTGCATTTAAAGTATAAATATCAAAGCTTCCTGAGAAAGATGAATATTCAAAGAGTAATAAAATGTTCTTGATTTTTTACACAAATAGGGTCTTTGGTTCATCAGTATCTCAAAATTGTCATCTGTTTCTTTGAGGGTCAGTAATGTTTATATTAGTGATGATATTTATCATGTTAATCTTTTATAAACTTTTTACATCTGTATTCTCCTTTTAAATATTATAATTCTGTTAGACTACCAATCTGGAAACATTTAATGCATTAAGGTATATAATTAAAGTTATACTACTAAGTAAATAAAAAATAGAAATGTTTCCTTCCAATTCAGCTTGTTGTTGTAGTCTTGAAGTCTATTCTGTTAACATCTAATGTAGATAAGAGATTCTTTTAGAATTTAAACCCTGAAAACATTGTCAGAATTAAAGTGGAAAACTGGGTGGTGTGGGTGGTGATGGCTCATGCCTTTAATCCTAGCACTCGGGAGGCAGAGGCAGGTGAATCTCTTTGAGTTTGAGGCCAGCCTGGTCTCCTGAGCGAGTTCCTGGACAGGCTCCAAAGCTACAGAGAAACCCTCTCGTGAAGAGAGAGAGAGAGAGAGAGAGAGAGAGAGAGAGAGAGAGAGAGAGAGAGAGAGAGAAGGAAGGTAGTTTTTCCATATTTGTTTCATGTGTGAGTATCTTTAGATACTATTTATTACTACTTACTATTTTTTCTTTTATTTTTCGCAGTTATTCAGTATGTGTTCAACTAATACTAAGTTGGTTTTGTCTTTTAGGAAATTAACCATTTTCTTTCAGTAAGTGCTTACAATCCACTTCCACTGACCAGGCTTGAAGGATTGAAGGATCTTCGAAGACAGCTGGAACAACATAAAGATCAGATGCTAGATCTCATGAGAGCATCTCAGGGTATAATTCATCTTTATGTGAATGGGTGTATTTCATGCGCATACATGTGCACACATGACTGCAGTGCCTGTGGAGGCCAGAAGAGGGCGTTAGATTCTCCATGAACTTGAGTTAACAAATGGTTGTGAGCTGCTATGTGGGTGCTGAGAACTGAATCCATGGTTGCAGAGAGGCCCCTATATGGTGTATGTCTAAATTCTGAATATTGTGTGGCAAGGGACTAAGCAAGGTCCTCTTTAGCTTTTGTGTTTAATATTCTTACATTTCTAGTCATTTGTGACTTTGATAAGGAATTAATTTTGCTGTTCAGCACGTTCAAGACATGTTTGTCTGCTTGGTATATTTTGCTACCATGTGACCATATTTCAGAATTCTGTGTATTTTTAAAATCCATTCATGATTTAAAGTTGAAATGTCCTAGTTTGAGGAGAGGGATGTTGTGAAATAAGTATATGTTGTCCTTATGATAGCTAAAGCACTTTTCTCTAAACTATTTCTAGATAACCCACAGGATGGCATTGTGGTGAAGTTGGTTGTCAGCTTATTGCAGATATCCAAGATGGCAGTGAACCAGACTGGTGAAAGAGAAGTTTTAGGTAATGATTAGGTGAACGGTCTTTAGTATGATCAGAATAAGTGTAAGGTTGTCTTTTAATTTACTAGAGAAATAACGGTGGTTTGCTAAGTTATATTTCTTTTTAATCCAGCTAACTCCAGACACCTGCCTTTCATATTCCTTAAATTTGCTTATAAAGTTAAAAATAATAATAATTAATAATATAATAGATGTTAATCTTAAAATGTCTTATAAAGATGTAGGAGTATCATTAATCTCTGCTTAGTTAAGTTGCAAAGTAATTAACTTCTGAAATATTGTGTAAGTATGGCTTACTGAGAATGGGGAAAGTAAGAGCTGTTGGTGCATTTTCCAGTGTCCATCTCAGTTCCCAATAGAGCCTACTGTCTAGTATACTTAGCTTTAGTTTGGTTTTTATTGAAGTATATTTTACATGTAGACTTGAATACAAATGACATGTACCTTGTTTAAAGTATTTGTACACAATCACATAATACCTGTGCAGATCCAGAAATTGAACCTTACCAGAACCCTCACATCTTTGTTCATTGTCCTGTTGTTTCTGGGCACAAAGCTGATTTGCTCCAGAAGCTCAAAGTATCTTTCCTGTACAATTCAGAATGATTCTGTACAATACAGAATGAGCCTATAATACATGACACACTTTGTGATAATAGACTGAAATCTTTCCACTAATATCAAGAATAAGAAAAGTCACTCCCCTTTACTGTTTGTATTCAGCACTAAATTGAAGTGCTAGCCAGAGTATCAAGCACAGAAAAGATTGGAAAGTGTGCCAAATGGAAAGGAAACAAAGCTGCCTGTGTTTATAGATGACATGATATGTGTTTAAAAATTTTCACTGAAGTGTGTGTTTAAGATTTACGAATGATATGCATGTGACACCTGGATTTTCTTTTTTTTTCTTTCTTTTTTTTTTTGGTGGGGGGGAGTTAAAGTTGATACTTTATTACAGTGCCAGACATGTTACTACTTGTGCTTTTAATATTCTGTTACTATAACTGTTAACTTATTTTCTGTCATCCCTGGGGAAATACATATTACAACATTGATGTATTTTTAGCTTTCTTTACTCCCAGTATTAGAAAACACTGAAATATTTGAAGCATGACAAAATGGTGTTAATACTTTTTAATTTGGAAATATTTTATATCTTCCTACTTATGGCTGTACTAAAATTAAGTTTCTATATGTAGAGGCTGTTGGAAGGTGTTTGGGAGAAATAGGTCCTCTGGATTTCTCTGCCATAGCCGTACAGCATAATAAAGATACATCTTATACCAAAGCTCACGGGTTGCCTGAAGATAAAGAACTTCAGTGGACCTTGATAATGCTGACTATCCTGAACAATACACTGGTAGAAGACAGGTGAGTATTTGAGATGCCTTTCATCCAATTACAGAAACTAAAACCAAATCTGGATTTCAGGAAAATTATGCTAATACTTCACTTAACATTTTGTCTTGCAAGTGCGTTCTTTCTTTCCTTCCTTTTTAAGTTTTTAATGTTTCTTTCATATGCATGAATGTTTGGCCTGAATGTATGTATGAATGTATACTACATGTATGCCTGGTGCCCATGGAGCTCTGAAGGTATTAGATACCCTGAGACTGGAGTTGGGTGATAGTGAAACACCATGTGGATGCTGGCAATCTAATCCTCTGCAAGAGCAATGAGTACTCTTAACCACTGAGTCAAATACCCTTTGTTCCTGACACTTGATGGTGATGAAAGAGTAAGGTCTGTTTTCAATTGTAGTGAGACTTAAGTTATACAAAGGATGAATAAGTAAACTGCCAGATGGTTCCACACAGACAATTAAAATATAGGAATGTAGGCTGGTGGGATGGCTCAGCAGGTAAAAGGCACCTGCCATCAAACTTGAAAACCTGCGTTTGATCCCCAGAACTCATGGTAAAATAAATCTCCTAAAAGTTGTCTTCTGACCTCTGCAAGCATGTTGTGTCATTCACCTTCATCCTTATGAACCTTAAATACAGGAGTGTAAAGAATGATAACTTAAGTGATTTTTTTTTTTTTTTCAAAACCAGAGTGCTATGTTCGTCCAAGCTAATTTTTATTTTGATTCTTTTACAATAATCCATGGAGCAAAAACTTTATAACCTCAGAAGGTTTAAACTAATAAAATTTTCTATTACTATTTCATTCCTTGTTCAAAACTAAATTTTAAGGTACAGTCAGTATTTTAGCTTGTTGGTTGTAAGATTACTTCCTTTTCATTATTAACTTATTGTTGTTATTGTTTGAAATGCTGGGGACTGAATGCAGGACCGTACACACCCTTGGCATCTCTGAGCCGTGTTTTCAGCTCTCTGAATTCGATCATTGATTTACTGGTTTATTTGTTCACCCCATCATTACCATTGTAGGAGGCTCAGTTCAAAGGTTTTCTTCCAGCCAGGCATCTCTTAAAGGTATATATGTGTGTTGACTTTATTTTTCTGCCTCTCCTCTTACAACCTATCATGTTTCCATTACTGATTTAATGGACCTGTATATTTTGTTATTGTTGTTTTTGCTATATTAAATTGCCTGGCATGGGTTCTTTCCTAAATTACGTAAATTTCCATACATACTAAAAAGAATTTTACAGTGAATATCTGTATACTTACTATGTAAATTCTTACATTAACATTTTACTGCTATTTTTTTTTAATCGTGTTCCTCTATCTTTCTACCATTATTAATCCATTTCTTTCTCTCTTTTTTGAGACAGAACTTCATATAGTTCAGGCTAGCCATGAACTTGTTAATGTAGTGATCTTGATCTCCTGATCCTCCTCCCTCTGCTCTTTACCTCCTAAGTGCCAGTATTGCAGCATATGCTACTGGCTTAATCCATCTTGAACTTTTGTTTGTATTTTGAGACAGGGTTTCTCTGTTTAGCCCTGACTGTCCTGGGACTTGCTCTGTTGTAAACCAGCTGGCTTCGACCTAAGAGATCCTTCTGCTCTGCCTCCAGAGTGTTGGGATTTAAAGGCATTCACTATCACCTCCTGGCTCTATCTAGACTTTTTTGAAGAGATTTTACACGGAAAATTTAATCAAAAAAATAATTTGATACATACTAATCTCAAGTTTTTTTTAAATGATGTGCATATCTATTAGTGTGACATAAACATGAGAATAATAGGCAACAGATAAAAGAGTTGTTTCCTATTTTACTGTTGAAAAGGGAAAAGTATTAGGTGTTTGGGGGTTTCAGCATACAAAGGAGATTTGACTAAGGAAATAACCACATAACCTGATGATAAAAAAACTTCTTTGAGGAAGTGTCATGTGATCTGAGTGATGATAAAATAACTTGGGGTAATTAGGAGTAAAATATTCCACACAGGGATTATATAATAAGATCATTTTATTTATATTTGTCTAATAAAAATACAGGATGAATTTATATGGTAATGTCTTGAATTTATATATAGTGGTATTATAGTACATCATCATACATAACTGGCTTTTATATGACAAATTGATGACTATTCTAGTTTGCTTCTATTGCTTTGATAAGTAACATAGCCAAAAGTAAATTGATGGAGGGAAAGTGTTTAATTCATCTTACCCTTACATTCTATTGTGACAGGAAGTCGGTGAGAACTGAAGAAGGCGGGAACTAGAGCAGATCCTACTGGCTTGCTCTCTGGATCAGCTACCTTTGTCACATCTATTAGGATCACCTGTCTAGGGGTGATACTCCCTCAGTGGCCTGGGCCTTCCCACATCAGTCATTAATTAAGAAAATGTTTCCCAGACTACAGCCCAGTCTGATGGAGGCATCGTCTCAGATAACTCTAGTTTGTGTCAAGTTGTAAAAACAAGAAAAACAAAATCTAACCAGCACAGTGACTCAAGGGCAAAAGTAGAAACAGGATTTGGCTATGAAATTATTGCTATAGTACAGAGGGGGGAAATTATAATATGAATTAGGAGATCAATAATGAACATGTGGGGCATGGATGGAACCAGGATATGTTTTTCACACAGTCAATAGGATTTCCTGAGGAATTAGATGTAATTAGCAAAACATACCTGGACAGAATTAAAACTTCTTTGATACCTTGTCATTATTCCAATTTCAGGCCTGGTAACATTTTTTTGTTAGTTGCCATATTTTCAGGACTGTTAATAATCTTTCATTTCCTGGGATGTTTTTGCTTTAAAAGAAGGAATTTTGTTTTTCATTTAGAGGTTTTAAGTGCTAATGATCTTCAACTAACTGCTTTGTCAGAATAAGTATGTACCTTCAAAATCAGTTTTGCAATAATTTTATCATTTGGAGTAAAATATTATTGTACCTCACCTCACATATAATTTGTAGCACTAGAAAAATACTATTAATATGTTTCCTTAGGTGAATTAGGCTTTTGCCATTTTTCGCTAGTCATATTTATTAGGCTACATTATTTCCTAGTAGTTTCTCTTAAGAGTTCTTTAAGCTTACAGTCAGTGTAACATAGTCATTATTGTATAGAATGAAGAGAATTGCCGCTGAAGTGGTCGTGTTTACTGAGGGAATAATTTTAAAATTTTTGGCTTGTTACTAGCTAACTCTTAGACTTTCGCGTTAACCCATTTTCCTCATCTATGCTCTACCATGTGGCTCATGATTTTCTACACCTCTTGCTTCCTTGGTGTCTGCTTGCTGGCATCTCTTTGCTCCACCCTTCATCCCAGTATTCTCTCTGTTTAAGGCCATCTCTTCCTGCCCAGCTGTCAGCCGGTTAGCTTTTTATTAACAATGAGATCAATATGTATATTTACAATGTACGAAAGGATTATTCCATAGTAAATGTTATAGAATTTTACAGATAGGAAATTTTAGATTTAGTTTCTAATATTTTAAATTATCCAATGAAATTTGCATATCTTTTCAGTTTGATAAATTGTGTATGTTTTTCAGTGTCAAAGTTCGATCAGCTGCTGCTACCTGTTTGAAAAATATTTTGGCTACAAAGACTGGGCACAGTTTCTGGGAGACTTATAAGATGTCCGAGGATCCCATGCTGACCTATCTACAGCCTTTTAGAACATCAAGGAAAAAGGTCTTTTCACATAACAAATGTTTGTTGAATACCTATTATGTGTAAAATGCTTACATTTGTTTTGGACTATGAATATCAAATTGCTTAGTATAGTTACATAGTAATATACTGTTTGCTAGAAACATTCAGACCACATATAATATTTCAAGGGATTTGTTATTTTCAAGGGATTTGAAATAAATAACTTAGAGAAGTGGTGGTTTGGGGCTCAGGGAGGCTCTTTTCCAGTATAGCAAGCAGACCCTTTGATGCAATGCGCCATCTATTCTGATGATTTTAGGTGTTGTGACCAGCTAACTGCTTAGCACGATTTGGATAAAGTATAAGAAGACTGTAAACACCTTTCTTGCATGTTAATATCCTGACAATTTCCTCTGAAAGCAGCCTGAAGTACTGTTAAGAGTTTATCTCTTGTCTCCAAACATTCCTCTTTTCAGAAAGTGACAGCAATATGCAGTTGCTCTTAACTGTTTGAAATTCAGTTGAAATACCCATCATTAAAGTAGTAATTTTAATGTATCATAGTTTGGTTCTTAGTAAAATAGTAGTAATAAAAACTGTTAATGAAGTTACTAGTATAGATAGTGTTAGTTTTGTATTTTTACCATGTAAAAATCATTTTATTTTTTAAATTAGTTTTTGCCATACATGTGAATATGCTTTGTACAGGAGCCAGATGAGGCAGAGGTTGTGACTTGTATTATATGCTGCCAGTGAGTGACAGAAATAACAATAGAACTCGGGTTTTTCAATTCCTATACCAGTAATATTTTTACAGTTTCACTCCCCCAGTTTAAATTTCCCCATCCCTTGGTCAGATGGTGGTGGTACACACCTTTAATCCCACCACCTGGGAGACAGAAACAGGCAGATCTCTGTGAGTTCAGGGCCAGCCTGGTCTACAGAGTGAGTTTCAGGACAGCTATGGATATACAGAGAAACTCTGTCTCAAAAAAAAAAAAAAAAAAAAAAAAAAAAACGAATAAGTAAATAAATATCCCCCCATCCCTCATGTCTGTTCTCCTTTCCCTCTCATTTATTTTTGTAGCTGAGGTTGGATTGTTAGTGCCTTCAGTTTGACCACTGACCTGTAACCCAGCTCTATTTTACTTTTGTTTTGAGACAGGATTTCACTAAGATACCAAGCAGGCTTTGAACTTAAAATCCTTCTACTTCAACTTCTGAATAGTTGAGATTACAGGCCTGAACCACAATTCCTAGTCTAATCTGTTTAACTTTTAAAAGGCAAATATTCTATCCAGATATAATTCTTTTATTAAACATGTACTTTCTCATTTGTGTGTTTATATATATATATAAATGTGTGCTGTGGCACTCATGTATAAGTGAGATCAGCTTGCAGTCAGTTCTCTCCTTACACAATGTTGGCTCTGGTGAGGGCTGATGGCAACTACCTTTACTTCCTGACCCATATGGTGGGCCCCAGGTGTACTTTAAGTGTACTTAGTTTTATTGGAAACAGATTTAACCATGCATGGACATTTATTTGACATAGGAAATGATTTCTGCTTCTAGTTTTTAGAAGTATCCCGGTTTGTTAAAGAAGATGTCTTAGAAGGCCTGGATGATGTGAATCTGTGGGTCCCTCAAAGTGAAAGTCATGACATTTGGATAAAAGCACTGACGTGTGCCTTTTTGGACAGTGGAGGCATAAAAAGTGAAGTTCTTCAATTATTAAAGCCAATGTGTGAAGTAAGAGGATTAATTATTCAGACATAGAGTCTTTGTTTCTATTCTTCTTCGTTTTTTCCATTCAATTTAACTTCTGTGTATCAGCTTGTTGTGATTTGCATGTTTGAAAAGAATCCTAAGTGATGAGTGTATCATCTGCCTGCAATGTAATCCCCATTCAACTGCTGTCAATCCGTTAAAGTGTGTATCTTTGGTTAGCTAGAGCTACATGGCAGGCTTTAATGTTGAGGTGGTAATATACTAGTTAAGTTCTACAAAGTGCTAGAATAATCGTTGGCATTGTCAGCATGCTTTCTGAATGAAGAAAGATAGGCAGCAGTAGTCAAGAGTTTTACATTAGAAGGTCTGGTACAGTCGATTTCAGCAAATAGTGTTTGAACCAATTCAAAGAGCTAATAGTGTTTATGGTCAAAGGTTGTAGTTCACTGGGAGAGCTACTGCCTCTACTGTGCGAGAGCATGTGCCTCTACTGTGGTAGGAGCAGGAGTCAATCCTGGGGTTTTGTTTGTTGGTAGTTGTTTTGTTTGTAACCAATGACTCTGAATTACTGTTCCTTCTGTCACTGTCTCCCAAGTCCTACGATACCTTACTTGATATTACTATTTGTATACTTATTTTTTATTCTGAAAACTACTTTGATACATAATTTTGGTGATGGTGGTTGTTACTTAGTACTGTATTGAATTCATGAGAGGTCAGTGTAGTATTTTTAAATTTTTCATGTCAGTAACAGGGAATAAACATTTTAAGTGAATTATGTTACTCTAGTGTAAGCAGTTGAGTGGTTATGTACTGTGTTCTAGGTAAAACCTGACTTCTGTCAGACTGTGCTGCCGTACTTGATTCATGATGTCCTACTCCAAGATACACATGAATCGTGGAGAACTCTGCTGTCTACACACATCCGAGGATTTTTCACTAGCTGTTTTAAACACTTTTCACAGGCAAGCCGATCAGCAACTCCTGCAAATTCAGATTCAGGTATGCTGTTAAATTGTTAATGTTTATAATGTTAACTTCTCAGCTCTAGAAAAAGATGGTTCAGTAAATAACAAGGCCACTTACTGTACATTCTTTACATCTGGCATTGTGCTTACAGTGTGGATGTGAACAATAGAGTTTCATTTTAGAAATGGGGGGGAAAAACATGTAAACTCATCCATGTTTGATACCATGGCAGAAGTATGATGGAGTTTTCATATTTTTAGACCTCTGGCCAACGACTTTTTAAAAACTTTCTCGTTTTTTTCTTCTTTTTTGGTTTTCCACGAGAGGGTTTCTCTGTGTAACAGCCCTGGCTGTCTTGGAACTTGCCCTATAGACCAGGCTGACCTTGAACTCACAGAGTTCTGCCTGCCTTTGCTTCCTGAATGCTAGGATTAGAGGTGAGGTGTGAGGCACTCCCGCCTGGCTTTTTAAAAAAATTTCTATCACCAAATCATGTATATTTTTGTAGACAATAAGAGTTCTGCAAGCTTTTCAAAAAATAAAGTACCCAAACAGAAAAAAAATAAACTACCCACAATCATGTAATCTAAGGTATTTACATTTGGATTTATATGTACATAAATATACATTTTTATATTTATATTTGTTTACATTTGGGATATAGTCTTGCAATTTTACTTTTATGATAAGTATTTCTGGGCTTTGAATACTCTCAAGCAGTATATCTGATCTGTGTTTTCATTTTGCTTCTGAATGAGGTTTCCTTGACACTTTACAAAATAAAAAATCAAAACAGCATTTCTGATGCTTTTTATAAACAGAAGAAGTTAGTATAGGAAAATGTCTCAGCAGGTAAAGTGCTTGCAAGGACCAGAGTTAAGATCACCAGCACCGACATAAAAGACGGGTCAATGTGATATCCCACTGCTCAGCTCAGTTCACCAGAGGCCGATACAAGCGAGCTCTGGCTTTGAGAGACCTTGCTGTATACACACACACACACACACACACACACACACACACACACACACACAAGAACAATCAAGAAAAACACTCGGTGTCACCCTCTGCCTTCCACATGTACACCTCCACACATATACAAAGAAAGAGAAATTACATGTAACTCAGTTTCTACAAACTGAGATTTCAAAAGGTTAAGTAAGCAAACAGTTTTATAGTGTTAATTTACTGTGTTTAATGTGCATAATCATAAAAGTAGGCACAAATTCACATGCTGCATTTTAATAACCCCACCTTAGTGTGTTTATAGTCATTTTAGCATAATTATTCAATTTTCCCTGTTCTTCTGCATTTGCGGTGACAGACGTTGTTTGAAATGTCTATGGTATCCTTTAGACTTTATTTTTCTGTTTTTATGTATTTGAATGGTTTGTTCCGTTTAAATTTAGAGAGGCTAGGGAGAGTTGACAAAAGACTACTTAGTTACAGTTATATAGGAGTAAGATGATCTGATGTTATGCTGCAAAATGGGGTAACTGTTGATAATGCTAATGTATTGCATGGTGGGTTCCTCACCTGTAAGTCCAGTTCCGTAGAAAGACAACTCTTTCTAAAATCTTTCTAAAAAGCCTTGAAGAAACAGTTGTTATGTTTTTATTATAAACAAACTTTTGAGATATGTATATACTTAACCTGATTAAAACATTATATATACTTGTAGTGAAAAATCAAATGGCATCCCATTAGTATGTATGATTTCGGTTAAAAGTTTTAAAAAGTAACTTACATTTCATCTGAAACAAAATAAACATAGACATGGTTGTCTCTCCTGTGGCCTTATTAGAGTAGAAGAAGTTGTTTATCAAAGTGATTTGGAATATGCTTATGAAGCTTTGAGGGATTGTTGATGCGATTGCCTTCATGGGAAAGGGTGTTTGTCACCAAAACGTAATGATCTGAGTTTAGTCGTGAGAAAACCACGCAGTAGATGAGAAGCAACCTCCACAAGCTGTCCTCTGACCTACTAGTTCCCTGCCTGAGTGGCCACATGCATAATAATTACTATAATTGAGTCTGTTTTTAAAAATAATTAAATATAATGTAAAAATTCCTAAGATTAAAAATTCTTGCCGAGTCTTTACTAGCTATCTAAAATATATCACTTATGTTTAATTGGGGATCATAGGTATAAGTAACAATTTAAAGTTTAAATTCATTTTAAGTATTTAAACAATTTTACTACTTATGTTTATGCACAGGTCTATTAATAGCAAAATTATCTAGTTTTATCTCTAGAGATTGTCAACATTTTTATTACCTTAAATGAAATTTTGGACTTCACATATATAAAACTATTTTTTAATATGACAATAAATGCAGATTCCTTTAAATCTTAAATGCTGTATCTTTCTGGTGTCTGGAAGTCTCAACCTTTACTTGAATGTCTCACATGAATCTAAACTCAGTTATGTGAATAAAAATGAAGGGTGCTTTGCTGCCCACACTAAAAACCTTTCTCACCCATCTGAATACCAAGTCTTGCCAGTTGTGTTTCCTCTGTTGCCATTATCTTTCCTGCCTTGTAGCTCTGGTTCAGTGGGTTGAGAGTCTCTGACTGCCTTCCGAATTCGGCTTGCTACTAGCCACCTCACATACACATTTTTTGGTGTGTGTTTTTGGGGGCAGTAGCTCAAATTGTTCTCAGGTAGCAGTGGAAGACTTTGAACTTCTAATTTTCCTGCTTTTGCTTCTCTAGTGCTGGCATTGGAGACATGTGCCTTGACACCCAGTTTATACAGTGCTGGGGATTGATCCCAGGGCTTCGTGAAGGCCATCCAAGCACTCTTAACATTGGACTGTGCCGACTTAACCTGGTACTCAGTCCTTTCCCTTCCCCCACTGACCAGTATTTTGGCTTCAGATGTTACTTTCTTCTTACAGCTTTCCTTAGTCCAGGCGAGGTCACTCTCACATAGATTCTACAGCATTCATAACCTTTCTCTCACTCCACTTGGCTTACCATGTTAAGGGCCTCTGGGCTAGCCAATGAATTCTGTGTGCAGAAACAGTCTTAATTTGTTTACAGTTGTAAATGTACTAAGAACCCAGCACACAAAACATCCAGACATCTCAAAGCAATAGGTACTGCTTCAGAAACAAATAATTGGCAACATAAATTCTTGTCCATTTTATATATATGCTTCTTTTGAAATAAAAGGAATGCCACTAAATTATATCGATTTGAATTTATTAAGCATTTTTGTGTTGGGTGTGCCACCCTTCAGAATCTTACAGTGTAGAAAGAGAAGGGGACAGACAAAAAAGAACTTTTACATCAGTCTGAGACTAAGAAGAGCTATTTCTATTTCTATTAGAGCCAGAGCACTTCCTCCGATGCTGTTTGGATAAAAATTCACAAAGAACAATGCTTGCTGTTGTCGACTATATGAGAAGGCAGAAGAGGTAATATGATAACAGTTGTTTCTCAGGTTGGGAACGGAGCACTGTACATTCCTTCTGGGTGCCTTTTAGCCTGATTGTTTTATTTGCAACTGCTACAGACTGATAAAATCAATTGGTATGATGCTTCTATTTCTTCTTAATAAAATACATATAGGACAGCATTTAGGTTAAGTGTGGGGAACTGTCGGTTCTTGTACCAGCAGGCATACTGCTGTGGCTAAGTCTTGTGTTAGTGAACATGTGGGAAAGGAGCATATCCTTTTCCCAGATTGCTGTTAATACTATTGTTGCTTGTTTAGTAATTCTTCTAGTAGCTAGAGTTGGATGTCTTCTTTATCATCTTTTTTTATAAGGTAAAGCTTTTGTTGCTGTGTGCCATACTTATTATGAAAATCTGTAGTATTTTTGTGGTATGACAGAATTGATTTAGGTAAGTTACTTTACAGTATAGTGCCCTTGTTTCTTTTTTTTTTTTTTTAAACTTTCTTTTTATTTATTCTTTGTGTCTTTCACACAAAGATCCTATTCACTTTCCCATCCCTTCTTATCCGCCCTCTGCCCTTGCAAACTTACCCACAAAAATATATAAAATTTAAGAGACAAAAAGGAAAAATAAATCTCATGATGGAAGCTGTAGTGTGACATAGTGAGTCATACAGTAAACACTTTTATCCATATTTCTTTATTGCAAGTGTTCATTGCAGAGAGTCATTGGTCTGTTTCAAGGCCACTGGTTTTTGCTACACTATTGATACTGGGACTCCTCTTGGATATCCTGTCATTGTCCTGTGTTGTGGAGATCCTACAGCCTTGGGTCTACAGGACCAGCTCCTTCATGTGCTCTGGCAGATCATAGATGGGGTGCATGTTGGGGTCAGCCTACTCATAACCCTGCTTCTGGGCCTGGGTGGTTGCAGGATTGGTCAGCTCGCCAGCTATCCCATCTTCATCACCAAGGTGAGATCTCCAGCATTGTCCTGACTAGTTCATCCCTTGCAGCAATGAGCAAGGGGCAGGACCAGTTTTGCTTTCACACCTTCAGGGTTGGCTCTCCCTTACCCACTCCATCAGGGTGAGCTCTACTGTGTTCCCTAGGTGAAGTGTAGACCCCTCTCCTGAGTACTTTGCAGGTGAGGGGCAGGACCAGTTCTCCCTAGTATTGCAGCGAGTAGGGGAGAGGCGAGTTCAGCTCTACATAGCCCTATCCTCTAGGCCCTCCTGGTATCAGACATCAACACAAACTGAGGCTGCATCAGGGCCATGAACCCAGACATGGGCCCTGACAGCAGCCCAAGCCCAAACATTGCCATGGCTCTGGGTGGCAATCAAGCTGCCCACCTCAGCTTTCTCACTGCTTTCACCTCTTCAGATATGTAATGAGTTGTTCTCTGTCCCACCAACCAGCTCCCAAAGAATGACACGGAGACTTATTAATTATGAAAGCTTGGCTCTTAGCCTCAGTTTGTTTTTAACTAGCTCTTATAACAAATTAACCCATATTTTTATTAATCTATGTTCTACCATGTGGCTTTTATCTCTATCCCATTCTGTGTATCCAACTCATTCTGAGTCTCCCTGGCATTTCTAGCACATAGATTCATCTCTGCCTGGAAGTCCCACCTATGTACCTCTTGTCTAGCTGTTGGCCTTCCAGCTCTTTATTAAAACCAATCAAAGCAATATATCTTCACAGTCAACAGATATCTCACAACCCCACAACACAGGTATGCCTCTGTCTACAGTACATGAACCATTTTGTCTCTTTCTCCCATACCACACAGTAAGTTTGCTTACCATAATAATGACCATTGGGCTGGCCCATGCTTTCTCCTTAGAGCCTGGGACAGGCCCCTCCACCCTCCATTTTTAGGAATCAGAGAGCATTGACGCTGGTGTATCCTTTCTGTTAGCGCAGGATCTGAGCTACCCATGTTAATGTGGTGGGTCTTCACACATCAGTTAGCAGTCTAGAAAATCAGTAACAAGACATGCCCAAAAGTTTGTGTCCATGGTGTTTCTAAAGTCCATCAAGTTGGCAATCAGAGTTAACCTATCACATTTTTTTCCTGAGAAACAATACATACATACATACATACATACATACATACATACATACATACAAAATTTAAATCTGAAGCAAGCTTGTTTTACATGTCAATCCCAGTTCCCGCACCCTCTCGTCCACCCCTGTTCCCCACCAACCCCCATCCCATCTCCTTTCTGCTTCCCAGGGAGGGTGAGGGGTGAGACCTTCTATGGGGAGTCTTCAAAGTCTTTCATGTCATTTGGAGCAGGGCCTAGGTCCCCCACCCCGCCACCCATTGTGTGTAGGCTGAGGGAGTATCCCTCCATGTGGAATGGACTTCCAAAGTCCAATTGTGTACTAGGAATGAAACAGTGCTTTTATACTAAAAGTGACCTTTGCAGGTAATGATGTGAAGTGTGGGTGTAGAGCCCAGATTTGTATGGAGTGATGATTAGTAGCTTTCTGCTGATTCTCTGAGAGGTTCATGAGCCAAGACGATTGAGAAGTGAACTTTAGCCAGGTTATCTCGGAATGGTGTATAACCATACACTAGAGCATTGTGGCTTGCATTGTGCTTCTTGTGTTAGCAGTGACATCCATCATGTTTAATTCCTCTTCAGGCCTTCTTCAGGAACAGCTTTTGATGATGCTTTCTGGCTGGATTTGAATTATCTAGAGGTTGCCAAGGTGGCTCAGTCTTGTGCTGCTCACTTCACAGCATTGCTCTATGTAGAGATCTATTCAGATAAGAAAAGCATGGATGAGCAAGAGAAAAGGTAATGGGTTTTGATATTTTGGTTTTTTAAATTGGTGTTGATAATGATGTTTCAATAAAAGTATATAGTAAAGATTTAATTTGGCCCCATTTCGCCATTTAAAAGACACTCTAGGAATAAATTTTCAATATTAAAGCAAAGTAATATATTTTTTTAAGAAGTAATTCTTTGAAAATATAGGAATTCTAGTTATATGATATTCTATTTTATAGTATAAAGACTGGACAGATAGGAAGCTTCTAAGAAAATAGAGACATTACTTGATTGTTTGTGTACTCCCTGTAACAGCATTGGGAACATAAATGTTTTCCTGATTAATTTTGGGTACATTAGGTTTACCTCTAAGTTCTTCAGCTTTCAGGATTCATTATTCTTTTTGACTGTAATGTGACTAATTCTTGGCTGTGACAAAGGAAGTTTCATTTATGTGTTGTCCACTTGTATTTCTAGCTACTTTGATTTGATTTCCTCTGATTGAGTTGGAATTTTTATAGGAAGCTAATAAATATGATCATAGATCATGATGAAAATAGTTAAGAAAATAATGTATTAAATTGTATTACACACTTTATAATATGAACATACCCTTTCAAATCCTTGTTCTTAAATAGCCTATATATGTATTTACTTATAGCATCACTTTCTTAACACTAATTCAGCCTTACTAAGAAATTGAAATCACAAATGTGAGCCATGCCTACACATACATTGCTACCAATAATTGTAGATGTCATTAAGTTGGAAATGTAGTGTATTGTTTAGATTGGAAAAGTGGAACCAGAATTACTATGGTCTGTGAGTAGCTAACTTACAGATTTGGACCAGCTTCTTTCTTCCTGGTTTGATAATTTAATTTTTTTTTTTTTTTTTGGTTAAAAACAATTACAAATCTACATTATGTAAATACTATATAACATGTAACCAGTGTGTTCATAATTACTATAAATTCATAAAGACAAATATATAGTAGTAATTGCAGTTTGAATAAGTTTTAGTATTGAAGATCCATAGAATAGTATTTTTTGTTAATCAGGGGTATATGGTAAGTCTTCTGTGAGTATAAATAAAAGCATCTTACATTTGAAAGTCAGCCATTGTGTGACTGGAGCAAACTCATGCAGAGCTGCATGCCTTCAAGCAGGTGTGTTTGCATTTGCTTTGACGGTTTCTTCTGGGTTACATTCACCCACCCACCCCCAGATGTGATGAGAAAGGGAGGACAGACAGATTCGGTGTACAGAGACGAAAAGTGCAGGGGTTCACAGTAGAGGAGGTAGAGGAGCAGACCTGGAGAGTAAGGTAGTAAGCACAGTGCACTTGCAACTAGAATGCAGATAAGCAGTATACCTGTGCTGATAAGGAAATACGTTACTGGTTTTTGATTTCTTCGTAATAGATATTTGATATCCGTGTTTTTTGTTGTTTTTGTTTGTTTGTTTGTTTGTTTGCTAATTGCTCCTGAGAAACTGAAACTTCATGTTAGTGTCCTTTATCTTTTTAAAACAAAGTCAGTCAGAAGGCTTTACTAACAAGATTTAGACAGCGGATGTTTGCAACTTCGGTCATCTTAACATTCCAAATCCCTAATGATTTGGAGCTTCGTTTTATTTTATTATGTTTTGAGACAGGTATAATTCTAGCCAATGTGGAACTCAGTGTTTACCAGGCTGACCTCAAAAGCAAAGATCCACCTGCCTCAGCCCTGAAGTGCTGAGTTAAAGCGTGAGCCACCACAGCTGGTGAATTGTGGCTCTAGATTGCAGTGTCATCCCACTAATAGTGTCTTCATCTTTCTGATGTGTCCATTAACAAAGAACATATTTTGCATAATTTGAAAATAAGTAGAATATATGTCACAGCTATACCTCAAGGATGTTGTTGGCAGCATTCTGTTAGTTGTTGCTTTCCTCTGTGCCTTTCTCCTGAGCTCCCTTCAATAGGTAAAAGTGATCAGTATGCTTATCATTCCTCAAGTCTAGTTACTTCTTTTGTCATATTAGTATGAACCTGAAAATACAAAAGCACTTCCTACTTTTGAATTTTATAAGGCAGGCTTTTATAACTCAGGTTTTTAGTAAGGCTGTCTCATCTATGCTGCCTGTTGCTGCCATTCTTTAGTTTGTGACTGACTGCCCATGGAGCACTGAGAGGAGATGCCACAACTTGTTACTGGTGCTCTCAGTGGCGTATACTGTACTGGTAGAATTATTGGTGTATAAGATAGTGCCGAATTGTTCCTTAAAATGATTGTACTAGTTTGTATAGTTACCAAACATGTAATTGATAAAAGAAAAAAGTGCGACATTGGAGGAAGGAAAGAAAAATATATAACCTTTTCTAGTTTAAGGGAAAATAGTACAGAAAACACAGGGCATGTTTTAGAAAGATATTAGAGGAGCTATCATTTATGGCAGTATTTATTTATATATTGGATTATTGTAGGTACTATAACAGTCATAATATTAAAATTGAGTCACCATGAGTTTGAGACCAGCCTGGTCTACAAGAGCTAGTTACAGGACATCCTCCAAAAAAGCCACAGAGAAACCCTGTCTCCAAAAACAAAACAAAAAATTAGGTCACCAAACTATTACACCCATATATTTAAATGCTTAATTTTAAAGGTAAGGTCTTAGATAGTGGATAAATCTGAGTTCCAGTCCCATCATTTATTATTTTTATAATCTTAGATTTCAGTGGATCCCACTTACTTTCATCAGCTTTCTTTTTTCAGTTTATTGGAGGTTAAATTGTGTTTTGTGGTCTTCCTATGTAATCTGCAATTGTCAAGTTGAACTTTAGATATGATATGACCACTGATAACTGATAGACTATTTAGAATCAACTTGGGAAACTTCTGCTCTATTATAACAGGCCTGTTTCTGTATAAATAAGTATGTTTGCAGTGTAACTTTGCCATTTATATAATATTGTTACTATATATAATTCTCAAATTTCTTTTCCATGCCAGTTCTAAATAATATTCTGTATTAAAGTATAAATGGCTCACTGTTCTTTTTGTAACCATAATTAGTTTCTTTCTGTTAAAATGTAGAATAAATATGTTCATAACCTCTTAGTATATTTTCATTAAGAGATATTCTTATGCTAAACAGAAGTCCAACATTTGAAGAAGGAAGTCAAGGTACAACTATATCTAGTTTGAGTGAAAAAAGTAAAGAAGAAACTGGAATAAGCTTACAGGTAAATATCAGATAACTCAGTAATGATTTTTATATATGTTGGATTTTTTATAGTGATGTAATTGATTTTAAAATTGAAGCTACTCTTTTGATTGAGCATCATTGTGTGTGTGTGTGTGTGTGTGTGTGTGTGTGTGTGTGTGTGTGTGTGTGTGTGTGTTTCTAATCTTGACCTGCCACTGGTTACATAAATAACTGACCTTTTCTGACTTTGAACTTCTTAAATGAAAGACTGAAGTAAAACCACAGGGTACATTTATACCACTTAGTTTTTGCCGTTGTGTTTCTTTCTATTTTCTTTATAGTATTTGTAAGTTACTAACTTTTGTTTATATGCATATGTCACAGAGAAGCAACTTCATGTGTCTGTTTCTAAATACTGTCTCAATGTACTTTATAGCACTGTTCAGCATTCTTGATTCTCTTTGGCCAGCTCATTACTCTGAAGTGGTAGTTTGAACCTCTCTGCTCTGATTAAACCTCTGAACTTCACTTTTTTCTAGTTATCTTTGCTTGCCATGACAAGACAACTTATAAAGTGTTTAATTTGGGGATTATGGTTTTAGAGGATTATAGTCCATAATGGCAGGGAGAGAAAGGCAGGAGACACATGATACATTTCCTCCATAAGGCTGCACCTCCTAGTCCTTCTCAAACCTTTCCAGCTGGGGACCAAGTATTCAAGCATGAGCCTATGAGGGGCATTCTTATTCAAACCACCATATAGGTAGGAATCCTCTAACATCCCACAGTCATACTAAAGTCTCCCCACTTGTGCTCTTGTCACAACCATCTCTCTTATTACAATAGAAAAACACTTTCCCTTTATCTCAGGTTGTTTATCTGTTTTCTCAGAAACTTTGATATGCTGTGCTCCGTCAAAACTGTATCATAAACATTTCAGAACTTTACTGTTTAAGACATTTCTGTTCTTGGAGATGGAAGGAGCTTTTCTCTTCCTATGTTCTCTTTAGGTGTCAGCCAGACTTTGTGATGATGTCTGTGTCTGCTCTCTCCATTTCTTTTCTTCATTCCATTAAAGTGGCACCTGCCTAATGTTTTCCATGAACTAGAAATTGCTAAGTCTGCATGTAATCTTTCATTTCTTTCTCTTTAATATTTAACATCACATGTGGCCATGTTGCATTCTTGCTTGTGTGTGTGGGTGGGGGTTCAGAAGTTGAAATCCGGTGTCCTTAGTCACTACCTTATTTTTTTTTTTTTTTTTTTTTTTTAAGACAAGCTGTCTTCTTAAACCTATAGATCACTGATTGTGCTAGACTAGCTAATCAAGAGTTCTAGAGATCTATTTGTCTGCCTCTTCAGAGCTACACAGATGTTTGTGGCTGCTCTGAGCTTTTTATGTGTGTGCTGGGGATCTGAACTTAGGTCTTTATGTTTTTGTGGTAAACTCTTTAGTGACTGAATGTCTCCTGAGCTCAGCCCTGTCTTGTGCTTACCATGTGACTCATTAGGTTAGTGTTTCTTTTTCTCTTAATAGTATATAGTTTCACCTTTCTGTGCTGATTTTTTTGAGTACCTTCTTAAACCAAACACTGCATGTTTTTAAATACTATATTTTACTTTTATAACACATAAGTTGTGAGTTATCAATTGATAATGATAAAATTGAAAGCTTATTAATTCATGGACTGATATTTTTTTTTTTTTCCTGTTTCAATTCTTTGTCTTTGATATTTCTGTTTTCAGGATCTTCTCTTAGAGATCTACAGAAGCATAGGAGAGCCAGACAGCCTGTATGGCTGTGGTGGAGGGAAAATGTTACAGCCCCTTACTAGGTAAATTGTACTTTGTAGGTAGCATTCAGCTTTTAGAAGGACTACAGGCATACAAAAACAAAAATATGTTTTTACCATCTTTTCCTATAGAATACGGACTTATGAACATGAAGCAATGTGGGGGAAAGCCTTAGTAACATACGACTTGGAGACCACAATCTCCTCCTCAACCCGCCAGTCAGGAATAATTCAGGTACATTTTTTTTCTGTATCTGCTCTGAAAAGCCATCGTCAGGGCAACTGCTGACATTATTTCGGCATTTCAGTGAAGTGTTTACACAGCCAGGTAAACTCCAGAGAGTGGACTGGAGTTTCTGCTTTTAGCCATTAGGCTAAAGTCTCAGGGTTACACAGGAAAGCTGGACGGTTCAGTATAGTTTTGTTCATAAAATATTTATTAAATAAGAGCAGAAGACATTTCTTGAAAGTGTACAGTATGCCAGGAGATACTCTTAGTGCTTCACATGGCATCTATAGTTTGCGTTAGAGCTGGTCCCAGAAACTTATTTCTATCACTGGTTAATATGTTGAGGTGTTTTTCCATCAAACATTAGTGTTCTCTGAGGAAATATGAGAAGCAGTATTTTAGAATTTTAGGTGATATTGTTGATTAAAACTTTTTAAGTTAATATTTGTTTGCTCCATCCCCCCCCCCAACCACTAATTTACTGATTCTCTACTGTAGGTCACACACAACCCTTTCACAGGGGCCACATATGAGATATCCTGCATATCAAATATTTATGTTAGGATTCATAACAGTAACAAAATCACAGTTGTGATGTAGCAACAAAAATAATTTTATGGTGTGGTCATCACAACATGAGGAACTATTAAAAGGATTATAGCATTAGGAAGGGTGAAAGCCTTTATGTTGATATTTGATTATTTTGTGGTAACTTTCTTTCAGGCCTTGCAGAATTTGGGGCTCTCCCATATTCTTTCCATCTATTTAAAAGGATTAGATCATGAAAATAGAGAGTGGTGTGCTGAACTGCAGGAACTTTATTATCAAGCAGCATGGAGAAATATGCAGTGGGACCTCTGCAGTTCGGCCAAGTAAGCAGAAAATTGACTTTCCAAAAAGTTAGCCTTTCCCTAGTTACGTCTTTGTCTGACCCTAAAACCATAATTTTTTTTAAAGATTGTTTTTATTTCATTTATGAATATCAAGGTATTCTTTTTCTATCTTACAGCTACTATGGGATACACATGTGCCTAAATAATCTAAATTCTCAAGGTAGCAATAAGTAATTAACACAACAAAGCTTAAATTTCATTCTCTAGGCCAGGCTGTGGTACCACACGCCTTTGAGCCCCGCACTTGGGAGGCAAAGACAGGTGGATCTCTGGCCAGCCAGGAGTGCGCAGGGAGGCAATGTCTTAAAAACAAATAGATAACCAGACAGAAAGAACTATTGCGAAACCAAGATGCCAAGAAGATGAAAGTTGTAACCTTTATATCAAATCACCGTTTTTTTTTTTTTTTAAGTGAAAACCTAAACACCTAGACTAGTAAAGGATTGATAGTTTTATAAAAGTTTTTAAAATAATAGAACACTAAAATTTAAGTCATTTTAGAGCCCGGTGGTAGTGGTGCTCATCTTTAATCTCAGCACTCAGTAGGCAGAGGCAGGCTGTGAGGTTGAGGCCAGGCTGGTCTACAAAGCGACACAGAGAAACCCTGTCTATTCCTTCCACCCTCCTGGAGACAGTTTCTTTGTGATGCCCTGGTATGGTATCCTGGAACTCACTCTGTAGACCATGCTGTCTTGGAACTCACAGAGATCCACCTGCCTATTACTCCTGAGTGCTGGAATTAAAGATGTGCACTTGGCTGTTCTCATATTTTCCAAGTATTTTATTGTTTAAACTGTTTCTGCCTGCTTTTGTAAACCTACATAGACAGTTCTCCTTGCTTGGTGTTTTGGCCACACAGGTCTGGTATAGTGTTATATAAAGGTAGAAGCCTGTTTCCCCCAGTTTTCATGTTTGTCGCATCTTCTTGTCATCCATTCTCTATTTTAATAATACCTTAGCCATGGTGGCAACACACACTCTATGAGTTTGAGGCCAGCCTGGTTTACAGAGTAAGTTCCAGGACAGGCTCTAAAGTTATACAGATAAAATCTGTATAACAGAAAAACCAATAAATAAGCAAATAAATAAATAAATAAATAAATAAATAAAATGATACCCTCACCTCAGAAGCCATTCTTGACACCCTTATGTCAGCTACTCTTTCCTGCTATTTGGCTGCCCTACATTCATTCTCTGCATGACTCTTGTGATGATCTAGTTAGTATTTGTCATATTTATCATCCAAAGCAGGACATAAGCCTCACAAGAGAAGGGACTTTATCTGACCCATTAATGGATCTTTTGCATCTAGAACTTGGTTCATAGTACCTGGAATATAGTAAATATTTGCTAAATAAAGAAATGGAAATCTAAGACCAAGAACCAGACAAAATTTCCTAGCTTTTTTGTTTTTATTTGAAGAATTGAAATCACCTATAAAGTTCTTTGCTTTTTGTTGCTTTGTTTTATTTCATTCATTTCATTTTTTTTTTTTATTTCGGGGCAGGATGACACCTTATAGCCCTGGCAGGTCTGAAACTACACCATGTGTAGACTAGACTGGTCTTTAACTCACAGATATCAGCCTACCTCTACCTCGCAATTAAAGGCATGTACCTTCACATCCAGCTTTTTGTAAATTTCTGCAGATTTTTATAAGAAATCTTAACTTCAGTTTTCAATTTTGTTCTTTTAATTAGTTATTTACATATGCATTTATTAGGATTTTCTGTTTTTAAATTTTTCTTTTTAATATCACAGCCAAGAATTGGAAGGAGCCAGTTACCATCAATCATTGTATAATGCTCTGCAATCTCTAAGAAGCAGTGAACTCTCCACGTTTTATGAAAGTCTCAGATATGCCAGGTATTATAAAAAGACAAGATTATTTTTATATTTAATGCTATGGCTGCTGTCCTCACAATGGGAGTAGTTTCAGTGTAAGTATTTGTATTGAAGGGATGAAGATGCGGTAGCTGTGATCAGGTGTTTCTTTTCCATTCTTTGTGCTCTCAAGAAAGACTTTTTTTCAGGACTTTACGTCAGCTCTTCACTCTGAGCTCTCAGGAAAATCATGATAATGTTCTCTTCCTGTACAAGTATCCTAAGAGTTTTCATTTTTTCCTCTCTAGTTACATGGCTTCACTCTCTTACCTTATAGCTCTACTTTATAAAATGATGATCAATAGGACTTTTAGGTTGCTTTGAGGCACATATAAGATAATATGATGTAGCAATTAGCTATAACAAGTTCAGATGAATTTTTTTAGCACTGACTGACATCATAAATCCTATATACATATGACAGAAATAATATTTGCTATCTTTAAAGTGATTGTATTGGGAATTCACAGAGTCTGAATCGACAATGAGGGAGTCTGCATAGGACTGACCTAGGTAGGCCCTCTGCATATATGGGACAGTTGTGTAACTCGGTCCTCTTGTGGGACTCTTGTGGAAGCAGAGGCTGTTTCTGATTCTTTTACTGGCTTTTGGGACTCTACTCCTCATACTGGGTCCCCTTGCCCAGCCTTTACACAAGGGTGGGTGCTTAGTGTTACTGCAACTTGATATGCTTTGTTTTGTTGATATCCATGGAAGACCTGCCCTTTTCTGGACAGAAATGGAGGAAGACTGGATTGGAAAGTTGGGGTGGGGGGGGAGGAAGGAAGGGAAATTGGTCAGGATGTAAAATGAATACTTTGCTGATCTCTTTCTATACATATTTAAAGTAATTTCAAAGGTGAAAAACAATAGCTGTGACAAAATTCAGTAGCAAATCAAGGGTAGACAGACATGGCAGAACTGGGCTTTAAATTTAGAGCGGTATGATCCCTAAGGCTAGTGTTGGTCACACTGCCGTTTAATCATTACTGTGGTTTGTGCATATTAAGTCTTGTTACGTCAGCAGCAAGCATATATTAAATGTGATTTGAACTTCTGTTTCTGAAAACTTGTTAGTTTCAGACTCTTATTTCTCTTACCCCCAGAGTGAAAGAAGTTGAAGAGTTGTGTAAGGGCAGCCTTGAATCTGTATATTCGCTGTATCCCACACTTAGTAGATTACAGGCACTTGGAGAACTGGAAACCATGGGGGAGCTTTTCTCAAGGTATGTGGTTCATGGGTTTTGATAGTCCTGAAGTGCATTGTGTTACAGTAGTAACACGTGATGGGCATGATTATTTGTTTTGTTAAGTGAGGAAAGGTTTATTTTGGTTCATTGTTTTCAGCCCATTATTAGCTGCTTCCATGTTGGCCTGGGTAAAACATTGTGCTAATGGCACACAACAGGAGGAAAGGGAGATATATATTATAAAATAAACTTGATATATGTCATCTGTGAAGCAGGAAGTGACCTCAGCATACTCAGTATCTAATGCACTGTGATAACATTTAAATTTATTAGTGTATATAATAAACACAGATTTTTCTCAGTTGAGAAATGTAATGCTAACAGGTATAACCTAAGAGTTGAAATCGAATGCTCTTCAGAATTGTCATTAATTTTAAAAGTATGTAGACTTTCCTATGCTTAAAATATTTTAGAACTGTTGCTCTGGGGTGATTTGTGGAAGAAGTAGAAGTTCAGTTTTTATGAACATGCACTATTGTTTTCTTCTCTGTTAAGCAACTAGAATGATTCCTCACATTTGTTTCATCACTCTCTTAGTCTGTATTCCTATAACTTTTTTTTCTCTGTCAACACATCTTGAGAGATAAGATAGTACTTCTTATTTTATGCATGTAAAAGCCGATTTTTTTCATATAAATGAACTGTATATATTCTGCATTTTCTGTTGCTTTAATGTTGTTAGCAGGTAGAATCTTTTTAAATGTCAGCTGTTTCTTCAGTGAACTGATTTTTTTTTTTTTTGACAGCTATGCATAGTGCCATTTGTAGGTAATTAATGAAGTTAGTTGATTTTCTTGTAGATATATCTTCCTTTGCTGTAAGGACTAGAGGAGTAGTCATGTCTTTATGATTACAGCATTCTCATTTCAGAAAAAAAAAAATCTATTCAAAAAGGCTGCCTTTTAAAAGAAAATCTTTTCAAGTGCCCATTTTCTGTCACCTTTCTATTGACTTCTAACTACATAGTATTTTTCATGTTCTAAATATTTAGGGCTATTTATAAGTTCTGATCTTGCTACTGCATGAGTTCCTTGTATAATATACAATGTCTTAAGTTTCAGGACCTGAGACCACTTTTCATTTCTCCTGCTCACATAAGTTATGTGATTTGACTTTCAGGTCAGTCGCAGATAGAGACTGCTCTGAAGTATACTTGAAGTGGCAGAAACACTCCCAACTTCTGAAGGACAGTGACTTTAGTTTTCAGGAGCCGCTCATGGCTCTACGCACAATCATTCTGGAGATCCTTGTTCAAAAGGAAATGGAGAACTGCCAAGGAGGATGCTCTAAGGACATGCTCACCAAACACCTTGTAGAATTCTCTATTCTAGCCCGAACCTTCAAGAACACCCAGGTAAAAAGCTTGCAAAATTATGTCATCTCACTTCCTGGCTTTTTTATTATTCAGATACCAGAAAGTATCTGTGAAGAAGAAATGTCATTGAAAACTAGAAATCACTACTGGGTATAAAATTATTTAAGATTTCATGTTGAGACAGGTTTGTGCACAGACCTATTATAATCACAGATTCAGAGACTACCTGGGCAAGAGAGTGAGTTCAAGGTCAACTCAAACAACCTAGTGGGACTTGTCTTAAATACATAAAAAGGTGCTAGGACTATAGTTGTGTGATATCATGATTGTTTGCCTAGCATGTGAAATCAAAGCCCAGTACTGAGGGAAAACAAAAACAAAACTTACATATTGAAATTAGACAAAAAACCTGAATTTAAACTTTGGCAAGGCAGTTACTTTTTGTCAGCCCCAATTCCTGGTTATAAAATGAGAAGATACCCAACTTATTATAAGGTAAAAGGTAACAAAACAATGCTTTCACTTACTTATACGTGCATGTATAAGTAAGCTGTGCTTTGGGGAGGTATTTTTGGTCTGCAGGTTGGTAAGTAAGCAGAGAGCTAATTAAGATAGTTCTTGACAAATAGTGAAGTTCTTGATGAGTAGGAGTTCCTGCTTTGGTTTTCAATCTTAGTGATAATAGTGTCTTTTTCCATATGCTATTTTTATTGCAGCTCCCTGAAAGAGCGATATTTAAAATTAAACAATATAATTCAGCTACTTGTGGAGTCTCTGAGTGGCATTTGGAAGAAGCACAAGTGTTCTGGGCAAAAAAGGAGCAGAGTCTTGCCCTGAATATTCTCAAGCAAATGATCAAGAAGTTGGACTCCAGCTTTAAAGAGGTGTGTGCTTGCTGTAGGTGGCTGGGTTAGTGTTTTAATGTTACTGAAAAGCATTTCTGTGCTTCAGAATATGATTAAGGTTTTGAAATTACTGACCCATGAGCAAGACATTACGAAAAGAAATTTAGAAAATTTTCAGATATGAAACTTGGAAATTTTTTCATATTTCAAACAAATCTATCCATCTATTTTGTAGTAGGTAATAATAATCTACCTTGTTCTTAGGATTTCTGTGAATATTATGAGTTAATAAATATATAAAGCTGTTGGAAGGTTCCTGGCTTATTTGAGGTCTCAGTAAATATGAGTTGTTCCGATGATGATAATGTTAGATCAATGTGGTTATTTCATGAACTTGTATACTTACTATTGAATAGCCATGTGCTAAAAACATTAAGAAAAAATATTTCTGATTGCTTTTTACCCACATGGAGGACATTTTTGTAATCTTGAAAAGGAATTACATTTTAAGAATTTTTTTTCTTAATACAGAATGATGCAGGTCTCAAGGTCATATATGCAGAATGTCTGAGGGTGTGTGGCAACTGGTTGGCGGAAACTTGCTTAGAAAATCCCGCAGTCATCATGCAGACCTACCTAGAAAAGGTAGGTTGTTGGTGCAGCTCTGAAGGTTGTTGTTTAGCATAATACACTTGATTCTTTTATGAAGACCACATATATCTCAAAAGCAAATGTAAATGTGGTTTCATTCTTTCAGCTCCTGCTGGGCTCTGTAATGGTTAGATTAGAATGAAGGAACAGCTTTGAATACATGTATGTCTTCCAACTATGCTTTAGACCTACCCCTAGCTACTCTTTCAGGAAGTTATTTCTGGCTATTGTACAAAATATCCTATTACGGAACATACAAGCCATCATTGCTGTTTGTGTGTACTCTACCCACCCACAGTAAGAGTTGGGATTTCACCTCTCTAGTCTCCCTTGACCTTACTATTTCTTCTCTCTCTCTCTCTCTCTCTCTCTTTTTTTTTTTTTTTTTTTGTCCTTCCTTGTCACTAATTTGGGAAATAATTATTTCATTCAGTAAGTTATTTTTTTCATGTTTTATTTTTTTCATTATACAGGTATTTATCCTGTTTGCTAAGCATTACCATATTTTATTTCATAGCTTTTTTATAGATGGGATTGTTTCCTTGGGGGAAAAAAGTAAGATGTGATTGTCATTGATACTAAAGAGCTTTTCATTTCTGCACACTTCATTGCATCTGTTAGCTGATAAAGGTTCCATGCCATCAAGTTTCATACTTACATATATATACATGAGTGAATTATCCTGATCCAAGTGATTCTTTTAACTATGTTTGACATTTGTAAATATTGTCTAAGTGGTTTGTATGTTGTTAAAGGCGGTGAAAGTTGCTGGAAGTTATGATGGCAAAAGCGGTGAGCTCAGAAATGGACAGATGAAGGCATTTCTCTCATTAGCACGGTTCTCCGATACTCAGTACCAGAGAATTGAAAACTACATGAAATCATCAGAATTTGAAAACAAGCAAGCTCTCTTAAAAAGAGCCAAAGAAGAAGTGGGCCTTCTAAGGGAACATAAAATTCAGACTAACAGGTAACTGTATGTCTATAAGCAGTGGTTTTATGCTCAGCTAAGGAAGAGTTTGCATGAGATGTGGGACTTGAACTTCTCATCTGAGTTACAGTTTTGAACACTTAAATTGGCTTTTTAAAATAGGCTTTCTCAGTGGTTAATCACAACTTCAGTCTTCAGTACAATGTCAAATGTTCTCTGAAGAACTGATGTCTTGGTCTAGCTCTTGGCAGAGTACATGGGTGTTAATTGTTTGGTTTTACTAGGTACTGAAATTAAGTACAGAAAACTTGGCTTCCTTTGTATTGTGAAGTTCCTTTAAGTCTGCGTTGGGTTTTTGTATGTTTGCAGTAAGCACAGAATTAACTATAGAGTCCACTCTGTCCTTGGGTATATGGAAGACCTATTAGTTGCAGTTGTGATAATTTAGTTCATTTTATTATCCTTAGAATTTTGTTCTTTTCTTGGAGTAAATACCTGTTTTTCATTTATGCTGTATATTATGTATGATTTTACAGTCATTATGTAAAGTTTTGTGACTTTTATCTGTGAATTTATCTAATGCAAGATACACAGTAAAGGTTCAGAGAGAACTGGAGCTAGATGAATGTGCTCTGCGTGCATTGAAAGAGGACCGTAAACGCTTCCTGTGTAAAGCAGTTGAGAACTACATCAACTGCTTGCTAAGTGGAGAAGACCATGATATGTGGGTTTTCCGGCTTTGCTCCCTCTGGCTTGAAAATTCTGGAGTTCCTGAAGTCAATGGAATGATGAAGGCAAGTCTTAACCCAACCCAGCATTTGAGCATCTGCTTTAAAAACTGAGGCATAAGCCCCTTCCATAGTTGGTTTTGTATGTCTCTGTGTTTCCCTAGCAGTGGTTTTGGTGCTCCATGAATAAGTATGAGCACTAAATGATGCATGTTTGCGTGGAGGTGAGAGAATTTATGTTGGTGTTTTATCTTTGCAGATAGTATATGGGAGTGCCTAGGAAAAAAACAATGAAAGATAATGTGATCCTAAGCAAAAATTTTCCTTTTGAATTATGTTTTGGAGGGATTCCCCCCCACACACACTCAAAAAAACACTTCCTAACATACAGGAGTACATTCAAAGTTTTTATCGGAAAAAAAATCTTAAGATAGGGTCATAAAATAAATATATATTGTCAATAAGTTTGAAGGTAAATGTTTCTCTGGAATTGAAAAGAATGGTAAAACTCAGGGTTAGCAGAATCAGTCTTTTCTGCTGTGTATATTAAACTTCATTATTTCCAGCATGTGGGGAAAATAACTTGCATTTTGCTACTCACTGAATTCTTGGGAATTGAAACCATAGTAGGTCTACATTTGTTCTCTTAGTCACTATAATGTATGCAGTTATTAGTATTACAGCTCTGGATGCAACTTAATTTAGGGCTAAGTTTTTTTTTTTTTTTTTTTTTTTTTTTTTAACATGTCGATTCCAGTTCCCTCTTCCTCTCTCCTTCCCTCCCTCCTTCCCTCTCTCTTTCCCTTCCTTTCCCCCTCCCACCATTATTGCCACTAAATCAAGGCTTGCTAGGCTTCCCATTTGAAGGACTTTGAGACAGGCCAAGAGACAAGGGAAATTATATAGTTAGTGGAGTTTTGATGGCCACTAGCTTATGCTAGTGGAAGAGCCTTATTTTAGTGTCATCATTTTGGCTTAGATGTGAGGTTATGTTACACATTTCTGAATTTTGCATTTTTTTTTTAATGTCAGAGAGATGGAATGAAGATTTCATCATATAAATTTTTACCTCTCATGTATCAATTGGCTGCCAGAATGGGGACCAAAATGATGGGAGGCCTAGGATTTCATGAAGTCCTCAATAATGTAAGTAGATCTGAAGTCAAAATGTAATAATCTCTTTTCATTCATATTACTGAATACCATATAAAGGAAAATGAGAAATCAGAACATAAAATTGTTTTCTTTTATTACAGATAAATTTGTTTCTTACTTCTGATGTTCCTCTTTAGTTCTCTCTCACACAGACACATTCCATACACTACTTACTGCAAACTAATGATATAACTTGAATTTAGATGTGGAGCAAAATGAAAAAATATATTTAGATTTTTTTTTCTATTATGTAAAACTAATAGTTATAAATTTTCTGATAGCTGATCTCTAGGATTTCAATCGACCACCCCCATCATACTCTGTTCATTATACTGGCCTTAGCAAATGCGAACAAAGATGAACTTTTGAGCAAACCAGAGGCAACAAGAAGAAGTAGAATAACCAAAACTGCACCCAAAGAAAGCTCCCAGCTTGATGAGGTATTCATAGTGAATATAACTGCACTTTGTCGTGGTCATCCTTCCCAGAATATTCCTTTCTTAATTCTCAGAGGTTTTAGGAATGTGTAATTCTGGTGGTATTTAAATTCTAAATCCTTCATTATGATGCCACCCAAAATGGTTAACAATTCCTGAACATTTCCCAGAGCATAAATATTGGCTTGGTTTTGTCTTCTTGTAGCAATGGACAAAGAAAAAACAGATTTTTAAAATAGATTTATTTTTAAAATGTGTGAGTGTATGCGTGTGTGTATCTGGTGTTCACAGATGCCAGAAGAAGTTTTTGGATTCCCTAGACCTAGAATTGCTATGTGGGTGCTGGGAACTGAACCCAGCAGTAAGCTCTCTTAACCATCAAACCATCTCTCCAGCTCAGAAAAACAGATTTTTTGAAAAGCACCCAAGTCATTAACCTTTAGTGTATATTTCATTCACAGTATTCGAGTTTTGTTTGTATCTGAGGAATTATAGTTCTTCCTGGATATAAATTCTCTTTGTATTACTCCAAGAAGCTTAAATGTTCAGTGATTCTTTTTCTTTCTTTGTTCTTATTGTTGATGATAGGATCGAACAGAAGCTGCAACCAAAATAATCCATACTATCAGAAGGGAGAGATGTAAGATGGTGAAGGACATGGAGGCTCTCTGTGATGCCTACATTATATTGGCAAACTTGGATGCCTCTCAGTGGAGGAATCAGAGAAGTATGTTTGAAAGTGTTGTTTTCTTCAGTGATATTCCTCAGGTTACTCTTTTCACTAAAATGTCTTTATTTATAAATATAGAAGGCATCGATATTCCAGCAAATCAGCCAATCACTAAACTGAAGAACTTAGAAGATGTTGTTGTTCCCACTATGGAAATTAAGGTAATTTACCAGTAACTCTTGATTTTTAATAAAGCTAAATTGCACATTAGTAGATTAAATTATTTGTAGACCTCCTTTTTATGTTGTCCAAATGGCTAATTGCAATTCCATGTGTTTCCAGCTAGAGATTGTCTGTCTGCATTAGACTTCCTTTCCCCAAACCTTAAAATAGTCACAAGCTTCTGAGAATTCCACTTGTTTTACTGTTTAATTTTAGCACTAGGGACTCAACCTAGTATATGCTGGGCAAGACTTTTTGTACCTTTAGTTTTGCAACAGGGTCTCTCAGTGAATTGACCTTGAGCCTGCTCAGTAATTTAAGCAAGCCTGGGACTTTAGGCATGTGGCCCATTTATTTTGCTTCACTTTATTTTCTTATTCATTTTGTGCATTCACGCATGTATGTGAAGGTATGGTGCCCATGGTAGCCAAGCACTTCATCCCTAAACTATACTTGAGTCTCTTGGGGTTTGCAATGTGCACAACACTACTCTTCCCAATTTGTTGTGGTTATTTTGGGGTTTTTTTGTTTTTGTTTTTGTTTTGTTTTTTTTAATAATTCAGTGTACAGTGGAAGTATTAGTTGTGACATATTATATTATTTAATAAAACAACAGCTAGTACAGTACTTTTAAGTTGCTGTGTGTACATACTGAATTCAGCTGTTCACAGTGATCTTTTATTACTAGAAGTACCATGTGGGCAGGATGCATGTAAGGTTACCATTTTAGAAACTGGTATGTTAAGTATATGATACATCTTTCATTCCAGTTTGTACATTAAAATTAGTATCTTTTGTTAGTGAGTTTAACCTGTTCTGTCTATGGGTTAGCAGATTTAGGCTATGTTGTTTAACTGAATATTTTTCACTTTTCAGAATTAATCATATTCTTGTGAATTAAATAATTTCCTAGGTGATTTGATATATGTGACAACTAAGTTCTGATTTTTCAGAAGTTTTTTTACAGTACCGTTCTGATAGACTGGAAATGCTGAAGTTTTATTAAAAGGTGTTTAAAAAAGTAAACTAAATAATATATAATTTTAAAAATCTGGGTTGGCAAGATGGCTAACCATGTAAAGACACTTGTTGCCAAGCCTGTAAACCAAAGCTCAACCCTAGAACTGACATGGCAACACACACATATATGTTATGCTCACCCAAATGTATATTCACACACAAAGTAAGCAAATGAAATAAAAAACCTATCAAGGTCATTTATTCTAACTTTAGACTAAGTAAGTTAGAGATCCAGTTTTTAAAAAACAATATGTTCTCATTTTTCTGCTTACCATCTATAATTTGGTGTTCTTCAGTGTTCATTGTTTATCTGTACTATAATAATTACTTATCATTTATTAGGTTGATCCCACAGGAGAGTATGAAAATCTGGTGACTATAAAATCATTTAAAACAGAATTTCGCTTAGCAGGAGGTTTAAATTTACCAAAAATAATAGATTGTGTGGGTTCTGACGGCAAGGAAAGGAGACAACTTGTCAAGGTGAGACTTCCTGTTTCTGGTATAGTCCTTTGGGGGTTAATTAGTAGATGTTTGCTTCTTCCTCATTTGGCTGTCTGGACCTAGCTTGATCCTGAATAATGACAGGCAGGAAACATTTGTGAAGTAGACATACAGTGTGCTAGAACCAAACTGATTTTTTATCGGCTTTCTTTGAAAGACCATCAGAGAAAGTCACTTTTCTACTATTGTGGATTAAAACCAAGGTCTTGCTCATGCTCAGCAATTCTCTACTTGTGAATTACGTTCCAGCTCTCTTTAAGGTTTTATTTGAAATGGGTCTTCCCAAGCTGACTGGGCAAGACTTGACTTTGAGACCCCTGAGCTTCTGGAATTATAGGTCTGTACTACTGGGCTTAGCAGGCTCTTCTACAGTTGATTCAAGGGAAAGAATGTTATCAGGGTGTACACACACAATGAGCTTGCTTTGAAAAAAAATTAGAACAGATTTAAGGCCCTTGCTTAATATACTGGGCCTGATACTGTGCCATGTGTTCTTGTACTGGAAAGTAACAACATTCCTTGCTTTGTTCTACTTGTGTAGGTGCTTTTGGGGTCTTACTGAAGATAGAAGAGAGATGAAATATTACTTTATGTGGGTATTTTGTACTGTGCCTTCAGATGAGAGAGTTCAGTTAGGAGAAACTTAGTCTTTTGTTTTAGTCTGCTTCCCAGTTTCATAGTTTTTTTCTAAAGGCAAGAATGAAGGTAGGTATTAATTATTCAAGAGATGCTGAAGGGGAGCATAGCTCAGATTGACTTCTGGATGCCTTGTACTGCCTGTTCTTAGATGCCTATGTGCTTATAGTAAAGTAAACTATACTTGTTTATGTCTGATTTTTCTGAAGGGCCGTGATGACCTGAGGCAAGATGCTGTCATGCAGCAGGTTTTCCAGATGTGCAATACACTACTGCAGAGAAACACTGAGACTAGAAAGAGGAAACTGACTATCTGCACATACAAGGTAACTGACTTACTGGCTTCTATTCTGGGGCCAAGAAAAGCCCAGTAGTACAGACCTATAATTCCAAGGATGAACAGATGTTTTTTGTGAAGGAACAAACAGTGAATATTTTAGACTTTGAAAGCCACTTAGGTCTCTTGCATTTTAAATCGGTAAAGCCATTCTTTGCATGTGTGCTGTATAGAAATAGACCAATGCGCCATAGATTGCCACTCTCTGGTTGGACAATACAATTTTCATTTTAATATCTTCCTGCCTCATCTGCTCTCAGAGTTAAGCTCAGACACCTTATTTTATTTTATGGAAATTTAATTTGTGGGGCTGGGGAGGTATCTCAGTGGGTAAAGTGCTTGCTTGCCTTGCAAGCATGAAGACCTAAGTTTGGACAGGGAATTTAAGCTTGTCAGCAGAAAAAAAATAGTAAAGAACAGAATTCATAAGGGAAAAAGTGAGTGGTCAGTAAACCTATGATATTCTGTTAGTCATCTGAAAAATGCAGACTAAAACCACAGTGTGCTACAATTAACATGAAAGTAGCAAATGTAAAAGTCAGACAAATGTGTGGGAAAAATTCAGTAACCGCTTTCCTGGCAAGTCTATAAGTTACAATAGTCACCTTGGATAGTTAACTTCATTAAGTAAGTTAAAGATAGTACATTCCCTGTTATGTATTCACCAGTGGATTATCACTGCAGAGAAAATTGTGGGTGGTCTCCACAAACACTGTAGTCAGCAAGAAGTCTGGATCAACACGACTCAGTAGCCAGTGTTGGTCAAATTTCAAGAGTCTGACACTCAGTAGTTTATTTTAAGCATTTTTTTAAGCAAAGCGTTATTTGGCAAAAGTTTCCCAGTGATGATTAACTCAAACCCATGTGCACAATAAAGCCATGTCTACATCGAGAATCTTGTAAAATAAGAGTGACATAAAGATAGATTCTATATATATTAACTGAGAAAGTAGACTTGCAGTAAACAATGCTCATGATTAGGGTCTGGAGAAGCTGGTTTGTCTTGGCCATACAGATAACAGAGTTCACCAGCTATCAACTACCTTTGCTCTCAGGCTTCTGAGCAGAAAGCAAGTCATACATGTCTCCCTTTGAAGAGACAAAAGTTTTCCTAGTTCTTATCTGTGAGCACAAGGACCTACATGCCTCCTTCAAAAAGTAAAAACAATACCAACCAATACAAATGTTGAAATGCAAACTGGATAACTGGACATGTATGTATGTATGTATCATAAAGTTATAAAATTAATGACAGTTAAGTATATTAACAAAGCCAAACTTGAGAATGTCAAGTAAGAAAAAGAAAATTGTAGAAGCTGACACATATCTTTTATTTAAAATTTGTAGCTATCTTGTCCTCTGACCTCCACTTGCATACTTGGCACTCATGCCCCCAGTAATAATTAATTTGTAAATAAAATTTGTATTTACACATAGATAGCTTTGAAAATAAAGTAACAAAAATACATGAGAATGGAAAAGCAGTAGCAAGCAAACATTGTGATTGTGGGAGGAGGCGAGACTGAACACAGCAAGAGACACAAAATAGCTTCCCCTCTTTCCCTGCAGATTGGACAAACTCTTAGATTTTTGAAGCTCTTTAATGTATAAAATAGTATTAGTTCCTCATTATTTTTACATTTGGATGTTTATAAAATATGGTTTTAAAAACAACTGTCTCAGTAAAAAGTTCTCATTTTTGTTTGGAAGTATTTTTCTCTTCTTGAAATTAATGCTATAAACAAAAATACATGTAATTAAATGTGAAAGTATGTTAAAAATTGAGACCACAGTCACAAGTAATTATTTTCCTAGGTGAAATGTCCTAAGTCTCATGGGTAGCAAAAGTGTAAGAAAGTAGCAGATGCAATGGTGCACACCTATAATCCCAGCTACTCCAGAGAATGAGGCAGGAGCATCCCAAGTTCAAGGATCCTAGGCTACAAAGCATAATGAAAGCATTCACTGCTAAATGAACAAATTAATTGTGGATCAATCACACATAGCACCTGTAATACAGATAATGTGATACATCTGAGTATCATTAACATGATGATCTCTTAGAGAATTGTGGGAACTGAGAGATGGGTGACTTCTCTTAAGTCTAAGCAGAAGCTAGAAAGATGTTAGTTTCTGAGCCTAGTTTTTTCCTGCTTTCCTCCCAGGAGCTTCATCTCTTGTAGGCAGATATTGGTAAATCCTGGAAATGCTTTGCACTGCTGAAGATGAATGGTCATCCACAGTTCTTTAATATCTTTCTATAATCAAAGGTATTTGATTTCACCTCAGGTGGTTCCCCTTTCTCAGCGAAGCGGTGTTCTTGAATGGTGCACAGGAACCATCCCTATTGGTGAATATCTTGTCAACAATGAAGAAGGTGCTCATAAAAGATACAGGCCAAATGATTTCAGTGCCTATCAGTGCCAGAAGAAAATGATGGTGAGTTGCAAGGTTGTTTAGTAGCTTATAAAGCTACCAAATATTATAAAATACAAAACATAATTGTTGAAGATAGTAGTTTACAATATGTAAACTTACCAAGATGAATGAATGACACAGGAAGGTCTTTACACAATATGAAGTGCCAACCCTGTCATCTTAGAAATGTAAACATTGTCCAGTTTATATTAGTTTGCTTCCAATTTGTGATAAGTCGATTCTTAATAAAACAAAATACCAATTTAAAAAGAGAAAGACGTTAAGCCATTTTTATATGAAACAACTTTCTGAAATAATTTCCATGCTATTGGCTGTCTGTTTTAACATTTACTTGCTGTTTTAGCAGCATTTATTTAATGCCTCCTGTCAACCAGGCACCAAGCTGAGACTTCACAAATTTGACATTCATCATTCTTATCCCTACATTAAAGTGATATGTTTAGGGACTATAATTTGCCCATGGTCAGTGACTTATCACATAGTAGAGCTTTGAACCTTGCTGTCCAAGGTACATCATTTGTTTTTTGGTTTTAGTGTTTTGATTTTTTTTTCCCAGAAAATTCATTTTGATTTCTGTCACATGGTTTTTGTTGTTAGCTTGTTTTAAACTTTGTGTATGTGGTGTGTACCTGTGTATATGTGTGTTTGTGTAGCTGTGTGGTGTGTATATGCGGGCACTCATGTCATGGTACAAATTTGAATGTCACAGGACAACTCTATAGTGTCAGTTTTCCTTGTACCTGTATGTGGAAACCAGAGATTGCACTCAGGTTGCCAGGCTTGCATGGCAAGCTCCGTTATCTGCTGAGCCACCTCACTGAACCCTAAAAGTTTTCTTTCTTTCTTTTTTTTTTTTTTTTTTAAATATGCAGTCAGCATTTGATGGGAGTCTGTTCAGGGTATCTAAGGTAAAGGATGGGCTTCAAAGAGGAAGTGCTTATTGTACCTAGTGGAGAGGAGTGGAGAGAATTAGATTTTTGAAAGGCTTCCTGAGTGAGAACGTATCTGAACTTTGAACCAAGCTTTTTAAATAAGTAGGTTTTCCACATAGAAGCATACAAGCAACAGGGAGGAGGCATAACATCATAGGTATAGACATCAGGCTTGGGTTTTGAGAAGGGTACATGAGGCTGGAGTAGTAATTGATCCTAAAATTGGAGGATTGCTGCAAAATGTTTCTATCCTGTAGGTGAAAAGGGTCCTTGTGAAGAGAATAGGATATCAGGTTTGCTTTTGGGGGCAGTGGGGAGGGGGAATATTGAGGTTGGGTCCTCTAGTCCTGGCTATCCTCGAGGTCTTGATGTAAACCAGGCTGCCCTTATACCCACAGAGATCTGCTGCTTCCACCTTCTGAGTGCTGGGAGTAAAAGCATGTGCCACCACGCACAGCTACAGTTTATATTTTAGAAAGATAATTCTGACAGTAATGTATGTTGTCGTTTTGAGAAAACAGATTAGAAATATAATTTGAACTAAATAAGACTAATTAATGGTACAAATGGATAATCATGGGTAGGTAGATAAATTAAGGAGGCAAAGCTGATAGAGTTTGATTGATTGGAAGTACTATCACACTGTTAGAGAAAGAGGTGGGGAAACGCTGCTGCAAGCGAGGTCTTTCTGAACGAGACTTTAGTCACTCAGAAATGAGGCCCACAGTCAACAAATGGTGTCACATGAAGTTACAAAGCATCTGTCCAGCAAAAGAATGAGTTAGTTAATCAAACAAAAAGGCAGCTTCCAGAATGGAGAAAAGTCTTTGCCAACTATACATTTGTCTGATTAATATCTAAAATAAACAAAGAACATTAAGAAAAAAAAAGAAACAAAAAAAATGACCATTGGGCTAATGAAATGGACAGTTCATAAAATCTGAATAAACATGTGAATAAGTGTTCTGCTTCACTAGCTATTGGAGAAAAGCAAATCAAAGCCACATTGAGATGCTCTCCTACTCAAGTCAGATTGATAGTCATTAAGGACAAGGAACCTGGAGAGATGACTCAGCATGTACAAAGGTTCCTACTGCTACATCTGACCACCTGAGTTCAGATCCCAGGACCCACATGGTGGAAGGAGAGCACCGACTCAACTCCACAGGCTATGCTCTGACTAACACATGTGCATCATGGTACCTGCATTCCCATCCCCACCAACCACCACATATGCACACAGTAAATAAAAATGTAATAAGATGGAGCTGGAGAGATGGTTTCAAAGTTAAGAGCAGTTAATACTATCTCAGAGGGCCTGGGTTCAAGTCTCAGCACACACATGGTAGTTTACAACTATCCTCAACCCCATTCCAGGGTATCCAACAAGCACCCATATGGTGTACATACATGTGTATAGGTAAAATATCCATACATATAAAGTAAAATTAAAAATAAATTTAGGTATTAAACAATAACAGATGTTAGCACAGATGCCCTTATACTGCTAGTGCAGTCATGGAAGTTAATGTGAGGTTTCTCAAAAACCTAAAAATGTATCTACCCTATGACCCAACTACACTGTTCTTGTGTCTGAAGGACGTCCAGGGATTCACAGTATCTAAATTCTAGATCCACTCTAGGTGTCCAGCAACAGAAGTGGATAAAGAAAATAGAAATATTTAAGGCTTAAAGGAGAATAAAGTTATGTTGTTTGAGCTGGACAAAACAGCCCTACAGACTACAGCTAGGATATCTGAATCTTCTTCGAATCCCCCAAGACAGCGCCCCTTACCAGCAGGAAGTAGTTTGGAAAGAACGACGCCCAAATTCCCAAATATTGTGTATAAATGTTTGTTTTCATTTAATTGGACTTTGTTATATAAAATTAAATAAAAAAAAAGTTATGTTGTTTGCAGGAAAATGGATGCAACTGGAGGCAATAATACTAAGTTTATTAAACCAGGCTCAGACAGATGTATGAGTTTTCAAATTTGTGGTTCCTAAATTTTTTTTAAAAAAATCATATACGTATATATAAAATGAAGGAAAACAGAAGTGAAATTGTTGAGGGATACAAAGGATTCAAAGGGGTGGGTATTGGGTGAGCAGGAACAGTGTGGGGGGAATATGCTCAATATACAATATACACCTAGATGAAATTCTATTAAAAAATAAACAACAAAAAAGTGTAGAGAAAGATATGTTCTTCCCAGTTTTCTGGATAGTGAGACAAGCAGTGTGTTTGTGTTTGGAAGGGTAGTGAGGGTGTTGTGTGGGAAATGAAGTGGCATATCACTCAAGTTAACTAGTTAACATCACTCAAGTTAGGATGCCATCGTCAAATGGATGCGCACTGAGCCCACTAAAGTCGATAAACTTTGCTTTGGGAGCATATGCCACAGAGAGGTTTCAGGACAGAAGTCTGACGTCTCCATCCTGTCACAAAGCATGCTGTGACATCACCTACGTTTATTGGGAGCTGCCTCTGGAATCTCTGTGTCACTCCACCTATTTTACAAGACCCTTCAAATTAGAAAATAGTTAAAAAGCAGTCAAGGGATAGGCTCCTAATAGGATCATCACTTGAATTAAAGGCTTTCCTGACCAAATTGCTAACCTCTTGTGGGTAGAATGTCTTGCTTCTCTTTTTATTGCCCTATAATCTATATTAGCTATTTCATCTAGAAGCATTGTGGATATTAGTTGAATGACATGAGCATAATACTAAGAAAATGTTATATATGTTCTGTTTAAAGGAAGTGCAAAAGAAGTCTTTTGAAGAGAAATATGATACCTTCATGACTATTTGCCAAAACTTTGAACCAGTTTTCCGTTACTTCTGCATGGAAAAATTCTTGGACCCAGCTGTTTGGTTTGAGAAACGATTGGCATATACGCGTAGTGTAGCCACGTCTTCTATTGGTAATCCTGTGTATCTTACATATTAATACATAACTACATTCTGGCTTATAAGAGGATGGTAGTGGTAATGGTAGTTGTTGCTCAAATTGTCCTCACAATTAGATCATTGTGTTTGTTTATGCTGATTGTTAGCTCAAAACCATCTTTATAGAAGAGAATTCTATTCTGAGAAAAATAAAACCAGTATTGTTTTTATTTTTTGATTTTTGAGACAGGGTTACTCTGTAGGTTTTGGAGCCTGTCCTGGAGCTCTCTTTGAAGACCAGGCTGGCCTCGAACTCAGAGATCCGACTGCCTCTGCCTCTCGAGCACTGAGATTAAAGGTGTGCGCCACCACCACCCAGCTTTTTCTTTGGTTTTTGTTTTGGTTTTTAATATAGTGGGTGTGGTTTATTTTTTCTTCCTTTAATATAGGTTCTTGGAGATTTTCTTTGGAAAATAAAACCTTTGATATTATCCTTTGGCTTTCTTTCATTATTGTTTTTCTGTACATTGCTTAATAGAATTACAGAGCAGAAATTGTGATACATAGTTAAATACTTGCTATACAATGTATGTTTTGACATTTTAACTTTTTATGAGAGTGAAATAAAGTTAGATAAATGTGTTAAAATTCTAGAGCATGAGAGCTAATAGAAGTGTAGGAACCGTCTCATGTTAATTTCTTCAACTTTTGTACTGTACTTGTGATAGGACGTGTATGCTTAAGCATACTTGTGAGAATCTCTTCAGCCTTGGATTAAAGTGGTTTGGTTTATAAACAAGAAAGCAAGCTCAGTTAACAATAGGGCCAGCCATGCAGGGGACATCCTTAGTCCCTACCCAGTGATTTTTCTGTAACACTGCATGATGTCTCTAATCAGGTTAAAGGTGTTTTAAGGTGTGCCGTTGTCTGTCTTAAAAATAGAATTGGAGTTATGCTTAGTATAAGCACCTGATGAGATAAAGTAGCAATCAGTTTCTGGTCAGCATAATTCATCAGGCAGCGGAAAGTTTCACTGCTGATTGATGAAGTTGCCAATCACTGTATCTCTCATTTTGTAAGAACACTTAATAAAAATTTTGAGTGTTTTATGTTGGCCCAGGTAAATCAGGGTCTCTCTATCTTTAACCATACTAATTTCAGGGGAAACCTGTGCTTTTTAATAAGGAGAAACTATTTTTTAGCAGCACATCTATTTTTAAAATGTAATATACATTAAAGTATCTGGTTAGATTTGACTTGAACTATACACTACTTACTATGTATAGTTTTCTTTAAATAGCTTTAAAATGAACTACTTAAAATTGCATAGAGTCAACAGAACTAATCAGGTTATGATTGAATATGTGTTACAGATTTCACATGTTGGTTTTGTTTTTTTCCTCCTAGTTGGTTACATCCTTGGACTTGGTGATAGGCATGTACAGAATATCTTGATAAACGAGCAGTCAGCAGAACTGGTACACATAGATTTGGGTGAGTAGTAAAAGATATGTATCTTTAATATTTAGTCATCAAGGACTCTTTGCATATCAGCATATTAGAAATATGAGGAAGTCAAACATATCAACAGAAATACCTAACTTAAGTTTTTTCTTAAGCATAAGCACTTATAGTGAGAGGAGCTGCCATCTCCACCTACTATAATGAGTGAAATTCACTGTAAGAGGTAGCAGCTCAAGAAAAGAAGGGTGATTGAGAAGGTGGGATAGTAATTGAGAGCTGTCCTAAATATTGCTAGAAGGAACTTTACCTGTAATTAATAGCCTGAGAGAAAGTGATAGTAGATTTAAAAGATAGTTTTGACTTTTAATCTTTTAAATGGTGGGAAGTGAAAAAATATTTAACCAAGAGACAGTCATGTTTGAATTTTAGGTAACTTTCTAAGCAATTTGAACCAGTAAGTTAAGAGAGAAAATAATAGTGTAGACATGAAATGATAAAGGTTTTAACTAGAGTTTTAGTGACCGGGAAATTGAAATTGAAGACAACTGTATTCTAGGTTGTGCAATTGAAGTTAGTTGTATAGTCTAGGAGGGGGATTTCCAGACATCCAAAGCATCCAACAAAGGAATACAGGTTTCATTTTTAAAAACAAAACAAAAAGTGAAAACATTGAGTTTATTTCAAAACATTAGTGAGGTTTCTGGAAAGTAGTATAAGCTCAATATAAAAGTTTGGATGTAATGGCAAGTCAGACTCTCAGCAGTAGAGATGGCTGAGTCGCTGGGCTAGAGGAGATTCTGATCTCACACTGAAGATGGGGGTTTTTGGAATGTTAGTATTGAACATCTAAACCAGAGTGGACTTGGTGGTTCATGAGTATAATCCTAGCACTTAAAAGGCTGAGACATGTGAATCTGTAATTACCTCAAAATAAGCGCATGAGTTTGTGTCTCAAAACCTTTCTATTTAAAATATGTTAAAACATTTACAACACGTCTTCTACATCTTAAACATACCAATTACCCGGTTTTAAAAATGATCCTTTTAGTGTGCATTCCTTTGTTAAGAAGTTCTTCTGCATTTGAAGTGGTTCTCATAGGTGATGGAGGTGAGGTAGGGAAAGCAAAAATATAATAATCATCTAGTGGTAGTAGAGTGTGAGTGACAAATTATCTGCTGCCTGTACAAAGTTAGCATACACTTATGGAGACAGTGTGTCAGCCCATCATACTTTGTTGCTTTACATCTCTTTGATTTTAGGAGTGGCTTTTGAGCAGGGTAAAATCCTTCCCACTCCAGAAACAGTGCCTTTTAGACTCAGCAGAGATATCGTGGATGGCATGGGCATCACTGGTGTGGAAGGTGTCTTCAGAAGGTAAGGGAGGGAAGGCATACATATTGCTACCAAAATTATTAAGTTAATAAATTTATATATGATGGGTTCTGATGGTAGAATCACCTCCCAGTACTTTACAATACTAAGGAAAAGACCCTCGATACAGGTAATAATAGTTCTTTCCTGCCACCTGGAAACTTAATTCAGCATGACATGTGTTGTCATCCCTAACCTCCTCTGGAAGAGGCCCACTTGTACTGTTACTCAACCTTAGCTGTTTCTGCTGTTTTGCTGGTGCTCATTGTTGAGGCTATTAAAGAGATGATAGGTTTTTTTTGTTTGTTTTTTTGTTTTTTGGTTTTTGGTTTTTTTTTTTTTAGTTATTTATTCTTCTCTCATACAATATATCCTGACTTCAGTTTCCCCTCCCTCAACTCCTCCCAGGTGCCCCTCCACTTTATCTCTCCCCCCCCCCCAAGATCCACTTTCCATTTCCCTTTAGAAATGAGCAGATCTCCCAGGGATATCAGCCAAATGTGGCATAACAGCATGCAGTAAGAATGGGCACAAACCCTCATATCAGGGCTGAGTGAAGCAACCCAGTAGGAGGAAAAGGGTCCCAAGAGCAGGCAAAAGAGAGATACCCCACAACCAATATCAGGGGTCCCACAAAAGCACCAAGCTAACAGCCATAACATGAATGTAGAAGAGCTATCACAGACCCATGCAGGCTCCTTGATTGCCACTTCAGTCTCTGTGAGCCCCTGTGAGTCCCCTGTAGTCAATTCTGTGGGCCATGTTCTCCCGGTGTCCTTGATCCCTTTGGTTCCTACAATTCTCCAGGTCTTCAGTGAGGTTCTCTGAGCTCCAAGGAGGAGGGACCTGATAGAGATCTCCAATTTTGGATTAAGAGATGATAGTTCTACCAGAAAGAACTATGTATAACTCCAAGCCACACATTTTGCTGTTTCTTGTAGATTTCGCAGTAAAGATCCATAATCTCAGCTTGTAAAAGTAAATTCATACTTGCTTCAGTAATCAATCAAGACAAAGTATTTCATAGTAGTAGTGTATTTTTTTTAAATAAGTGCTGAGCTTATGAAATATACACACATGTATTTGTATATATTTAATTTCTGGAACATCTCCTAAATGCTGTCTTTGCCAACTGGTCTGCTCTTTGCTAGCAATTCCCAAAAATTTCCTTCAGGGATCATCTAAGTATGTATGCATGAGTGCATATAGGCAAAGATGGGTTGAAATATTGGTGTGCTACAAAATTCATGTTTGTAATGTATTTCACTTTGCAGATGCTGTGAAAAAACCATGGAAGTTATGCGCAGTTCTCAGGAAACTTTGCTAACCATTGTAGAGGTAAAGTATGCATAAAGACATCTGGATCCCTTTGCCAGTCAGCCTGCCGTATTAGGAAGTACTCATTTGAGGAGCAGTGCTACGTTTCATGTAGAGTGGTGCTGGGCAGCAGCAGAAAGGGGCACAGTGGGCAGTATCTTTACATCACAAAGCTTGGGGTTAGAAATGGTTCTAGGACTAGAACCTTACGTTCCTTGGGATATTATAGCATTGTTCAGTAATCTCCAATATTTAATAAATAAATGAGAACTTTGACATCTTAGACATCCCACTTCAGCCTGAGGAGATAACTCAGTAAAGTGCTTGCCACAAAAGCATGAAGGCCTGAGTTTGGACCCCCAGAACCCATGTAAATATCTAACATAGTGGTGCATGCTTATAATCCCAGGCATTGGGAAGGTGGGAATGGGAGGATCTCTGGGACTCACTGGTCAGCCAGTAAAACCAAATTGCTGAGTTTCTGATTCAGTGATAAACACTGTCTCAAAAAATGAGTAGAAAAATGATTGAAGAAAACATCTGACATCAACCTCTGGTCTCCATTCATACCAACACATGTGTGTGCATACACATATCAGTGTATCTATATGTATCCCATATGGGATTATGAGATGGGTTTCCTTGAAGAGAAATCAATATGTATCATTTTTCCTACAAAAATTTGAGCTAATGTACATGTGAATCAGAGTGTCAGCAGTATTAGTGGTGAGCATAACTGAAGAGTGAGTTTGCTGTTGAGGCTTCTGCAGTGCCTGTTTGCTATTTATCTTTGAGATAGCACATCTGAATGGAGCTGTGACCTGTAGAACGTATGTGTTTAAATCAGGTTCATTATTTCATGTAGACCCAGGACAGAGAGGCAAGAAAGTCATACTTCCAGTGCTTATGACATTAATTCTGCCCAAATGAGAATTGTGTACCTCTGCTGGTCATTACAAGCCTGATAAGGATGTGTGAAACAAGAACTCAGTTGTTTCCTGCACAGGAAAATACAGGAAGTAGATGGGAGTACAGGCCTGGCTGCACATAGGTATCATCTGGTCTGTTTCTAAAGCAGTTCAAAACAAATTTCTAGGGATGAAGAAATAGGAGCATGTGTGTTTTGTAAATCACTCCTTCTGTGCAGGTAGAGTTTAGAGTCATTTGTATTTCACTTCCACTATTAAGACTATCCTTTAGAAGACTCAGTTAACATTTTACCATGGTGGTGTGAGTGACAATATTACATCTGAGAAATGATCTCCACTTACAGTACCTGTATCATTTTGAAACATATCTATCCCTCACAGACACAGAAAGTTCTCTGTCATTTGCTGAGTTTTCCTAATATTGAAGAACAGTTTCCCATTCACCATTGCTGCCTCCTGCTCTAGGGCAGTGCTTCCCAAGCTTCCCAATAGTGTCTTGGGACCTCCCAGTTTTGAGGTCACTCCTTTTGAAGTCAGTTCCTCAATGGTTTATCAGTGTAGGACCTCAAAGCAGCATTACAAAACACAAAGCTTTTTATATTGCTATCTAGTACATGTCCTACAGTTGAAATATGCTAAAGACACTTTACAGTCTCAGCATATGGATGCTGCAGAAACCCAGTGAAGGTGATAATCAGAAAGGATTCTGGTCCTGTGATGCTGGCCTGGCCTGCTGAATCATTTTCCTTCATAACCAAGTATTCCACTTACTACTAAGACTGCCTAGGCCTGACTGAAAAAAACGAGAATAAAAATAAGAAATATCTGTGTTTACATACAGCAGGGCAGATGGCTGTTAAATAAATTACATCTTTTTTATTAAATTCACCCAGCTTGGGATCTAATTAGTAGAAAAAGAGTGGGTAGTAGATTAGTAGTCAAAACGTTAGTTTTAATGGTGCTAAAACTCCAGTAGGGAACATAGACCTGGGGAGAGAAGGGAGTAAAAGCCACACTACTAATAACCTTCAACTAGGTCAGTGTCACCCAGGCTGACACCCGACCCTGGGGGAAGAGTGAATTCAGGTGGGATGAGAACCTTGGAGCTTATCCTTAAAATAGCTTCCTCTGCACAAACACATAACTTGTTTCCTTCCACCAGCTGCTTGTGACTGGTGTTACTTTATGATGTGGTGGCTATTGTTTTTAACTACATAATCAAAGAGCACATCATTTGTTTTTTTTGTTTTTTTTTTTTTTTCTGTCTAGGTCCTTTTGTACGATCCACTCTTTGACTGGACTATGAATCCTCTAAAAGCTTTGTATTTGCAGCAGAGGCCAGAAGATGAGACTGAGCTCCATTCTACCCCCAATGCAGAAGATCAGGAATGCAAACGAAGTCTTAGGTGGGAGATTTTAGGAGGGACCTATTGTTAGTTACTTAGACTTTGTTATTCCCAAGCCCTTAGCTGTTATATCTCATTGTAATCTTCATGTTTTTTATCCTTAGTGATATTGACCAGAGTTTCAACAAAGTAGCTGAACGTGTCTTGATGCGGTTGCAAGAGAAACTGAAAGGCGTGGAAGAAGGCACTGTGCTCAGTGTGGGTGGACAGGTGAACTTGCTTATCCAGCAAGCCATGGATCCCAAAAATCTCAGCCGACTTTTCCCAGGATGGAAAGCTTGGGTGTGATCTTCAGCACAGGAATTACCCTTAAACTCAGACTTCAAAAATTACATCTCAACCATCATATTTAGATAGGAATTATTCAAGTTAATAACTGCTTTTGAACCAGTTTTCTACTTGATTTATCACCACCCAAAAATTGGTATTTCTGCTCTCATGTGTTAGAAGTAATAGTTACTCAAGATCTTCTCCTAGGATAAATGCTGACCCTTAAGATCATGCTTGTACTGTTTTCAGTAGGATCACCAAGGTACGCATGAACTGCAAACAGCAGTAGCAGCAGTGAGCTTTACTTTTGGTGTGCATTAGGACAAGTTCATAACTTCTGCTCTAAGAAGTCTTTTTAGTTAAAACATGTTCCCAAGAGTTGGGCGTTGGTGGCACACACCCTTAGTCCCAGCACTCAGGCAGAGACAGAAGGATCTCTGTGAGTTCGAGGCCAGCCTGGTCTACACAGTGAGTTTCATGACAGCCTGCAAAACAATACAGAGAACCCCTATCTCGGGGGGAGGGAGAGGGGGAGGTGTTCCCAGACAGTCATTGTGTGTGCATACACATGCACACACACGACTAAGTACTTAATGATATTGTGAAAAGGGTAGGCATTAAAATTATAATTGTCAATATATCTATCATGGGGAACTCACATTAAAATAAATGTTGGGCTGGAGTATAGCTCAGTGTAGAAAATGTATCCAACCTGTCTGAGGCACCAAGTTCAAGACTAGAATTCCATGTTAAAGTGGGGGAAGCATGTTGAAAGCAAAGTAGTAAGGTTGAACATCCTTAATTCCCAAGCCCAAAACATGAGATGTTCTGGTGTCCAAAACTTTCTGACATATTGGGCACATTTCAGAGGTTCAGATTAGGTGCATAGCTAGTCTTAGCTTATAGTCTGCACAAATGTTTCACAATCTGGAAATGTCTAAAACCAGAAGCAGCTCTGGTCCTCAACATTTTTAGGAGGAGACACTTAATTTCAGTCCAGTCCTGGTGGCACACTCCTTTTATACTAACACTAAGGAGACAGAGGCAGTCCAATCTCTGAAGTAGAGGCCAGCCTGTCTACAGAGCAAGTTCCAGGATAGCCAAAGCTACACAGAGAAACCCTGTCTCTAAAACCAAAGCAGAAGAAATGTTCTGATTTCAGTTGCAGGGTCACAGCATCCCCAAGTGATGAGATCTAGAGAGGAAGAGCATGCAGGTGTAGCAAGTGGTACTTAAGTGAGTTCTGTGCTCTTTCTCTTTCAGGCCCTTTGGTATTAACCATTGCTGTATTTTTCTCTTATGTTTCTCTTAGTTTACAAATTCTCCAGTTAACTACATCTCTTCTCCTGTTAACCCAATTGGATTCTTTCAAAAATTAGTTTTCAGGGTTGACAAAGTGGCTCAGTGGGTAAGCGTGCTTGCTGTGAAAGACTGATGACCTTAGTTCCATCCCCAGAACTCATGAAAAAATGGAAGGGCAGAATCAACAAAGCTGTCCTCTGACTCCACATGCTTGCCATGCATGGCATGTGCATGTCCACACACACATACTCGCAAGAATAAACTTTAATTTTTTTTTGTCCAAAGAAAAAGATAGATTTTCAGCTATGTGACCTGGAACTAACAGATCCACCTATTTCTGACTCCTAAGTGTTGGGATTAAAGGTGTACACCACCACATTCAGCTTAATTAACTTTTCAAGTCCTTTCCTGTCACTATCTTAAACATCTTATTCTGTGATCCCTCTGATAGTTTTATTAAGTCAAGTGCTGGGTGTTTGTATTGTTGATTTTTGGGTTTAGTGGGCTAATTTGTCATTTTGAAAGGTGAACTCATTTTTGCCCCTTTTACGCGCACGCGCACACGCACACACACACTGTGTGTGTGTGAGAATCCTGGGTAGCCTAGCTAAAGAGTGATTCTTTAAGACAGCTTGCTCATGTCTCATCCCCATGGATGGCACAGACATTTTCTGGCTCCAGGAGTAGTGTAGAAGAGTGTCCTAGGCTATGGTTACCTGCTTTCTGTCCTCTCTGTGCTAATAGGCAGAGTATTTTACTGGTGTCTTTTCAGTGAAGTCTAAGCCTGCATGTGTCTCACCATGGTGGCTGGGTGAAGGGTGGTGCACTTAATGCCTCTCCCTTGCTGTTCGCCTAAGATTTTTAGTCCATATGTATACATATACACACACATATACATATATACATGGATACACATATGGGTATTTGTATATATACACACACAAAGCCAAACTCTGTTTCTGAAAACTGTTATGAAAATTATTTTGCATTTTAACTTTCCTTCTTAGTGTCTTTTGTCAGAGTTGCTTATGGATATTTGGTATCTACTGTTGTAGTAAACCAAGAGAATGTATGAACTTAGAGTGTCTTTAAGAAAATGTTGACCTCTTCATAGATAGAGGATGATATTAGCTGATAATGGCTAGCTACATGAATTTGTAATGTGTTTCTGTAGTTAAATCACCAAAGAGATTTGAATTATATAATTGATCCATTCTTCACCCTTAAATTATATGCCACAAACATATGCTATTCAGATTTTATCAAAGGCTTTGAAAAGTCTATATCAGGTTTTTTCAGGTAAACCTAGAAGCAACTAATTGAAATGTGAAAAGATTAAGTTAGAAAAATATTTTTGACAGGCTTGAGTAAGATGGGCAGTTACCAGGAGCCATTGAGGTTAGATTTACAGGTATTAAAAATCAGGCATTTCCTTTATGTAAGAATCCTTCTGATTCTTACAACAAAACCTGGTGCCCGGCAGTGGTGGCGCACATCTTTAATCCCAGCACTTGGTAGGCAGAAGCAGGTGAATCTCTGTGAGCTTGACTCCAACTTGTTCTACAAAGTAAGTTCCAGGACAGCCAGAGCTATTACACAGAAAAACCCTGTCTCACAAAAAAAAAAAAAAACCCAAATTGTAACATTGGTGATAGTATGTCCAGAGAAAGTTGAAGAAAGGTTACTTGTCTAAGGTCAGAAGACATTCCACACAAGTATTATATAAACAGTCTCTTCAGTTGAAGAGCTTTTAATGAAAAGAATGTGGCATTCACTGGTCAGTTATAAGTCAGTGAGAAGCGAATAGAGAAGCTGCTAGAAAAGGAAGTTAGCTAATGTGTCTGCAGTGAGGGAGGCAACAGCTCCTCTTCCAACCTTATGCTCTTTTACCCCCTCAAAATGCTTCCAGATCAGGCCCCAAATCTAAGGTCGTGATAGTGTCCACTTAAGATGGGAAAAAATGTGCACCTAGAAATCTTTCACAAATTTAAATATGGTGTAAAAGGAACAAAAGCAAAAAGGCAGAACTTTGCACAGCTTAAGGTTTAGAATAACCATTTTTAAGAAGGCCAGTATAAGATAGAGAAAAGTGCCATTTCAAGGGTTTTAGTTGCACCTTAAAGGAATTACATATTTTATATAGATTTGTTTAGCACTGTTAAATGTATTGTTACATTGTTACGTGAATGTTACACTTTTTATAAATAAAGAACTATACAAGTTTATATTAACTATACAAGTGTATGTCCATTTTATGAAATACTTGAGTGTTGTATGTGGCAGGCACAGGGTTAGGGAGATAACAGTGAGCAGGAAAATCAGCACTCAGTCCAGGCAAGAGGGGTCCAGTCTGTGTCTCTAAAGGAAGGCAACTGATCAATGACCTACTTGACATTTCTCAAATCTATAAAACTAAGTTGCACCAGGATATGACAAAATAAAGATCCTAACATTCTCAGTGTGATGTTTTCATTTTATCATACTGTTTTAAGATAAGTTTTATGTTCCTCCGTGCAGCTTCTGGCAAAATGAATTTTGTAGAGTACAGTCAAAGTGTCCAGGAAGATTGGGTCCAGAATTAGTAACGATCTCATATAATAGAATTATTCTTTAGAGGAAAAGCCCCATACTTTGCTCTAACAGGTTGCGTGATTTTATATATAGCAGGAGTAAGAGTGTACACTTAGTAGTATATTGTTCAAAAGCAGAAGTTCTAAACCAAGGAGCTTTTGCCTTATATTTTCAAACTAAAAAGTATTTTATCCTGTTAGGTACAAAATGGCATTGTCTGCATTCATAACAGCTGGGGACGCAAAGCTTTTTGTTTGGTGTGGTTTCCTCTCTGCTGAATAGCCACAGCATAGTGGGCATATTCCTGTCCCTGTCCTGGCTGCATGACATCTTTGCTAACCTCCTTCCCCTCTCCGCTTATCATTCTTTGTCATCACTGGTTTCACTGGTGGTTAAATCTTCCCTATAAGGACTTTCATTGCTAGACCTTTGTACATGTTAATCATTTAACAGTTTTTGTTATGGAGATCTTGTATCCTATTTCATTTCTTCCTAGGCACCTTGGTGATTTTCATAGGGTACCTCTTCAGTTACTTACCCTCCACTGAAACTTTATCCAGTGACTAAGGTAAAAAAAGTCTTATTCTTTCTAGAAACATATGTTGGTTCTTTTAGCCCAGTGATTCTCAACCTACCTAATACAGTTGTCATGTAGTTGTCCATAACCATAAAATTATTTTCATTGTTACTTCACAACTGTAATTTTGCTAGTTATGAATTGTAATGTAAATCTGCATTTTCCAGTAGTCTTAGGTGATCCTTGTGAAACGGATGCAACCCACAGGCTGTGACCACTGTTTTAGGTGCTCATATCTGCTATGAATAATTTTTTTTACTCCTGGATCTAATACTGTTTTGTTACTTTATCTTCCTTTACCTTTTTAGCTGCAGCTTCTGCTTGGTGCGGTAATAACGGAAGCAGTCAATGTTTGAACAGTCCTATGGCTCATGGCTAATGCTCAAATGTGAGTGTTTTCCCATTTACTGTTTCCTGCATCGTTTTTAATGAGGCATCTGTCACTTTTCTTATTAAAGAAATTCCTTTTCATCCCTGGACTGCGGTGAAGTTTTGAGGTGAGTTAACAGTTACTGCACTTACTGAAAATGACCATTTTTCTGAGTGTGTTACTGTGGTATCCACACTCTGAACAATTTCAACACTTGAGAGGTGGTGGAACCTTAAGAGGTAAACTGGTGAGTACAAGGATTTAAGGGAAGGGTGTGTTATGATCTTTGAACTCAAAAATGGAATCCTGGTGCCTCTTTGTATTGTTGCTCGCTGTCTTTGATATGATCGGCTTTGTAAGACAACTTGCTCCCTGCCATAATACTGTCTCACCACAGAGCCTAAAATGAAGGAGTCCTATAAGTTGTTTACCTTAGGAATTTTACCCCAACAATAGGATGCTATCATAATGCACATGGGTATGTAGAAATCTTTTCAGGACTCTGTCCTTAATTCTTTTAGGTATAAAACCAGAAATGGAGTTGCTGGATAGTGTGGTCCTTTTGTCTTGGGCTCTTTTTTTCCTTACCTTTTAATTCCCACAATGTATGATTTCTTGAGATTGACAATATATGCCATCAATCCCAGTAATGCAAAAAAAGAAATGATGTAATTGAAGCACATGAAATGAGTTCTTGTATACTTGTGAGAAGTTTTTTGTTTTGTTTTTTTAATTATCTGAAAGCCTAAAATGTACTCATGTTAATGGAATGTATTGATCTATGTATGTGGTGTAATGTTCAAATTAGGTTAAGTATTTCTCCTCAAGAGGGTTTTTGTTGTTTTTATATATGTGGGTGTTTTGCCGGTTTATGTCAGTATACCACTTGCATGCCAGAATATGGCAGTAGATTCCCTACAACTGAAGTTAGATAGTTGTGAGCTACCATTTCAGTGCTAGGACTCAAGCCTTGGTCTTCTGGGAAAGCAGTCAGTGCTTTCAACCACTAAGCCATTTCTCCAGCTCCAGGTGTATAGTTTTTTTTATGATAAAAGTCTTCACAGCCCTTTCTCCCAAGCTTTTGGAAATACACAGTTCATTGTTTTATGTAGCCAACTCCACTATAGGGGCACAGAAAAGCCATGGGGGGGGAGAAGAACATGTGTATTTACTGATCATATCTGTTCTTCATTCTCTCTTGAGGAAGTCTCCTCTTCCCTGCAAATCTTTACCCCCACCCACCCACCCATTTTTTTTCTGCTAACACACAGGTTTTTTTCTATTTGTGTGTCTTTTCTTTCCATGTGACAGAAGAATGCACTATTGGTTGTGCTATGTCTGGCCTTTTTGTTTTTGTTTTGCTTAACATGATGTTCTCCAGATCCATTTTCCCACAGATAATAAGTGACATGTAAGATAATAAGTCTCTTTATGACTTAAATAGTACTCGGCTGTATATAGAAACCACATTTCTTTTTCCAGAAGAGGATGATCTATTCATGAGAAGTATTTTAAGTCACAACTGTATTTGGACATGTTTGTCCCTTTATGTTAAGTAAAGTTTGCCTTGCTTTGTTCTTAGGCTTCTGGTTTTGAGGTCCAGTAGTTTGCAGTGGGATCAGGGGTGTCATTTTCTTTCTTAGGTCCAGATAAGCCAAAAAATGCCTACATGCAGGTATAGTTCCATCCTGCTACTAATAAACCTTCTGTAAAGGAAACTGAAGGCAAATCCGATCACAGTAATTATAAAATAAATAACATATCTTGGAATAAATTCAACTGAGGCTCTGATGACAGACCTCTACTATGTAAGTTATAAAATCCTGATGAACATTATTGGAGAAGTCCCAAGATGGAAAGACTTGCCATGTTTATGGTTAGAAGAACTAATATTGTTAAATGTCCATGTCAGACAAAGAAATTAGTAGAAGTCTTTTAATCCTAGCACTCAGAAAGCAGAGACAGGCGGACCTCTGAGTTTGAAGCCAGCCTGGTCTACAGAGTGAGTTCCAGGATAGCCAGGAGAAACCCTATCTCAATCCCCCCCCCAAATTTTTTTTTTTTTTTTTTTTTTTAGTAGTCAGTCCACTCATTTTGAAAATACCAGGTACATTCTATAGAGAACTAGGGGGGAAAAATCCACATAGAACTACAAAACTGTGAATAGCCAACAATAGCAAAAAAAATTGGAAGGATTGCAGGACACTGGGTGATAACAAAAACTTGACCCTGGAAATAAAGACACACACCCCACCAGACTGATTACACAGGTGTTTCAAAAACATACATTGACCTACGGACCGTCTCCTGATTTCCATTGGTGCTAGTAAACTGTATTTTAATGCACAAGATTGAAATTTGACTCTCTGTGCCATACTCTCCAAAGTCAACTCATAAATGTGTCAAGGCATAAATGTAAGATACAGAACTACCATAGGGAAATGGGAAACAGAAGATGGTAATCCAAGTGATGATTTTCTTGATAGTATCCTTAATGCACAGAAGACAAAAATTGACAGATGGGGGAAATCACATCAACTAAAGTATTCATAAGGGGCAACAAAATTATAAGTATAAAGAGACAGCTTACAGATTTTGGATAAAAATTCTTGCCAATATGTAAGAGCCAGGCAGTGGTAGAGGACCTTTAATCCTAGCACTAGGGAGCAAGAGGCAGGTGGATCTCTGAGTTCGAGACCAGCCTGGAGACAGAGAAATCCTGTCTCAAAATAGTAATAGTAATAAATATGTAAGAAACTTTTACTATGAGTTGTCAAAACCATAAGATGCCATCATACTCTTATCAATAACATGGGGAAGGGGCCCTTATACACTGATGGAGGGAAAATAAATCAGATAGCCATTAATGGAGAGGAGTTGAGGTCACTCCAAAAACTTCAAAGCAAAACTGCTGTGTGATCCAGCAGTGTTACTTCTGGTATATATTTAAAGGAAACCAGTGTACAAAAGAAATCCATGTACTCCTACAGTCACTGCAGCACTGTTCCTCCAAAGGCACCAAACTAAAGGAGACGGAAACATAGCTACCCTGGTTTGGTTGTTACACATTGTATACATATTCTGAAATACAGCAGTCCCCCAGAAATGTGTACATTGTTACCATTTGGACAGAGTGAATGAGCTCAGCCCTGAGCAACAGTACTTAAAGAAAATTGTATTTGGAGTTTTTTAATACCTAAATATACTTTAAATGTGAATGTCAGACAACTACAGTTTATCAGAATACCAGGAAAAACTATATACTGTCCAGTGTAGTATTTCTGAAATCTTCCTTAATTGGACTAAATAATATATACACAAGTCATTGTAGTCAGAATACACAGTCTCTTGGCTTTAACTGAAGAATTGGCTTAAAGGGCCGTTGCTTAGAAAAGGAAGTCCTTTATGGTTTCATTCCATACGTGGAACTGGGTGTTAGGCGAGTGAAGGGACGTCTTATGTAAGTATTTTCATAGTAATTATCCTCATCTTCTATTGGAGCCTCTGACCCATCTCCATAGTTGACATATAGGCTTTTCTGTATTTGTTCAAGTCTGACATCTAAAGAAATGACAGGTGGTTAGAACAGTGCCCTGCTCTGTAGTCCTTTGCTTTACACTTTGAGGCCAGGTCCTTTCTGTCTAACAGAAGCTCTCAGTGTCCCAGTCTGTATTTGTTCTGTTGTCACCACTGTCCATCCCTACATAGGTCTCTATGGCCCAGGTTCTAGGTGTTTCCTTTTTTTTTTTTTAACTATCGTATTTTACATACTAATCCCAGTCCCCTCCCATCCTCCCTTCCACCCCCACCTTCTCCCCACCCCACCCCCCATCCAATCGTCAGAGAGGGTGAGGCCTCCCATAGGGAATCAACAAAGTCTATCACCTGAGGTAGGATCAAGACCCTCCCTCCCCCTGTATCTAGGCTGAGCAAGGTAGCCCTCCATAGGGAATGGGCTCCAAAAAGCCAGTTCATGTGCTAGGGATAAATACAGGTTCCACTGCTAATGGCCTCACAAACTACCCAAGCTCCCCAGCTGTGACCCACAGAAGGCCTAGTTCAGTCTTATGCAGGTTCCCCAGCTGTCAGTCTGGAGTCAGTGAGGAAGGTGGCACCTTTCAGTTCAGCTAAAATAAAAAATGGTGGAAAGGCTTGTGTTTGCCTGCTTGCCTTAATGGCAAGTTCAATTGTGCTGTTGCTGTGTTCTTTCACTGATAGCAGAATCAGCTTCTTCAGCTTTCTGATATGTCCTGAAGACCAACAACTCTCCAGGCTCTCCAGGGACCCTACCAGCTTTCAGTGCTAATGGTCCACCCAGCCCCCATGGAATGATCAGCCACAGGAAGTCTCAGGCTGTTCTGAGGTGGCCATTGTTGATCTATCTATTCAGATCACATCATATAAGCCAGTCTAATAGATCAGCATTGGCTCCATTAATCCCCAATGTAGAACTGCTTGGTGAGTTCAAAGAACAGGCATGGGGTCCGAAAAATGAAAACTATGAGTGACAATTACATTTATATGTGGAAAGCTGTATATTTGAGGAACAGACTATATGATAATCTGTGAATTTTTAACCTGCTCAGTTCAATTCCTAACACAGACTGACCTTGAGCAAGTCATAGCATCTCTCCTCAGAAAATGCAGATAATGGAATCTGTTTCATATATTTGTTTGAAAAATGAGGTTGTCCATTCTTTAAGAGTTCACATTAGCACAGGAAGGTGGATCTCTGTGAGTTCAAGACCAGCCTGGTCTACAAGAGCTAGTCCAGGACAGCCTCCAAAGCCACAGAGAAACCCTGTCTCAAAAAACCAAACAAAACAAAACAAAAAAAAGTTCACGTTATCTGTTGTATGTAGAATGGACTTGGGGGAAATCAGCATGGAAACCATTGCAGAAGTTGTGAAAGGCAGTCAATCACATGTTGGACTTGAGTGGTTAGCAGTGAGCTAAGTGAACAGTTAATGAAAATGATAGTTCTTATTAATAATGGGGTAATATGTGTTAAGTGTCAAGCACTAGTCTAAGCTTTCTGTATGTGTTACAACAACCTGTGAGCTAGCTTCTATTGTTATTCTTGTTTTACAAATGAAGGAACTGAACTAGTTAATTTGTCCAGGCTCACTTAGTCAGTAAACAGCAGAACCAGGACTCAAACCCAGACTCTACATTCTAACTTCTGCCTGATGGCTTCTTATGTAAGGTAGCAGAGTTACACTCTGATCACAGGTAATCACAGTCTTTGGGTATTGTACTGGTTGGTTTTGTCAACTTGACACAAACATAAACATGGGCATAAAGACTCCTAATTGAGAACTGCCTCTGTAAGACTGGCCTCTAAGCAAGCCTGAGCTCTAGCTTTGACCAGTGATAGATGATGGAGGGCCCACCTCTTGTGGACATTGCCACCCCTGGACAGGTGGTCCTGGTAGTATAAGAAAGCAAGCTGAGAAGCCATGGAGAGCAAGCCAGTACGTAGCACCCCTCCATGGCCTTTGCCTCAGTTCTTGCCCTGATTTCTTGGATGACTAACTAATGTGGGAGTTTAAGTAGAAATAAGCCTTTCCTCTCCAAGTTTTTATTCCTGTTGTTTTAGCACAGCATAGAAACCCTAAGATGTTAGACTCATTGTTATTTCTGTGGCATAATGATAGTCTTCAGTGTGTTATTAATAGAAGGACAGTAGTGACATAGAGCTTAAAATTTTTTCAACATTTGGAGGCATTCATTTTGCCAATGAAAGTTTGGCCCCTTGCACATATGTACAAATGTGAAGAATATCATTTGGACCCATACAGATTTTCCATAAAGTATTGCTGAAAACCACCTACCTTGGATTAGAGAGATGACTTAGTGTTTAAGAGTACTGACTGTTCTTCCAGAGGACCCATGTTCAGTTCCCAATACCCATATTGGCACAGAACTGTCTGTAACTCCAGTTCCAGGGGAGTGATGTCCTCTTCAAGCCTCCACGAGCACTTCATGCATGTGGTACACTTACATGGAAGCAAAAAATTCATACACACACACACACACACACACACACTCCTCTCTCTCTCTCTCTCTCACACACACACACAAGTAATCACCTACCTTTTAAATTAGCTGAAGAGTTGCTTGTAGCAGTTTCTTTCCAGTTAGCAATATACCTGTAACATATTATATGGGCATTAAATTGACTTACTACTAAATAATAAGTTAGTTAATTAGCATATAGTTAATGGTGACATCTTTACTAGTCTTAATGGGTCACATATGCTTTTAAGCCAGTCTCCAGGACAAGGAGTTACAAGAGGTTAAACTGGAACCTGCTGGCCATGGTGGCGCACACCTTTAATTCCAGCGCTCTGGAGACAGGTAGGCAGATCGCTGAGTTCCAGGACAGCCAGGGTGACACAGTAAGACCTTGTATCAAAATAAAATAATGGGACCTTTTGAAAACAAATCCATCTGTAAGTATAATTGTCCAGATTTTTAGAGGTCTTTCCCAGAAATTACTGACTTGCCAGTTTTCCTTTAGGGAGAAATGCCAGATTCTAAATTTTTCTTGCAGAATGTGTCATTAAACTAGTTATAAACAAAGATAACAGTAATGGAGACTGAACACCATAAAAGCCAAGGGAAGTAACTGCTTACCCTTGCTTAGGACAAAGCACCGGCAAAGCCCGATTCTCCAGCGGATAATTTTTGTCTATGGTCAGAAGCACTACTAGTGTATTCCCAGCAACCACTCACCTCGCCTTCAGTTCTTGTCAGCGTTCAGTGAAAACACTTTGCTTTTTATATACTTACCTGGGATGAACTGAAAGAAATACGTTATTTGGAAACATTTAAGCAAAAAAAATGCGGCTCTTCTGTTAACTGTCACCATTTCAAAACAAGGTTCGTTCATCCCACTACACATAGAATCTGAGAGAAATGACTGGCAGCACAAGAGTCTTGTCTACGCCAGCATCTCCTCAGACGTGATGACAAAGATCTCCAGAGTTCCCCTGTTGCCACCTTCTGCTCTCTCTGGTCTCTTCTCCTGTTCTGCCAGTAACTGACACCCTCATTCTTCCATCTCCCTCTTTCTAATGTCTTCCATTTCTTTATCACCCTTATACTTTTTCTCTTTGCCCATGCAGTATCCACATTCCTTATGGCTGAATATACATTGAACATTTTAAAAACATCTGAGGTGTAACTCATTGTATGGTTTGTATATTCAGAGTAGTGCATTCTTCACCACAATCAGTTCTCAAACATCATCACACAGGAGATACGCGGCCTTCCTTAGCTATGACCTCTCTGTAATCCCAATTCCACAGCCTCAGGTGACCACTACTACAAATATATGTTGTCTCTGAATTTACTTATTCTGCATATATCACATATGGGAATCATTTGTAATCAAGCTGCTTTCACTTTACAATTTCATTGACATCATGGCACATGCCAGAATTTCTGTTCTATTACTGAGTAATACTACATTGTGTAGACATTAAGTTTTACTTGCCTAATGAACTAATGATGGACTTTGGGGTTGCTTCTAATTTTTTCCTCATTATAAAATATTTCGGTGAACATTTGGACTAGTTTTCGTGTGGACATATATTTTCATTTTTCTTTGTACATACTTTGGAGTGGAATTGCTGGATTACATAGCAACACTTGAGAGATTACCAGCCATTACCCAGAGTGGTGAAGCTACTGCACATTCCTGCCAGCCATGTATGAAGGGTCCATTCTCAGCACTCCTGCCATCACTTGTTAGCAGCCATGCCGGTCATTTGAAGTACCCCACACAGTGCTTTCTACTGGCATTACCTTATAACTACTGAACAGCCTAAATTTACACCACACAAAATTTTAAAAATACCTTTGAATGGCCAGTTACGTTATTGTTGCAGTTGTTTAGTATTTAAAAATATAGGTTGAACCTATTTACATAATTAATGTAAATAAATTGCTTTATATTATTGCTAGCATCTAGGCAGGCACACTTTGGCCCAGCCCATTGGGGCACATGGCAAGCAGTACCCTGGCTCTGTATGTGGGTGCAAACGGTCCCTTTAAAAGACAAGCTCCATCTACCCCCACTCTGCCTTGCTGTTCCTCTGAAGAGGCAGCCAGGTCTTTGTCTATCTCTCTCTCACTCCCTCCTCCCCTCCTCTCTCCCTTCCCTTGCTTTCTTCCCTTCCCTTCCCCCAGTAAAACTTCCCAGGTAAGTTTTGTGTGCATGGTGTGCTTGTCCCTGGCCATGGTTAGGATTCGCGAGGCAGGCTCTCCTGGCAGCTCCTCTTGCCTGCTGGCAGTCTGAAGTGTGACTGGACCCTGAAATCTTCAAGCCAGTCACTTTCCCAACTAAAGGCCATTGGGATTCTATACCCAAAGCTGGTATGTCTGGTAAGAGCCCTTTCTCTGGCTGTGCTCCTGTGAATAAGGGTTTGTTTTCACCTTTGGGCTTTGCTGGAAAGCCCCAGTACTGGGCAACCAAGCTTCTTTCAGGCTTAGAGCCCTTCAGGCCTCTCTCTTCACGTGATGATGTAGAATAGCTTAGCACCCATGGACCTTGCAGGCCAGTCTGGAATGCTGGAGTGTGCGGCCTCTGGACTTTATCTCTGCCTCACTCACGGAAAATGTGTCTACTCCGATACCCACCCCTTAGCCATATCCCATCATTTCATGGGACCTTTCTGCCAGTTATCCCATAGATGGACAGAGATTCCCTCCTTTTCTATGCTTTGTTTTCTCTGCCACAAGCCCTTTGTTTTCTTTCTTCTGTCTGTCTGCCTCTTGTCCCTGGCATCTCCCGTCCGCCTTGGCTGATACTGACACTGGTGTCTCCAGCAGAGGCCCCACACACAGTACTCTGGCCCAGTAAGAACAGTGTCTGGCTCAGGAGGCTTGGGAAGAGGTTTTGTTTCCTATCTGTTTCATATGTTTAAAAGAATGTGTGTGAAAGGTGTGGCCACACGTGTGTGATTCTGAATGCCATTGTCCTGTATGTGTGTCTTGCTAGTTGGATGTGGTTTGTGGGCAGGCATTATCTTTGCTAAGGGCAAAGACAGACAGCAGGATACTGGGGAATGGACTGCCTCAGATTGCCTAAGGCACAGATAGTCTGTTCTTCCCACAAGCCCCTTATCCACTGAATCTTCTGTTCCTGGCAGGCCTAGCCACAACAGTAGAAGACTGATGTTGCCCTCAGTGATCATGTAGGACCCTGGGGAGTGACTGTCCAGGCGGCCAGCAAGTAAGTCTCTTATTTTCAATCATTAATTCAGGTAAAATTATATCCTTCTCAAGAATTCTGATGCTGTTTGATGACTAGTAGGTTTGCCAGCTTAAAAGCAGCAACCAAGGCTTCAGCTGCCCTCTCAGTTCTATGTGTAAAGTTCAGGTCGCAGGCCTCACTCTCCAGTGACTGCCATCAGCAGTCAATCACCTGTGCCTCCTGAGTGTTAAGGTGAAGCCATGATGATGGGGAAGGAATGGGTGCTGTAAGGTTCATTTATATAAAGATGGAAAGCTTAAGATGTGAGGATCTAAGAATGTTTTAGGGTCTATGAAGGTATAAAGTTTGTATGAGGACATGAAAGCTTAAAGAGTATAAGAAAGTGATTTAAGGTATATAAATGCAAGTTATGAAGGTCTAAGGATGGAAAGGCTTAAGTACTGACAGAGAGTGCTACTGTTAAGACTCCAAAAGTTCATACTCTAACAGTAATTGATGGAGTTCTAGTAAGCTATTAACCCAACTCTGACAGAGTACAAGACAGCATACTCTACCACTATACAGTCATAACTACAAGATCTTAAAATTGGTTATTTTCTAGCTATAGACTTCACAGGTGTTTTTCATTGTGCTAAAACATCTGTCACTGTTTTCTGAATGGAAGGAAGAGAGTTAATGCTTTCAGCCAAAATAATTTCTGGCATAAATATACTACCATTTCTACAATGTGAAAACTGTTCGTAATCTGTACTGAAATTCCCAAACTCAAAAGAATCTTGTAAGCTCCAGGAAGTCAACTTGGTTCCACCCAAACAGGTCAGATTCACCCCAGATAAATACCATCCCACCCTTCCCTGGTCTTGCTGTCCCCTTTCCTCAATTCCCTAAATTTAACCTTGTCCTCTGCTAGCATCTTGCCAGGTCCAAGAAACACCAGACAGTTCCACTTAGCCTGGACAGTAGTGGAAATGACCAGCTACTCCAGGACATGGCCAGCACCCTAGCTTGGCAAGCAGTACCCTGGCTCTGTACACAGGCACAAAAGGTCTCTTTAAGAGACAAGATCCAAGGACTCCCACTCTCTTTTTCTTGCTGTTCTTCTGAAGAGGCAGACAGGTCTTTTGTGCACTTCTCTGTCTGTCTCTCTCCCTCTCCCTCCCATCCTCTCTTCCCCCTCCCTCCCTCTCCTCCTTCCTCTTTCTCTCCCCTGCCTCTCCTTCCTTCCCCTTCCCTTCCCTTACTCTTTTCCCTTCCCCAATAAAACTTCTCATTAAGTTTTATCTGCATGGCACACTTGTCCCTCACCTGCCATGGTTTGGATTCACCTGCCAAGGTCCAATCTCATCTCATATCATATATGAATATATAAGGAAAATAAAGTTAATTCTTTACATAATTAATATTATGGTTTTAGCCTTGTTTCTGAATCCCAAAATAAAACATAGACATAGATACTGTAATGTATTTTTCTGCCTTACTGCAATTTTCTCAAAACCAGTTTTTCCTTTTCTGTTTAAACAAATAATATTTTTGAAGGTTATGTTCATAACCCCAAGGCTTAACTTGGGAACAGGAAAGTTTAGAAAAAAAAAATAGAAGACAGGGCTGGAGAGGTGTCTCAGAGGTTAAGAGCACTGACTGCTCTTCCAAGGGTCCTGAGTTCAATTCCCAGCGACCACGTGGTAACTCACAACCCATCTGTAGTGAGATCTGGTGCCCTCTTCTGCTATGCAGGCATACATGCAGACAGAACACTATATATATGATAAATAAATCTTAAAAAATATAGGACTTTGTCCCCTGTGAATGCCTCTGTACTTACTCATCAAAGTGAATGCCTCTGTACTTACTCATCAAAGTTGAGTGTATTTGTCCAGTTCACTACTTCATCTACTTCCCATTCCATCACAGAATCTACCCCTCCGTCTTCAATACTCCTGATTAGTCCTTTTGTTGCTTTGTGAATTAGGCCTACAGTTTCATGATGTGTCGTCTTGGCTTCCAGGTTTCCTTGGTAGTACCTAAATAAAGGGAAAAAAAGTGACACATATCCTTTGCAATAAGTGATTAAAGGTAAACAATTGATAAATGTTATTTATGTACAGCCATTCGTGGCAGTTGTTTCTGCCTTTTTATATAAAGAATTGAGACCTGGGGAAGTCAAGCAATTGTTCAAGATCATGAAAGTGGTAAAAATGGGGATGGCCAGCATTCAAATTTGACTCTGAGCACACCCTCCTTTTGTCTGGTACTATTTTAAGCACTACTTTAAGGTCAGTGTTCCCACCAAACATGAAGAGGGAGACATTAGTAGTTATTACCAAGAACATGGAACACAGAAATTCATTAGGAAGACAAATGGATCATCATCAGGCTTTGGCATCATTACTAGACCTGAAAGAAATGCCTAAAGACAGCCTGCACCTGTAGTGAAAGGACATAAGTGATGCTTTGCCCCAGAGTACCTGAGGAAATATTAATCCCACTATGCCCCTCATTCCTGGCACCCACAGAAGTGGGAACCTAGTGTGTAAACCATTATCTTCGTGGCTACATGCTGTTGCCCAGCATGGCATTCAGAGGAAGATGGATTCCTTGAACCTGCTTCTGCATTTAGGGTATGCAGAAGCCACTGACTATAGCAGGGAAAGTAGTTTATTTCCATGGCCAACTGGAAACAAAGCTGGTGTCCTTTGCCAGTCCAAAATTCAAAGAGACATATTCAAGAGATTTTTACTTCAAAAGCCCATTTATATTTAGACCAATTTGGCCACCAAGTGTAGACACAGAAGTATAGAGAAAACAAAGTAACATGAAGCTTCCCAGGGAACAGAACTCTAACCACACTTCAAAAGAAATGCCTATTAAATGCCTTAACAAATCTAAAGAAACTTAGGGAGAGATACAAGAAAATTGAACAAAACAGGAAATTTATGAATAAAACAACAGATACAGATAATGAAATAATTGTTACAAGTAAGAAATTCACTTATTCAAATTAATCATGCAGTTAGATAGCTTCACTATTAAGTCAGGATTGAAATAAGAACACAAAGATAGATCTTTTGTAATATCTTAGATGGGGAAAAAAGGTGGGAAAAAATGCTAAGAGTGGTTCTGCCACTCAGCCAGGCGGTGGTGGCGTCCACCTTTAATCCCAGCACTTGGGAGACCGGCAGGTGGATCTAAACGAGTTTGAGGCCAGCCTGGTCTTCAGAGTGAGTAACAGGTCAAGCTCCAAAGCTACACAAAGAAACCATGTCTTGAGGAAAGATGTGGATGTGCAGGCACAAAGGCCCAAGGTCTTCAAAGAACTTGATACACACAAAGCCCTGTGTGATGGTTCATGTCTGCAACCCAAGCATTTATGGAGGCCATGAGTTGATCATGTGAACAAAGTTAATTAAGACTTTCTTAGACAAGAGCTGAGAGAACTTACCCCTTCATCACTAGACCCCACCTATAAGAATTGCTCAAAGAAGGCCTGCATTTCAAGTGAAAAGGACAGCATCTTTTCTAAATACAATTGCGTGTGCAATGTCCCAGTCACCTTTAATTGTCCAGATCAGATCGGCCTATGGACATGTCTGTGGGGTATTGTCTTGAGTGTTAGTTGATGGAGGAAGACTCAGCTTGACTGGTCAGTTCCATTCCCTGGGCAGCTGATGCTGGACTGTATAAGAAAGCTTGTGAAGGGTGAGCCAGCCAGCAGTGTGGTTCCATGTTTCCTGCTTCAAGTGGTGCATGACCTCCTGCCCTGACAGATCATCTCACAGCAGCAGAGAATAAACCATGCACTTTGCTTTTAAAAAACCAACTAGCAGTGTATATGTGGGTCTACTTCTCAGTCCTGTGATCTGTCCCAGTCATCTCCGTGCCTCCATGCTGGTTGGTGTCTTGATTGCAGTTGCTTTGTAATCCTTAAAAATTAAATATGACAAGCTCTCAAAAATACCATCTATTTCTTTAGTAAGACCAAGTCATGTACTTACATTTGCCTCATCCATTCTATCTTTTTAATTTTTCTTTTCTTTTCCATATCTTGCTTTCTCTTCATTTTAGAGAAATGAAATTCACTTTCCTTTGTGCTTTCCAACACTTCATTTTCAAGTGGTATCCAAAACTGTGGCAGGGTGAAGATGAATATGTACACAATTAAAATACTGATTGAAGAACTCTGTACAGACAATAACTTTGTATTGATGGGAATGTATAAGAGGAGAAGTAATTCTCATTAAGCTACAGGCAACAGTTTCAGAAGAAGCATCTGGTAGAGCAACATTGACAAACTACCTGTGCACTGAGGTATTCCTTCAGTACCTGGTGAAATTAATAAACAGTAAACCTATTCTAAGTATGTCTGTCTCATCTCACCCAAACATACCTAGTCCCTTCTAGTACTGCTGGCTTTTCATGACTAATCCTTGAGGATTATATTCACTTAGAAAAGGAGATGTGCTTCTACTATGTTCCAAACTATGATGTCTTTGAATGACACATCCTCCTAGATGGCTGTTTGTTTTCTCAATTCCAATTTATTTTCTCTTCCTACAATACAACTCCAGAAATGTTTGCTGTCTATCCCAATAATTTGCCCTGATTAACCACTTACCATATCGCACTAAAGCATCCTGCCTACTTGACTGATCTCTAGGCACAGGCATCTTCTGTGAGAGGAGCTGTATCTTCTTACCACTCTGTTCTTATCATCTGGAACTATGCCTAGCACATGACAGGCATGTAATAACATAATGAATGCATTCACACCTTGGTCATTTTGAATACCTCAAACATTTAAATATTTGGTTTATAAATACCACATCTTATAATCTGTGTTTTAAGTAGTAGTTAGCAGAGAGGAAATAAAAATGCCCTAGTTTCAAACCTGATTACTAAAAATAAATGTAAGAGCAGTCTGGCCACTGCCTTATTATGAGCATGTATGTGGTGGATAGAGGGGAGAGAGAGAAGTGGAGCAGTGCATGCTCCGTGGAGAGAAGTGGAACAGGATGTGAGTGGCCTGCGCTGCCATCTGACTCCAGGATGATGTCTGCCCCACACTGCTGTCAAGGGCCATATGTGTACCTACTATCCTAATGTGGGTAGAATCTGTGTTGATGTCTCATGGGGACTGCCAAAGACCATGCAGATGTCTGTAGTTGGGGCTGCCACCTAAAACCATGTTGATGTCCAAGGGCCATGCTGAGTTGGCACCACCCCTAGTCAGCCACAAGGTGCAGGAGAGCTGGCCTTGTAGAGGCCCATGCTGACCAACTTTGCTTTTACCCAGCCACAGACCCAGGGTTTTGAGTTGGCCCACCCCAGCATCTGATACCCCATCTCCGAGATGCTGGAATGTGTGAAGGGGCTAGTCCTTTGGAACTACAACCACAGGATCTCCATGACTAGGGCAGCAGCAGGATATCCAAGAGGAGTCTTGGTGAGGGTCCAGTATTGATAGTATAGCAGAAGCCAGAGGCCTTGAACCAGACCAACGACTCATTACAGGGAACATTGGCAAGTAAAGCTGTTTAGGCAAAAGGGTATACTGTGTGACACCCTGCAGCTCTCAGGGCCACTACAACGGGTGAATATGTGACAGGCAGGATAGAGGAGTGCAGTGGTACAAGCAAGGCAGAAATGGAGATGAGACAGCTGTGGTGAGTGTGAAAGAACGCTGTTGTTGATAGAGAGGCATGATGCTGCTCAGAGGGGTCAGCAAGATGTTGGTTTTGTTTTTTTAATTTTTATTTTATTTGGGGGAGGTCATAAGGGTAGAGGGCAGATATGGAAGGACTGGGAAATAAGTGGGATTGTTTCCCAGAGAAACAATAAAAAATTATGTTGAAAAAAATTAATGTAAGAGAGCCAACAAGATGGCTTACTGTACAAAAATACCACTCAAACCTGATGACGTGGGTATGAAGGAGAGAAGGAAAGAACCAATTCTACAAGTTGTCTATGTGCATACAGGAGCACATAATCATCCATGCTTGTACATCATTTGTACATACATACACACAAAATAATTCAAATAATTCTAAGGATAACAATTTATCATATTTAACAACCCCATAATACCTAAGTTAGGCAAATTTTTCAATTAAATTACAATTATTATTTTTAAAGAATCAAGATTAATTTTCAAAAATATATAAATATATAAAACAAAAATTACTATTTCCATTTTCTTACTCTATGGGAAACAGGCCTCCAGCCATTGTTCTCTATACGGCGGTACCAACCACTATGGTCCTCAACCTGAGGTGGGTCATCTTTATTATGAGATGTGTATCTTGCTGGAAGCTTTGTGTAATCTCTAGGGCTGTTAGCACCCAGATCTTCAACATGTCTATGAGTAAAAATTTTATAGTATATCTCAGGTGGAAATTTAACCTGTAGAAAGGAAAGGTCAAAGCATCATTGTAATGCGATAACAAATGGATTACATTTTTTTTTTGTTTTGTTTTGTTTTTGAGACAGGATTTCTCTGTGTAGCTTTGTAGACCAGGCTGGCCTTGAACTCCCAGAAATCTGCCTGCTTCTGTCTCCCAAGTGTTGGGATTAAAGGCGTGCGCCACCACAGCCCAGCCCAGAAATGGCATTTTAAAAATTCTTTTAAACTTCATGTAAGTGTGCTTTAAGACTACCAAAGAAGGACTCCAGCCAGGGAACCAGGTAGGCCAACTGCAGATCTTCACTTCTCCCTCTGCTCCTCCAAATCCAATTCCCCAGACTCACCCCTAGCTTTGCAGCAGAACACCTGCTGCCCCCCCCCCATCTCCAGTGGATCACACATCTTCCCCTCCTAGCTTCCCTTCCCAAGTTCATGGCTTTATCCCAGCTGACAACTCCAGCAGGCATTCCCTGGGAACACACAGGCAACTGCAGATCTTCACCTCTTCCTCTATTCCTCCAAGTCCAGTATCCCAGTCTCATCCCCAACTCTGTAGCAGACCTTCTGCTGTGGCTTCTCCTCACTCTCTGCCCCCATTCCCGGGGGCTAAGCAGAGCCTATGGAACACCCTGCTTCCCTCTTGTGGGCCCCCTTAAACCTCCCTCTTAGCCCATTCCCATTCTTACATGTCAACTCCCAATACCTAGAAATGCATTTTATCTGAAACTCAGTGGCCACACCTATCAGGATCTCCCCTCCCCCCCAAAAAAATCCTATTAGGCAGCCAGCACACAGCCACTATAATCTTCCAAGAACCAGAGAGGGCAACAGAAACTAAGAAACAAAACACCCACCCAACAAAGACCAGACCAGATATCAGCACTTCAAATTAATTACAATCTTCCCAATCCTAGATGCCAAGGCACCAGCATAAAAACATGGTAACAACCAGAACAATATGTCTCCACTAGAACCCAGCAACCCCCTCCCCCAGAGCAGGCTCCAAGAAATGCAACATAGCTGAAACACAAGAAAAGAATCTTAAAATAGCCATTACGAATAAGATAGAGTTCTTTATAGAATAAATGACTCTCTTAATCTATGAAGCACAAACAGTGGAAGGAAATGGATAAAACAGTTCAAAACCTGAAAGCAGAAATATAATCAATAAAGAAATTTCAAATAGAGGGTAATCTGGAAATGAAAAGTCTAGGAACTCAGAAACCCCAGAGGTAAGCTTCACCAAGAGAATACAAGAGATGGAAGAGAAAATCTCAAGTCAGTCAAAGAAAACGTTGAATCTAAAAAAGCATGGCACAAAACATCCAGGAAATCTCGAACACTATGAAAAGACAAAATCTAAGAATAATAGGAATAGAGGAAGGAAAAGAGACATAGGTCAAAGGCACAGGAAATACTTTCAACAAACTCACAGAAGAAAAGTTCTGTAACCTAAAAAAGGAGGTGCCCACTAAGGTATAAAAAGAATACAGAACACAAAATAGACTGGACCAGAAAAGAAAGCCACCCCACAACCCCCTCCAGCACATAATGATCAAAATGCTAAACAGAACAAAGAATATTAAAAGCTGAAAGGGGAAAAAATTAAGCAGCATACAAAGGCAGACCTATTTAGATAAATAACCCCTAACTTTTTAATGTAGACTCTAAAAACCAGAATGGCCTGAATAGATGTTTTATAGACTCAAAGAGAACACAGATGCCAGCCCAGATAACATTTCCATCACATTAGATGGAAAAAAAGATACTCCGTGATATTTAAAAAAAAAAAAAAAAAAGTTTAAGCAGCATCTACCTACAAATCTAAATCTATCCCTACAGACAGTGTTGGGAGGAAAATTCCAACCTAAAAGGGTTAAGCAAACCCAAGAAAGCAAAGGGAATAACCCCAGACCACCAAATCAAACCAGAAAACACACATACCATACACATATATACCACCATCACCACAACTAAATATCAGGAATCAAACACTGCTCATTGATCTCTCTCAACATCAGTAGTCTCAGTTCCTAAACCAAAAGACATAGACTAACAGAATGGATGCTAAAACAAAACCATCTTTCTGCTGTATCCAAGAAATGCACCTGAACATCAAGAATAAACATCACTCAGGCTAAAGGGTTAGAAAAAGATATTCCATTTAAATGGGCCTAAGAAGCAAGCTGATGTAGACTTCAAACTAAAACTAATAGAGATATGGGCAGGACATAGTCAAAGGAAAAATTCACCAAGAGGACACTGCAATTCTTAATATCTTTGCCACACATACCTATAGTGGGAGACTTCAATACCACATTTGCCAATTGATCGTTCAGACAAAAAAATTAAACAAAAAAATGCTGGAGCTAACTGTCAATATAAGCCAAATGGACCCAACATATTTACAGACCATTTCACCCAAACTTAGAATAGACCTTATAGCGCCTCGTAGAGATCTCATTCTAGTAACTTAACAGCACACCTGAAAACTCTAGAATAAAAGGAAGGAAACCACACCCAAGAGAGAAGACAGTAAGAAATAATGAAACACAGGGATAAAAGCAATAAAATAGGGGGGAAATTATAAAAAAAAATCAAACAAAGAGTTGGTTCTTTGTGAAAGTCATTAAGATTGACAAACCCTTATTCAAATTAACTGGAAGGTAGAGAGAGAATATCCAAATTAACAAAATTAGAAATGAAAAAGAAGACATAACAGACCCCTAAGTGATCCAGATGATCATAAGGGCATACTTTAAAAACCTGTACTCCACTAAATTGGAAAATAAAAAAGAAATGGGTAATATTCTTGGTACATACCACTTACTAAAGTTAAATCAAGATCAGATAAACAATTTAAACAGACCTATGACTCCTAGTAAAATAGAAGCAACAATTAAGTCTCCCAAACAAAGTTTGGTTTTAGTGCAGAATTCTATCAGACTTCCAAAGAATAGTTAATACCAATCCTTCTCAAATTATTCCACAAAACAGAAACAGAATGAACATTGTCCAATTTTTTTTAACAAGACCACAGTTACCATGATACCCAAACTACATAAAGACCCAACAAAGAAAATCACAGACCAGTTTTCCTTATGAACATAGATGCAAACATTGTTCTTAATCAAATACCTGGAAACCAAGTCCAAGAACACATCAAAAAGATCATCCACCATGATCAAGAAGGCTTCATCCCAGAGATGCAGGGATGTTTCAACATATGTAAATTGATAAATGTAATCCATCATATAAACAAACTTAAAGATCAAAATACATGGCTGGCAGTAGTGGCACATGCCTTTAATCTCAGCACTCAGTAGGCAGAGGCAGGTGGATTTCTGTAAGTTAGAGGCCAGCCTGGTCTACAGAGTGAGTTCCAGGACAGCCTACAAATGCTACACTGAAAAACCCTGTTTAAAAAAAAAAAACAGAACACATATTATCTCATTAGATGCAGAAAAAGCCTTTGACAAGAGAAAGGCCTAGAGAAATTAGGGATACGAGGTATACCTAAACATAATAAAGGCAACTTATAGCAAGCCTATAGCCAACATCAAATTAAATGGAGAGAAATTCAAAGCAATTCCTTTACAGTCAGAAACGAGACAAGCTTGTCCATTCTCTCCATACCTGTTCAATATACCCTTGAAGTCTTAGAGCAATATGACAACCGAAGGAGACAAAGGGGATACAAATTAGAAATGAAAAAGTATCTTTATTTGCAGATGATATAATAGTATATATAACTGACCCTAAAAATTCCACTGGGAAACACTTTCAGCAACATAGCTAGGTACAGCATTAACTAACAAAAATCAGGAGCCCACCTATATATAATAGCTCACCTAAATACAAATAGAAAGAAATCAGAGCACCTTTCACAGTAGACTCAAATAATGCAAAATGTCTTGGGGTAACTCTAAGCAACTCATAACCAAGTATGGAAAAAAAAAAAAAAAACTCAAAGATACTGAAGAAAGAATTTGAAGTTATCAGAAGATGGAACGATGTCCCATGCTCATGGATCAGTTGGATTAATATAGTAAAAATGGCCATCCTACCAAAAGCAATCTATAGATTCAAAATTCCAATACAGTTCTCCACAGATATTGAAAGGGCAATTTTCAGCTTCCGACATTACTATCCCTGATTTCAGTTGCAGTACTGAGCTATAGTAATTAAAACAGCATGGTATTGGCACACAAACAGACATGTTGATGAACAGAATCAAATTGAAGACTCAGACATAAATCCACATGCCTATGGACACTTGGTTTTTTTTTTTTAAAGATGTATTTATTTTATGTATACAAGTGCTCTATATACATGTACACCTGCATACCAGAAGAGGGCATCAGATCTCACTACAGATGGTTGTGAGAAGAACCTCTGGCTGGAAGAGCAGCCAATGCTCTTAACCACTGAGCCATTTCTCCAGTCTCTTGATTTTTTTTTTTTTTTAATGAAGCTAAAAATACACACTGGAAACAAAGATAGCATCTTTAACAAATAGTACTGTTCAGACTGGATGTCAGCATGTAAAAAAAAAAAATGCAAATTGACCCATTCTTATCATGCTACACAAAATTCAACCCAAATGGATCAGAGACCTCAACATAAAACCAGATACACAGAACCTGGTAGAAAAGAAAGTGGGGAATATCCTTAAACTACTTGGCAGGGGCTGGAGAGATGGCTCAGCAGTTAAAAACACTGACTGCTCTTTTAGAGGACCCAGGATCAATTCCCAGCACTCAAATGGCAGCTCACAACTGGCTATAATTCCAAGATCTGACACAAACATACATGCAAGTAAAACACCAATGCACATAAAATAAAAATAAATAAATAATTTACATGTCATTGGTACCAGAAAATATTTTCTGACCATAGCTCCAATAGTTCAGGCACCAAGATCAATAATAAATGGCACTTCATGAAACTGAAAGGCAAGGACACCATCAATAGAACAGGCAAAGCAGCAGCCTACAGAACAGTTAAGATTTTTTTTTACTTATTTTTGCCAATTACACATTTGATAGAGGTCTAACATCCAAAATAAAGAACTCAAAAAAACTAGGTATCAACAAAACACACAAACCAATTAAAAAATTGGGTACAAACATAAACAGAATTCTCAAAAGAAGAAACTCAGTATCTGAAAAACTCTTAAATGTTCAACATCCTTAGCCACTGGGTAAATGTAAGTCATAACTACTTTGAGATTTCGCCTTACATCTATTAGAAAGGTTAAGATTATTAAGACAAGGGACAGCTCATGCTGGATAAGGATGTAGAGTAAGGGAAACACCCATTGCTTGTGGAACTGCGAACTTGTACAGCCACTGTAGAAATCAGTGTGGTGTTTCCTCAAGAAGGTGGAAATTGATCTATCCAGCTATACCATTCATGGGCATATACCCAAGGGATGCTTCATCCTGTTTCACTTGCTGAACCATGACCACTGATGCTCTATTCATAGTAGCCAGAAGCTGGAAATAACTTAGATGTCCCTCAACAGAAGAATGGATAAAGAAAATGTGCTACATTGATACCGTAGATTACTATTCAGCCATTAAAAAGATAATAGAATCATGAAATTCATAGGTACATGAATGGAACCAGGGAGGAAAAAAATCACCCTGAGTAAAGTATCCCAGACCCAGAAATATAGTATATATTTGCTTATATATGGATATTAGCTGTTATGTCAACAACAACCAAGCTACAATCTTAGAACCACAGAGGTTAGGTATAGAGTAAGAGACAAAGGATGGCAGATCTTGTTAGGAAAAAGAAATAGAATAGATAGATATGCATGGGTTAGGCTTGAATGGGAGGATCAAGTGGGGAGGGAGAGAAGAGGGGAGATGAGGGAAGGAATTAGGGGAGAGACAATTAAAATTGAAGGGTAGTATGGGAACAATACAGTAGAGGTATATTGAGTCATTGGCTAAAGGGGTGCTGTGGAATCCCCAAACAACCCAAGATGGCGCCAAGACATCGGTTGCTCTCCACAAGTGCTAAAGACTATACACAACTGACTGGATATGAAGAAGTCAAGCTAGTGCCTACATAGAGCCTTCACCCACAAGTTGAGCACCTATGGTGCAGGAAATATTCTGCACACTACCAAAAGAGAAATGTAAACACCAAATGCAGCCACCAACACACTGATCTACAATGCTGCCCCATCTGCAAGATATGCTAGGGCAATGGTAGCACAAAGCTTGTAGGAATAACCAGCCAATGTCTTATGTGACTTAGGGTTCACTCCATGAGATGGGATACATATCTGACATTGCTTGAGCAACCAAGAACTCAAAACTAGATAGTTCAGGGACCAATGGTAAAACAAAATACTTCCCCCACCCCAATAAAATGACTCCTAATGACATTCTATACTCAAAAATCAGTGCCTTGTTCTACCACCATCAGAGAAGCTTACTTCTGCAGCAAATGTCAATAAATGCAGAGACCCACAGCCAGGCATCATGCACTCAGCCCTAAATGAGATGTCTCCATCAAATCCCTCCCCTTATGGCTCCGAGAACTCTGTGAAAGAGGAAGTGGAGTTTGAGAGCCAGAGAAGAAGGAAGACACCAAGGAAACAAAGCCCTCTAAATCAACATGAGCAAAGCTCAAATGAACTCACAGAGACTGAGGCAGCACATGCTGGGCCTGAATGGATGTGTACCAGGTCCTCGGTGTTTTTGTGGGATTCCTGAGTGTGTTAATAAGTGGGTCTGTGACTCTTGTGCCTTCTCTTGGGCTTGTTTCCTTCTGGTTTGGTTTGTTTTTTTGGTCCAGTTATGGTGTGTTCGTTTGTTTTATCCTATCATTCATGTCATTATCCCTTAGAGTATGTTTGCTGTCTAATGAGATACAAAGGGGTAGCTCCAGATGAAAGGGGAGGTGAGGAAGAATTGGAAGAGCGGAGGGAGGGGAAACTAGCCAGGATATATTATGTGAGAAGAAAACCCATTTTCAGTAAAAGGGAAAACACACCTACCAAATAAGGACTCTGCATACTCACCCCACCTAGCCTGAATCGGACTTGAATGCCAGCAGCAGCATCTAGGAGTTCCGCCTGTAAGAAAGCAGATGTCCCTTCAACATTTGTGAGCAGCACCTTGCTACTTCTCATCCTGTCCTTTAAAAGTAGTCTCTGGTATGTACTATTTATAAAATAGGTCCAGCCAATAGGCTTCAAATAATTAGATTAATAAAATATTTTTATCTTTAATTGTGATTATGTGTGGGGGGGGGAGTACACTAAGAGCTGGTGCCTGTGGAAGCCAGAGGCATTGGATCTCACTGAAGCTGGAGCTACAGGTGGTTGTAAGCCTCCCTGGGTCCTTGGGCAGAGCAGTGTGAGCTTTAACTGCCAAGCTATTTCTCCAACCCCCAAATCATAAAATACTTTAAGAGCTAAGGACTTATGGACAGCTCTTAGGATAACTGGAAAAATACTGTCAAACTCTCCTTTTTATGCAGTAGAAATACAAATCTTCAAATGAGTGTGTTGGCACACACCTTTAATCCCAGCACTTGGGAGGCAGAGGCAGCTGAAGTTCTGTGAGTTCAAGGCCAGTCTGGTATACATAATAAGTTTCAGGACAGTTAGAACTATATAGATAGATCCTGTCTCAAATAAACAAACAAATAAGTAAATCCTAGGTGACTTATTATTTGTAAATCGAAATAGTAAATCCTCAATATATGACTTACATATAAAATATTACACCTTGTAAATAAATTCAGGAAAAAAAAATAACTGGTCCATTCGAGATCAACACTGGATGGACCTTTTCTAACTAGCTTTTGTTAACTCAAAAAAGATTCAGATTTTATGTGTAGTAAGTCTTGTAAATGTAGTGCCCTAAGTCAGGTGGTGGTGGCACATGTCTTTAATCCCTGTCTTCAAAAACAAAAAGTAATGCCCTGTACCAAAAAGAAAACGTTATGTGTGTGGGGGGGGCAGTACTTAATCCCTTATCTCCTTGATAATATTAGGTTAGATAAGAAAATAGGTGTCTTTTTTGGAAAACCTTTTAATTTTTCACAGTAAGTTTTTCCTGGCTAAAAACCTTTATAAATTAAATACAAAGTATAAAATTCTACATAAAAATTTTCATGTTTGGATGAAGAAATCATAAATACATACATATTATGCATTTTTACTAGAATTTGGACAAATTGTAAATGTTTGACATTATGGATTTTTACATATTTGTATATTCCATGTCATCTCTAAGCCATATAAAAATCATAAACACTTTCATTCAGCATTGTGGTCCTGTGACCTCTCTCTCAGTTGGATATCCTTAAAAACCTTTTTTATCTTCATGTATTAATGTTGTCAGCTTTTGAATTTCATAAAAAGGAATTATACACTATATACTATTTGGTGCCTGGATTTTTGTTCAGCTTCAATCTCTGATGAATATACAAGATCCATCCATGTAGATACACAGGCTATTTTGCATTGCTACTAGTATTTTACCATGTTAACTTATCAACTCTTATTTTCCACATTTGCTCTGTCCTACAGACTCTATAGCTTGGGTTACAAAGCTTCTATGAGCTTCTATCCTTCATGTCTTCTTGAATTTATTTCTTTTGGTTGTATACTCGGGGAATTGAATAGAAAGGGTTATGGAGCATGTTGATTCACTTTCTGTGGCTGTAACCAAATATTGGTGACTGGGAAATTTTTTTCTTACAGTTCTGGTGGCTATGGTATCAGCATCTGCAGAGGGTCTTCTGTGAGGACACCATGTGACAAGAGCACAAGGATGCAAACTTGAGTTTGTCCTCCTCTTGTGGAGCACCTGGAAGTGGCAGCTGATGCAGAGGCCATGGAGGGGTGCAGCTTATGGCTTATTCTCCATGCTTGCTCAGCCTGCTTCCTTATAGAACCCAGGACCACCTGGTACTTAGAAGTGGCACCACCTAAGTAGGCTTGGCCATAGCACATCCATCATTATATCACATTAATCTTTTTTTGTTTTTTATTTTTTAAAACAATCTTTTATTTTACATACCAGTCCCAGTTCCCCCACCTCTCCCCTTCCCCCAGCCCCCTCACATCTTTATGAAGAAAATAACCTAGAGATATGCCTCTTCCCAATGACCCGAGCTTGTGTCAAGTTGATAAAACAAAACAATAACCAACCAGGACAGCAACTCAAAGCATGCTTCCAAAAGTAGGAACTAATGAATGATGTTGAGTTCAACACGAACATGCTTATATTGAAAGGAAGGGTTGTGAGTGACGGAGGCACAGTGAGCTGGGGAATAGTTCCGTGATATTTGCTTTGTGGTAACTCATCTAACTATATAATTTTGCTTTCTGAGCTTTCAACCTGCATGTAGTAGTTCAATAAAAGGTTTTTAAGGAAGCAAACGGAGTATTGAACTGATAAGAAGATGCAGTGTCATTAAGAACAGCCTTACCTCTTTAGGGTTAATAAACTTCACTATCTGACGTGGCTCCCCTTGTCGTCTTAAATCAATCAGACTTTTAAAATGTTGGAATACAGCGACATTCTAAAGATTGGAACACAGAATTTTATGCTTAAACCAGGTTCTCTACTTTTTTTTTTTTTTTTTTTTTTTTTTTTTTTTTTGGTTAGCTTTTCAAGTCAGTTTCTCTGTGTAACAGCCCTAGCTGTCCTGGATCTAGCTCTGTAGACCAAGCTGGCTTTGAACTCACAGAGATCCACCTGCCTCTGCCTCTGCTTGTGCCACCACCACTTGGCTGGTTCTCTACTTTTAAAAGGGTTTTAAAAAGTTTTTTTTATATTTACTTGGGATGGGGTGCTGCAGTACACATTGGAGATCAGAGGACAACTTCTAGGAACTGGTTACTCCTTTCTACCAGGGTACATACCAGGGATAGAACTTACCTTTACCCACTGGGCTATCTCACTGGCCCTAAGTTTTCTATTTCTTATTACCGGTGCTTATACCTGCACAGGAATTCACATCTGAATAGTCCTGTTGGAGCAGAGAAATGAGGCTTCAAACTGAAATCCTTTTAGGGAGAGCAAAAGCTCCTCACATACATGGCTCTCCCCAGCTTCTTTTATGAGGCTGGTGCTATCCTGACACCAAGCCTTCTCAAGGACACTATAAAAGAGGTGGTGGGAGAGGACAAGGATGGAGGGGATGCTAGATATAGACCAGCACCTACTTCTTACTCCAAAAAGAATCAAGATAGCAGACATAGCTGTATTATGAGGTATAGCACAGAAAGAAAAACATTTCCAGTTTCCTCCTCAGCTCCACACCTCTAGAAGGAAGCCACCATCCCAGCTGCAGGGGAGTGTGAACATGGGAGACCCTGTAGACTCCTGTCAGCTTGGCTTCCCACAGTCTTGGCTAGCAAAAAGCTTCATAGCACTCCCAGGTTGGCTGTTTAGTGAGGTAAGCAACCATAACTGTATAGTGGCTATACTTTAGACACTTCAGGGTCTAAAGACACTTCAGGGTCTTTAGAGACTTCAGGGTCTCCAGGCTAACACACAGGCTGCTATAACTAATGGCACCTCAAGACATGTTCTGTTGTAAACATCTGGAGGGTTCTAGGCATCAGAAACCCCTGCACAGCTCCCTTCTCTGGGATTCCATAGACGCCCATGACACTAGCTTGGAAGGTAGCAACATTGCAAACCCAACCTGACTTTGCAGAGTCACTGTGACCTGTGCTAGTTGGGTGCTCTGCATCGGAAAGGATGGGCTTTTGACATAAACAGGAACAGGGAACACAGACCTAAGAACCAGTAGATCTTGGCACTTGCATTCTGAGGCCCAGAGTGTGGCAGCTGCTTGAGGACTCACACTAGTGTCAAAACCGAAGCAGAGACCCACAAAGCTCACTAGAATTTAGGAAATACTGTGGTCCCTGTTGCTGGCCCACTCACATGTGCTTGCTGAAGGGGCTCCAGCCCCTGCTCTGTCCTGGGTCTATGTTACCACTAGGAGTGGCTCCATCCACCCTGTCCCTGTGAGCACTGCACTGAGGAAGTGGAGGGCCAATCAGGGTGCTTCAGGCTCCTCAGCATGGCTGGAACTCCCACTGCCAGTCAGCTCTTTCCAAAAGCAGTGTGTGGGGAAAACTATCTGATAGAGGCTGCTGTTCCCACTGTGCTGTAGCCACACCCTGAGCACACCCCGTTCCTATGTCTCAGCTCCCTGAACCACTGCAGTCCCCACTTTTGTTGACCCCCAGAGACCATGAGTCTCTCTAGCAGTATCTAGCAGGCTTTCCCTGGTATGCACTGTGCTGAAAGCCACCCTGGATAGTTAAAGAAGCTATGAGGACGGTGCTATGGTGCTCAGTGGAAACAAAGCCAATGTCATACAGAAAACAGACTGCTAGGCACATCTTCAGGAACAGGCTCTTGCTAAGAAGGCCACCCCATAAATGGGGACACCTGGCCTACCAGGTGTGCAAATCTACCAGGTGAGCATAAGAGATGTCCTGCAAAAAGACACAGCAACCCACTGGCTCCAGAGACCCACAGGGTCAATGTACAAAACAATTGACAAATGTAAAATAATGAGTGTGGAAAGCAGAGCCATGAGGTGACAGACTGATAGTTAAGTGAAAATCTGCTCAAGAGGGTCCTCAGCTCAAAGGTAAACAAAAGACAGCTAGCATCATAAGGACAGATGGAGGCAAAAACCCAACTAGAGACAGCAAGCAGAAGGGAAATGAACAATAATCTTCACCAAGTAACAGTAACCCATCTAAAATAAAATTACAAAGAATATTCAAGACAATTACAAGGAAGAAAAACCCCAGAAGTCTTTACATATCAATAATAATGTTAGAAGTAAACAGACTAAATTCTCCAATTAAATGATACAGAGTTAGTCAACAGAATTAAAAAAAAAAAAAAAGGCCAAACAATATTCTGCCTGTAACTTATAAGAACTTAAGCCATCAGTCAAGACACAAAGGGATGGGGGAGGAGCAGGAATGGATGTGATGTTTAAAGTAAATGCTGAGAATCAATAGTTAAGCACCAAAACAGATTTTTTATGGCTTCTCTAAAGGCAGATAGGGGATTTGTAAGATTTGATTGATCTGATGGTGGTCTTGTGGACTAGGAGCAGCTGTCCAACTTGACACAAAGCACCAAGGAATAGTGACTGAAGGGACCCAAGAGCTTTGGGCTGCTCCCTTCTGGACCCTGGATAAGACAAGACCACACCCAAACAGCAACTTCCAAGCACAAACAAAACACAAAGAGGTCCTGTATTAAGCAAGGCGAAGAGACAAGGTGGCTGAATCTGAATTGGGCAGAAATAGCAGCAAATGGCTTTGCAAGTGTTAATTTTAAGAGGGAAAAGAGGGAGGTCTGTGTTAGAATGAGCTAGGAAGTGTTGGCAAGTTCTGACTGGGTATTTTAACTAGGTCAGTCAAATTTTGGTTGTTAGACCTTGGTGGTCAGTCTCAGGACTGAGTCAGGCATAATAAAGTGGCCAAATAAGGGAATAGACTTTGATGGCTACCTTTAGGAATGTACTCTGTTTAGCAAGAGAGAGAGAAGGGGAAAGGGCCAAACCTGCCCAAGCCACATTTGCCACACTCAGGACTGCTAGAGCCCTTCAGTGATAGAACTACTAGGATTATAAAAAGGAGTGAAGTCTTCTCACCTCTTGGCTGTCACCCAACCAGGTAAGCAAACATGGAAAATTACTTCTGAGACCCATCTATCCAGGTTAAGGGCGCAATAAGTGAGCAATACATTAGCTCAGATAAAATAGGTCATTAAACGTAAGATCCTCCACAGTACTCAATAAAAACTGGAGGAGTTTTTGACATGTGTCAAAGTCAAATGAGCCTATTAGTGATGCATTTATAGGCATCAGCTATTACCAAAAAGTCTGACCCTATTCAGAAACGTAATGGGGGGGGGCAGAAGGAGGGCTTTGTAATAAAGTGCTTGCTGTGTAAACATGAGGACCTGGGTTTGATCTCCAGTACCCATGTGACAATGCTGAATGTGGTAGGACACTCATAACCCTGGAACCGGGGAGCCAGAGCTAGATGGGTCACTGAGGCAAGTTACAGGCTAGTGAGGGCTCCGTCTCAAAAACTAGACAGCTCCCGAGGAACAACGTCTGAGGTTGATTTGTGGCCTCCACATGCATGCACACACAGGCATGTCCACACATTATCTACATACATGCACACAAAACATTGTTTAAAAAAATCAATGTTTGTAAACCTAGTAAAATAATTTTAACTTTTTTTAAATTTTGGTTTTTCAGGACCAGGTTTCACTGTGTAACAAACAGTTCTGGGACTTTTAGACTAGGCTGGCCTTGAACTCACAGAGCCTCTGCCTCCCAGGCTCTGGGATTAAAGGTGTGCACCACCACCACCTGGAAAATTATAACTTTTGAAACTGAAGTGAATTTCTAAGTTGAAGGCTGGTAAAAAAAAAAAAAAACCTGTATAAATACACAAAAGAACTATTGAATTGCACATACTTTACATATTTGAATTTTGTGCAATATAAAAGTTATCTCTCAAGGGATCAACTCACAAGGAAATTTTTCCAGGATCTCTGAATGATCTTTGCAGCTAGTTCCTGCTTTGAATGGTCTTGGAGTGATGTCCCAGACATCTGGAGTCCTAAAAGAAAAATAAGCAAAATGGCAACCTTGAAATAACTGTAAATGCTCCACTGTGGAGGGGGGTCTCTGGCACCCAATGGAAATAAAGTTGTCTAAAGGAAACAATGAAGTATTTAAATTATATTCTTAATATATTACACCTTTCTAACAAGTACCTTGCATAAGTTATTTTTTTAAAGACCTGTATTTGTTGTGTGTTTCACAAATGTTCAAAGATGCCTGAAAGGGACATCATAGCTCTTGGCACCCAGTGTTGGTGCTTCGATCTGAACTCTGGTCCTCTGATAAAGCAGCAAACACTCTTCACCACCAAGCCACCTCTCCATTCCCTGTAGAGGTTTTAAATATGACTAAGCTGGACTCAACTTCAAGATTTAAGGTCAAATAATAACAAACTAGCCAGAGTTGAGCTCAGTCTGTGTCTTTAAAGCCTGTGACCTTTACATACATTGTTGTAAGTCTTGAACCTAACCAATGTACATAGAGAAATACCTGTAGCCATGAGGTTACCCAAGCCCCTAACCTAGAACTGGGGATTGATTATAGACTTCCTTAACCACACTGCCTACTAGATGTATCAGTTATCTCCTTCCACCTCTCTGGGGATCACACTTGGGTCATCAGCTTGGTGCCTTTACCCACTGAACCACCTCACCAGCCCTTTGGAGATAGCAGTTGGTTGTCACAGTGTGCTATTGTATGTGGTGGGCAGAGACAAGACTCTACTAAGCATTGTACTGTGAACTCCCTGCTACCACTGGCAGGAAAATAATGCAGCCCAAAGAATCAGGTGTGCCACTGCTAAGAAATACAGAAATAAACATATATCACCTCAAAAAATATTGTAAACAGTAGGGAGCTATACTATAACTGAGTGCTAGGTTCTGAGTACTGATCTCTAAGTCTAATTCATTATGTTCTGACCTCTACACTGGTGCCATGCATGGCACATATGTGCCTACACACATTCCTACAAAAGTTAAAAAAAATGTCCCCAGCAATTGCTGCCCTTGACGGGCTGTGATCTATTGAAACTTCATGGTGGGAAGAGGAAGGGCTGGTACTGCAGGACAGTGGCAGAGTGCTTGCTTGGCACCCACAGTTCAATCCCTAGCACTTTCAAAATAATAGACACTACAATAGTAACAATACTGATAAAGGAGAGACCAGTGGCATAACATTGTCTAATTCCTGTGAGATCGACCATGGGAGTATTTATATCATGAACGCTGCCAAACACTTGAAATTAGAACTTAATGTTTTTTCTGGTTGATTTAAGATTTAAGGACAATATGGTGATGTGTTAATAATGCTGATTAAAGGTGTAATGTCTACCTCACCATTCCATCATGAATAGCACAATGATGTAATAACAATCCCAAAGGACAATGACACTTCAAGACAGGAAAACAAAACAAAAACTCCACACACTCAGTTGTCCTAAATGTTATTAATGTACTAAATGGCAGTCAGGTAAATGAGCTTGAGTATCATCAGTAGTCTTTTTTTTGTTGTTGTTGTTGTGTTTTTGAGAGCCAGAATTTCACCATGGATCCCAAGATGCCCCTAAACTCACAGCCTCAGTCTCCTGAATGCTGAGTTTACAGGCAGTAGGGTAGCAGAGGGGAAGGAGGAGTGGGTTGAGGAATGGGAAAACTAGGTAAAGGCTCTGGAGTACTATGCAGAAGCACGGATACAGTGGCTGGAAGATGGATCTGGATTCAACAGGGCTTTTCTTTCTTAAATATGAGGCACTAAAACGTGAAAATATTGTTAGAGGAGGAGAAAGTAATGGTGCAAGAGAGGATAAAGGAAACGTAAAATTCCTTGAGTAAGGGGAAGGCAGCTTCAAACTAATCATGTGGAAATATCTCTTCTAAGACATAAAGAGTATGTGGAAACAATTGTTCATCATGACTTAACTATACCCAGGTGGCGCTGCTGATTCCCAGGTAAGGACAGCAAGCCAATCCCAAGTCAATACCCTTGACGTGTGATTCAGAGGTAGGACTGCAAAGTTCTACCATAAGTAAGTAGCCTTGCTGTGTGTAGTTCGACACAGAACCTGTATTTCCATCCTCTTAACTAGATTTTATTTTCTCAAGAAATGTGTTATAATTTTGCCTTTTCTCTTTACCTATATACTGAACATCAAGACAGAGTCAACATAAGCCTTATGCATGTTGAGCATCCTTGAACGCTCCCTCCAGATCCTAAAGCCACGTACTGCATTTAACAGAGTGTGGAAGAGGAATCCAGAGGTGAGGAGTGGACTAGCAGCCCCGGAATTACAGACGGGCTGGAGAAGGGACTGGTGAACTAGAGGGAAGCTTTTCCATCAGACCAGAGCAACTGCGGACAGAGCATCAATATGGGAATGGATGTGAGCACACTAAGGGCGTTTAGGGTCCTGCAGCAGACCAAGCTCAGAGGACACCAGAGTTGAAAGGAGCTGGGGAGAAGACACATCCCTTGACTTGCCAATCTCCGTGGCCTCGTTCTCCGCTTGTTTCCTTAGTAACGACGCAATGGGAAATGACTTAATAGCTCTTCCATCACAACCTTCTCCTTTGGCCCCGCCCCCAACTTTCTGGTTTGTTCTGATAGAAGCCCTCCCTCTTCTTCATTCTCCGTGCTATAGAGGAAAGTGATTCAGAGGGATTGCCTGTATGTGACATGAGGCCGCAGTTTGATGCTGTTTCTAAATTTAAGTTCCTTAGCGTAACACAGGTTTTAAGTAAAAACAGTACTTCCCAGAACCTGAAATCGTACCGCGAGCTTTGTTTGTTTGAATGCTGAATATACCACATGGGAGTATAACCATGTAAAATGAGGAGTATTTCGACCTGCCCAGTTCTTCTATGCCCTTTCAATGCTTTTTCATGGAACATAATTTGTGAGGAAGACGAACTTCTAGGGAAATACTTTCCTTATATACTAAACACATTTGTACAGGGGGGAAAAATCCCTGTAGAGAATTCAGTGACCAAATGAGCTTCAAAGTCCTTCAAAATCATTGTCAGTTATTAATAGCTGATATTGATACACAATATTAATACATAGCTGTTGCCATGTATTAACATACAGACATGAGTAAATTTTAGTATTTGTTCCTTTTAATATAGTAGAAACTGGGTTCAGATTTTTATATTAAATAAAATTAAGCTAAACATTTTAAATCGAGCCGGGTGGTGGTGGTGGTGGTGGTGCACACCTTTAATCCCAGCACTCAGAGGCAGAGGCAGGCAAATCTCTGTGAGTTCAAGGCCAACCTGGTCTACAAAGCTACACAGAGAAACCCTGTCTCAAAAAAACTGAAGAAAAAACCATTTTTTTTCTTTTAAACCAAGGTGAAGGCCCATGTCAAGACTGCAAATTAGAATTTCTCTAATCCCCATCTTAATAGACAATTTAATTTTGTTAACTGAAGAATTGTGGGATATTGGCAGCTGCTCTCCAAAACAAAACTGAAGAAACAAGTAAGCTTACTTTTACAGTTCCTGGTATTGAAAATACTCCCACTGTGGACAGTTTCAAAGGTCAATGTGATGTCTCAGAAAGTCTGCTGGAGAACTGTCAGTGAGTCTTCCGGACATCTCTGATCCCCAACTCTGTTCTTAGGGAGGTTCTTTCCCAGCTTGCTATTTCTTAGCCACTTTGCTTGGTTTGCTTGATAAACAGCTCGCCACGGGATGGGGAGAAGTTCTGGAAACTTCACTGCAGAATACATGGTTTTTGCTTGTCAAGTTGAAAAACAGCCAAATGGCCCTGTTTACTCTGAGAGCTTCCCAAAGGACTCAGCTGCTGTCAGTCCTCTCAAGATTAATTCATCCACCCGCACCGCACCTCGTTCCAAACCATCTATTCTTTCTCAGAACCCATCCCTTAACCACGTAATCCCTGTACTGAGTGAGGGCTTTCTGAGAGCTCCAGTCTCGTTTCTCTGGACCCAGTTCAGCTCTGTCTGGCCAGGTCACTCCCTGCCACCCACTATAGGACCCAGCCTTATTTCTATCAGCAAACACAGTCCAGTTTTTCTCCTCTGTTTAAACATGTTTAAAATGGGGTGGTTCACAACCCGGTTGGAGCAGCACAACAATGAAGAGACAGCAAACACAGCTGCCAACCCCGTCAGCTGAGGTGGTAGCCTAGCAAGAGCGTTTGTTCTGTGGTGCCAGGGGCCCCCAGACCCCAAGGCTCTCCCCAACCATCCACCAGTGTGGTGGCATCTGTGAGACTCAGCATAGTCTCTTCTTCCTCTTCTTCTTCCAGTCTGGCTCAGGAATAAGCTAAGGGGCAGAGGTAGATGGGGAGACAGGGGTAGGGGTGGGGTTAGGGGTGGCCCAGTTAGCTTGGAACCCTGGGGAGGGTGTACTAACTCCTTGCAGGAGAAAAGGCACGTCTAAATAGGGAACCTAAGTTTGTACCCCCCACCCACCCATGGGGTGATGTGAGATGGGCTAAAGGAAGCAGTAGGGTGAAAATCCCAATTCTGGTTCCCAAACCCCCACCTCCTGCAGGAAAAGTAAGGAATCCTATGTCTGAAACCTGTCTGAGGGAACCCCATCCCTTCCTCCCTGCTCCCGCACAGGCCCACATCCATCTCCCTCCCACTGGCCAGCTCTAGGCCCTGTGCAGGGAGGAAATGGACTTTAGGAGGGACCTCAGGCTGTCTTGGTGCTCAAGTCCACCTCCCTGTGACAGAGCTCCTTCTGTGATTTATGACCAAGCCCCTTATTGTAGTTGCCTTTGCTCTTAAACAGATGCTGGTGGTGGTGGTGCAATTTTAATCCCAGTACTTGGGAGGCAGCAGGATCTCTGTGAGGGAAAGGGCTGCCTGGTCTACAGAGCAAGTTCCAGGACAACTAGAGCTGTTACACAGAGAAACCCTGTCTCGAAAAAGGAAGGGAGGGAGGAAGGAAAGAGAGGAAGGAGAGGAGGGAGGGAGGAAGGAAGGAGGGAGGGAGAGAAGAAAGGAGGAAGAGAGGAAGGAAGGAGGGAGGAAGGAAGGAAGGAGGGAGCAAAGAAAGAAGGAAGGAAGGAAGGAGGAAGGAAAAAAAAACCAACTCACAATGCACCGCATCACAACTGCCTAGGCTGGATCTGGTGCAACAGTGCTTGCAGCAGAAGAATGAGCTTGTCTGTCACCAGCCACACCGTCTTCACAGGTCTCCTTCACCTGAGCCCACCCTGAAGGACTTGGAGAGCTGCACTTGCTGGGGCCTCTGCTGGGCTCAGCTTCCTGAGAGCCATGGCCTGGGTGTCTCTGGCAGCCAGCCTGGAACATAGCTTTTCAAAGCTGCTTGGCAGTCTGGGTGGAGATGCAGCTCAAGGAGGGTTCTGTGAGAGGAAATGAGTCAGTGGAGCCCCGTGAGCCCTCCCCACCCTGCAGGCTGGTGTGATTTTAGGCAGGGGACTGGGCGGCTGAGGCTGGGACTTCTCTTAAGTCACTCACAGTCCAGGTTTTTAAAAACATGTCTCAAAGTCTGGGATTATCACACCTCAGTTGTAGGACGTTTGTCTAGAAAGCCATGAACCCCCAAGCTCTTCCACACACACACAAAAAAAAGTCAAACTCAGATATTCAAAACACAAATCTAAGAAACTAGAATCTGAAGTTCCTCACCATGCCCAGACTTGGTTAGGGAACAGTAGGCACTGTAGGCCTGGTGGCAAACTTACCTAACGCCCCTGGGGGCCAGGGGACAGGATTTAGACCCTCATGATGCGGCTAAAACTGCTTAAATTTCCTAGAACAATAAAATTACGGGCTTTATTCAATCCAAGCAGAAAAACCCAACAAAACCGTTTAGGAGTCAGGAATCGATCAGGACTGAAAGGTGTTCTAAGAACTTCAACCAGCGATCTGCCCTCCATATTTATAAGAAACAGGAATGGGCCTCAAATTATCTACAGCCTAGCAACCCAGTCAGTTGTTATAACTTGTTTGCCTGCTAATTGGCTGCAGGGAGCTTTGCATAAAGTCAGGCCCTAGCTACCACCAATCCTCTAAGCTCAGCTGGCTGGCTGGGCCCAGAGCAGGTGTCCAAATCCATGGCTCCCATTAGTAACAGAAATTCTATGGTGGCAGTAAACACAAAATATAACACTACTCCTTTTGTAAGGCTCCATGCCACTCCAAACTAGTTCGAACAGTGGACTCCTTGGTGAATTACCCCCAAGTGCTAACGTCTGGCACAGTGAACAATTGTTCATGGAAGGTTTTTTAGTTTCCACCCCAGGGTCACCTGTCTGTAGGCTGTAATGCCAGTAATAGCAGAGGGGTGATGACGCGAGGTACAATGGGAAAACAGCTTTCGTGTTTCTCTAAGGAGTTCGCTTCCTCCGAAGCTTGGTCCTTCTCGCTGTGGTCAGATGCCAGAACAACAAGCAACTCGAGGAAAGAGTTAGTTCTGGCCTATGGTTAGCCTGCTGAGTGCAATGTTTCACTCTACCCAGACAGTGCAGTCTGAGTAGAAAGCAGGGCAGGCTATATAACCCTTCAAAGCCTGTCCCCTGTGATGTTTTCCCTCTATCAAAGCTGCCCTTGTAAATCAGTGCTTCTCAACCTGTGGGTCTGACCCCTTTGGGGGTTGAAATGACCCTTTCAACAGCTGTCGCTTAAGACCATCCTGCACATCAGATATTTGCATTACAATTCAAAAAGTAGCCAAATTAGTTATGAAGTAGTGGCAAAAGTAACTTTATGGTTGGGAGGTCACCACAACATAAAGAACTGTATTAAAGGGTCACAGTCAGGAAGATTGAGAACCTTCCTGAAGGTTCCATATCCTCCACAGACAGCAGCATTACCCAGGACTGAGCATTCAGACACCCAAGCCTGTGTAGGCCCATGCTACTTAGCTCTTTGTCATTAACTAGGGGGAGGGACGCTCAACTGGGCAAATGCCTCCATCAGATTAACCTGTGGGCAAGTCTGAAGGACATTTTCATGACTAATGATTGGCGTGGGAGGAGCCAGAAAGCACACGGGAGGAAGCAGAAGGGGCAGGAGGATTAGAGCAGAGTATGACATGTATGTAGGACAATACCATGATAAAACCGGTTACCTTGTATGTTAGCTTTAAGTTAGTTTTAAAAAGTGGCATGATGCCATGTCTGCAGACTAGAATTCAGACAGAATGGCCATGACAGAAGTTTTAGTTCAGTCATTCATGAGGACATAACAGAGATGGAGATTAGAGCAGAAATGGCTCAGGGGTTAGGAGCACTGGCTGCTCTTGAAGAAGACCTAGGTTCAATTCCCAGCACTCACACGGCAGCTCATAAGCATGTGTAGCTCCAGTTCTGGGGGAATCCTATCATTTTTGGCCTCTGTTGGCACCAGGCATGCATGTGGGATACTAACATACAGACAAGCAAAACCTCTTAGAAAATAAACTTAAAAAAAAAAATCAGGTTAGATTAACTGTCATAAACATACCAGGGAGCAGGAAGTGATAATCTTTATTAAAACAAAATACATGGTTTCCAATTTTTATTATGAAAATTTGCTTTATTTAAAAAAGAGAATATAATAAAACCACATGATAAACTTGCAGACATAGGTTTTTAATATGGCATCATGGAAAACATGAATATCATTTTCTTTTCCTTCTTATACATTTATTCTTTTACCATGCTGATGTTTTTAGTTTACAACTTGATTTATGTCCATGGTTTAAAAACAATTTAAATATTATAAAAAGGTATAAAACAAAAATTTCCCTTCTCCCCATACCACCCCCCACTGGCAGCTTGTCTTTTAAACTCTTTCATTCCCTTTTTGTCTTTGGCAAATTATTTTTCACATTCCAGGTCCTGCAGCTTTGGTCTTTAATGAACACACTGTGGAAAGCTCTCATTACGGCATAGTTAAAACTGCTTCTCTCTTGTCGGTGTTATCACTGAACTACACTGTACATCATTCTGTACATGTATTCACTGTACATCAGTGTCTGTTTAGGCAATGCATTCACTATTGATGGGTGACAGCCACTTACAGTGAGTGAAGCCACGAGCATTGGTGACAGTTTATTTAAATGAGCACAACTATATCTTTTTTTTTAATTTATTTTATGTGCATTGGTGTGAAGGTGTAAGATCCCTGGGAACTGGAGTTACAGACAGTTGTGAGTGCTGGGAATTGAACCTGGGTCCCCTGGAAGAGCAGCCAGTGCTCTTAACCACTAAGCCATCTCTCCAGGCCCACACAACTATATGTTTACACCCTTATATCCCTCTCAACAAGTCAGATTAAAAATATTTTTGTTGAAATTAAAATCTCATATCATTGCTCCCTGTCCTCCTTCTAGCCCCTCCCAGATGGTCTCCTTTACTCTCAATTCATGGCCTCTGAAGATATATTCAAACCAATAACACAACAAGCCACGTAAAACTCATTGCCAAGGCTGTGATCAAGCTGGGGAGATGGGGGGACTATCTAGATTTTTTGATAGACTTGTTACAGTTTGATTGGGAAATGTCCCCTTCAGGTTCACATGGAAGACTCCGTTTCCAGTGGAATGCTCCAAAATGTGACAAGTCAATAGAAACGGCCCAATTTGTCTCAACTTTAAGTGTTAGGATGTTCATCACCAGACGACATCAACTTAAAAGACTTATTGTGTTTACAACAAACTACTTTGCTTCCTGGGCCTGGGGTTACAGAGGTAGCAGCGAGGGAGGCAGCCCTTCTTTCCATAACCCATTTCTATAAAGCCCCCCTCTCTATGTACAACAGATACAGGCTCAGGTGCACCAGGGTGTGGCCTCAGGACAGCTTGTCCTATAGTTCATACTACACAGGTAGGTTTTAAATAGGTGGTAGGATATTTGGCTTGATGATACGTTTCTGTGGTCTAGTTAAAAATACAAATTCCTGTGTTGCTATTGGTCCTTGGAAGAACAGATATGACCAAATGATTGCCCCAGTTCTGGGAGCACTTTGACTCCAGGGGTTCTTATTTTAGAGAGCATTCGGTCATGGACTGCATGGTGCTCTGAAGAATTAGACGTGAATTTATGATCTTAGATCTCGACCCTGCCCTAAAAGGCAGAGGCAAGTGCCAAAGCCTTTATTTTAATGGTGCAACCCACTGAGAGGACAGCCTGCGGATCCAGGAATGAGGATCTGCCTCTGTCCTGGGCTTACTAGTGTATCCCAGGATGCTGAGGCTTCCTGAGGCTGGCGTAGCAGTTTTTGAGGACTTTTTTTTTTTTTTTTTGGAAGGACAAAAATAATTCAAGATCTCACATTGACAATCATCATTTCTTATATTCCTAGTATATAGATGATAAAGACACCCACACAATGCCACCATCTACGTTAATAGCTATGCTGTCTTTAATAGGTATACAACCCAAATGGGTTGTGACTCGCCAGTATAAAGTACAGTTTCCCCTAATTCTGTCTTAAGACCTGGCAAAAACTTAGCTGAAAAGATTTGAATGATGCAGTGTGTTCCTCCACCATCCCCATGCTATCGTTAGTAGCAGCAGTCTGTTCCTTAGTTAACCCCATCACAGCCTCCAACATGAGGCTGCCATCAATGAACATCAGGCACAGCTTGCAAGAAGAGAAACTACACAGGGAGGAGGAAATAGAACCTTCCCCCAAACACTTCTCCCTTCACAACTGAATGTGAAAGTAAATGAACAAAAGATAGAAACAAACCAGTAAATGTGATAGCCACAGATTCTCAGGTGATTTATATGTCTTTTTATCTACTATGATGCTCAAGTGAGCAGTTTTAACCGTAAATACAATGAGCATTCAAAGGTATTTGGCAATACTGAAACTCATCTTTATGCCTCAGCCTCTTGAGTATGGGGTACATGCTTAGCATCTCTCTGCACTTCTTTTTTGCTTTGGCTTTTTGTTTGTTTGCTTGTTTTTTGAGACAGGTTTTCTGTGTAGCTCTGGCTGTTCTGGAACTCACTCTGTAGACCAGGCTGGCCTCGAACTCACAGAGATTTACCTGCCTCTGCTTCCAGAGTGCTGGGACTAAAGGTGTACACCACCATTGCCTGGCTGTTTTGGCTTCTTGAAAAGATCCAACTGGGTAGCCTGGGCTGGCCAGAAAATCACCATGTATCTCAGGCAGGCTTTGCACTCAAGAAATCCTCTGGCTTCACCTCCAGAGTGCTGATTAGAGGTGTGAGGCTGACCCACCAGGCCTGGCTCCTTTGGCATCTTCACAAGTCTCAAAGTTGCAGCCGGCATAGGAAGGAATGAGAAGCTGGGCCTCCTTAAAGGTCTTCCCTCTCCGGCCTCTTCCTGTGGCAGTGGCAAATGGATGTGCCATCATCTGGCTGGGGAACAAGCTCCATTCCATCACGTATCATGGGCTTGCTGGCCTGGCGCTCAGCATATTTCTGAAATATGTTTGGAAGCAATGGAAGGTTTAGTTCATGCTTCATTCTAGTCTCACCTCCCACACGTCTCTATTTCAATCACGATGTTTCAGACCCAAACCAAAGGTCTGGTCTAGTCTAATCTCACAGCTACATTTTAACTGTATTTACTATAAATGCTGCTGAAACATCTCATAGTCCAGCATGGAACCCCAATCTACACTTCTGTGTATATGGACTGCCTCTAGAAAAGAGATGCCAAGCCAAATGCCCCTTCCTGAAACAAATGGGGTTAGCACTTATCCTCCATTCTAATGAACAATTATCTTGCATCTTCATAAAAGCAAGCTAAGATGACGAGCATCTCCAGATAGATGGCCACTTCCATCCATCCTGGAGGGCTGGGGTTATAACCACACCAAGAGGCCCATGCAAAATATCCCTATGAACCCAGGCTTTCACTCCCTTCATTTTGTGTCCACTTGGCTATGTATTCCTAGTACTGGGTTAATGCCAACAAAATAGGATTATAACTAAGGGAGCCTAACTAACATATTAGATGTAGAAGCACCTACCATTAAAATTAAAGCTAGGGCTAATAAGTGGTAAAGGTGTCTGCCACCTGCCCTTATAATCCTAGTCCAATCCTGGAACCTACATGGTGGAAGGAGAGTAAACCCACTAGGGTAAGCTGTCCTCTGACCTTCACAGGTACTATGTTCTACCCACCCCTGCCTCTCCAAACTCACAAAATCAATATTAGAAAGTAATTAAAATAAATTAAAAAAAACCTAGATTAGTACACAGGATGGAGCCCCTGTAAGGATTGCAAGACGGGCATGTGGGGGTGGCGGTGGGGGATACGACTTGCCTTTATTCCACCCACAAAGGAAGGAACGTCTCTAAGAATCAACCACCAGGGGGCGGACACTGACAAAATGGGTGGCGCCTCTAATTAACCTATTTCCATGGGCTCCAAAAATAGAGATTAAAAGTGTAGAGGCTCCAGAGAGTCAGCACTGGTCCTTCCTTCAGGCTGGAGTCTCGGCTGAACCCACATTCTTTCCACAGCTGTCCCCCAAACCCTCAGGAAGCATAGTACAAAGTGTTCAAGCCACCCACATGGTCTAAGGACCCCGACCCTTCAGGTTGGACACTGAACAGACCTGTAGTACTCTGTAATAGTAACAGAAAAGTCTGGGTGGCTGGAGCAGGTCCCTAGCAGTTAACTGCCCTTCTTTCGCGATCTTCTTTGCTTCTTCGTCATTTTCCTAAAAGGAAAGAATGAAAATTGCTGCCGCAGCCCACAGAGAAAGCTAAGTGCAAGCGCGCGCGAGAGGCGAGGTGAACATCAGCAGCACAGACAAGTGGACTGTAATGGGCTATAACGTACAAAGGAGGCCACGCGATAGTTTACTAATATCTGTTAAAGGGAAAAGATAATAGGTGTGTGGCCCGGACTCTATGGGACTCACTGGCCTCTTCTGGTGCTTTTCTAGCTATTCAGGGAGAAGACCTGGGTCCATGATCTGCCTCGCCAGCGGTGCCCTCTGTCTAAGAACAGAATGGATTAATTTCCATGTTAAAATGTCTTTTAAAAGCGTCAGTGCTGGGGAGATGGCTCAGCAGTTAAGTGTGCATACAGCTCTTGCAGAGGACCTGAGTTCCGCTCCAGCACCCATCTCAGCTCTAGCTCCAGGGATCTGAGGCCCCTCTGGCCTTCGAGGGCATCTTCACTCACATGTACAGCCCTCTACACTGGCACATGTGTAAAATTAAAAATAATAAAAATGTGTTTTTCATAAAGCTTCATTCAAATATGTAGAGAAAATGTTCTGTTACAAAGCTGTAGCCGCAAAGGACTATGATGCTGCTATAATAAAAGCACTCACCAGTTGTAGTGCCAGAAATAACCAATGCTTCTAATTATAGTCATGGAAAACGCTTGATTTTTTTTTTCTTTCTTTTTTTTGCACTCTGCTCATAGGAAAAGCTATTTGTTAGCAATTGTGGATCTTAGGAAAAGCCAGAGTAATGATTCTGATCCATCATTCCCATGGTGAAATATTACTTCTCAAAACTTAAAAAAAAAAAAATGGAAAAAATGTTATAATAGAAGAATACATTTTTTTATAATTTCACAATAAACCACAATAGTTTTTGATATTACTCCTTAAAAAAAGGAACCCCTGTATTATGGGGAACTTGCTCTTGGGATGCTGTGTAGCATGTGTTGGATAAGGACTTGTGGATTTTTTTTTCTTCTATGTGAGAAAGAGGAATACCAGATTTTGCCTGGAATGTTCTCTTAATATATAAAGTCTTTCAACTCTGGCCTTTTCAATCTGCAATTTGTATTTTGTATGTTTTTGTTTTGCATTTATAAATGAAAATAGTGAATCATTTAGAAAAATCCATATTACATACAACACTAGACTTCAAATCTAACCTTCAATAATGTTGACAGAGGGCATACAAAATGATTCTGCTGTCCTTTCTTTCTCTTTTCTATGGGTACACGTGGGTTTGTGCACATGGACTGCAGTGACCACAGAAGACAGGAGAAGCCATCTGATTCCCTAGAGCTGGAGTTACAGACCACCGTGTGAACTGTCCACATGGGTGCTAGAAACCAAGGTCCTTTGGAAGAGCAGCATGTGCTCTTAACCACACAGCCTTCTCTCCAAAGGGAATTTTTTTTTTTTTTTAGAAAATCATACTTCCTTTGATTTTTTTTTTTAATTTCACTCTGATACATTAAGTCAGGATGGAACCTAGATCTCCCATATCAATAACTTGGATATTGCCCAAGAAAAGGAAAATTGCATGGAACATACCTTGGCCCATTTCACTTTCTCTAGTAGATCACTGAGGTTTCTTTTAATGGGAACGTAGTGCTTCCAAGGCCTTAGTGCCATATAGAAATGTTCATAATATGGGGAATCCTGCTTCAGAACCAGGCTGTCCCCCAGCATGAGATACGGATACCTGTATGCGGCCACTGTTCCGTCCACATTCACCTGGTACTTGTACTAGGAGATTAAAAGCAAAAAAACCCATAAAGCCGTTTGCTTTGCTTCTGTTTCTCATCAACATTTTACACTTACACACAGAGGGGTGGTTTCCACTTTCCCACGTCTGTGTTTGCATTTCATTTGTCTTTCATTTTCTCTTTGTATAAAAACAATAAACTGCTTGTAACAGCTCCCTTGTAGGAAATTTCAGGACATAGGAACAAGGGCCTGTTCCCATTACATCTGTGAAGCAGAGAGTCTAGACTTCTGTAATCAAGGCAGGTCCTAAAACTATTGTCAAAGTTCTAAATGTTAATATTCTGAAAAGTAATATTAGTTATCAATTTTTATGCACATATAACTTCATTTATTCCTTATGCTAAACCCACAAAACAAAAAGGCATTGTCTCTATTTTACAGTTTGCAGGCTGATAAACTAGAGTTTACGTAAAACAGCTTACATCTTACGTAAAACACCTACATTGTAGATAAGATGGCTCAGTGGGTAGAGGACTTTGCTGCCAAACCAGATGATGATTCAAGTTCAATACCCAGGACCCACATGGTAGAGGAAGAGAACTAACTTTGGTGAGCTGTCTTCTGGTCTACACTCACACACACACACACACACACACACACACACACACACACCCTGGAGAGGCCGTTGCTTCATTGACATATATGGTTAATACGTTCTGATTTCCATTTAAAAAGCATTTATCAAAGGCATGAAATCCAATTTAGTTTTTAGGTTTTTTTTTTTTTTTTTTTTTTTTAACAAGTGAGAAAACTGGTATACATAGAAATGTATAAACCCACATTCTGAATGCAAATTCACTGTTCTTTTCATCACAGAACCCCTGAGATGAAGATGATCCATCCCCAGCTACAGTGACTCCCTTTCCTTCTCGCTTCTATTCCCACTCTTTTTATTTTCCATTGCTGGAGACCAAACCTATGCCTCTCACATGTAATAGAAGCCTCTGCACTGGACTACACCCTAACCTCTTAATAATTTCTTTAAAAAATACCATGTGTTTCCTAGCCAGTTAGGCTAGGGTTTCATGATAACACTCTAAACGAGGGTCACACACATGTATGTACATGCATACACCACACACACACACACACACACGCACACACGCACGCACGCACGCACACGCACGCACGCACACACATATAAACATCAAGTAAAGAAACATGACAGGCACCACAGGTCACCAGGGCCACTAAGAGATGAGGGACAACACCAGAAGGACCCAAACCCCAGTTCCACCTCCTATTGTGTATATAAAAATGAGTTCTCTTTTTATCAAAGATACGTGAGATCACTTCATGTAAAAGACACTTATCTTTACAGCTTATTAAGTCAAAGGGAAAAGCCACAATAAATACATACAAGCTTCATGTTAGCTTTCACATTAAGCATTAAATATATGCTAGGTTACTTGGTAAACAAAATTAACTGAGAAAAACCGTCTGAGTTCTGTGACCCCCCTCGGTCAGACAGGAAAATGTGACAGTGACATTAGCTGCAAACCGAGGCAACCTGCTTGAATGACCTGTTTGTAGACTTTGAACACATTTTATCACTTCATAGCCACAGGAAGACTCATACCTTAAAGAAATCAAAGAAACCCATCAACTTGGCTTTTCCAAGCTCTTTTTCTTTCTCTTGGAAAAAGAAATATCCTGTAATTCCTGCATCTAGCAGCTGTGGATTTTCTTTGGACAGCTGTACCAACTGCAGCCTCTCCTCCCGGCTATCTCTACCTCGGAAGAAAGCTTTCTCTGTTTTATTGATCCAGGAAGGCCCTAGAAGTTTGAGGCCATAAAAAAATTATGATTAAGAATCTGAAATCATAAGACAGTTCAATGCCCTTTAACCTACTATTGTCATTTAAAATGTTGATACTCGTCACAAACTCATTTTGTAACATAGATGCGTTTTCCAAAATACCTGGGACTGAGTCTTAGTCTGCCAGAGGTGCTTTCAGAAGCTGTCTGTCTGTCTGCTCCAGCCCCTCCCATTTACCTACCAACAACAGCTCACCTGGGCACTACTGTCCACTGTGTTCAACATGAGGAAGTAGCCCTTACATTATCAGACTAAGCTCAAAGAAAACAGAGGGCCTGTGCTTTGTCTCACTCCCAGGCCCATAGCTGCTTCCATCTTTCACGTTTCACAATCACACAGGAGTTAGGCTTTCGTTTTTATATGAGGTAAGCAGAAAACTGCATAATTAAGCAACCTCAACAGATTTTAGTTCATATTTCTCCCTTTTTTTATTTTATGTTCATATGTATTTCATGTACATCTGTGCATGTGTGCATGAAGTGCCCACAGAGCCCAGAGGAGTTACAGATGGTTGTGCACCAAGCAGGTGCAAGGACTTGAACCTGGGTCCTCCGGAAGAGCAGTGGGTGCTCTTACCCACTTGGCTATATCTCCAATTCAGCTACTCATGACTTTGAATAGAGGGGAAATGTTTTTCGTTTATGTTGTTAAGTGTAATATACATTACACTGCTTTCACATAGGTATATAGAGAGTTTGAGACAGGATCTTGTTATATATCCCTGGCTGGTTTGCTACTTGCTATATAACCCAGATGATCTGTGATCTCTCACTAACGACACTCGCTACATCAGGCTTCCAAGTGCTACGATTACAGGCATGAGCCACTATGGCCAGCTCTCTCTTTATTTATATCTTCTTTTTTAAAGAAAGGGAAATATTTTTGAAGAACTAATTTCAATCTCTGACAAGACATCTTATTATTCTAAATAAAGATGTTAGCTAAATGCCCATCACTGCCTCAGGGACAATCATAAGACACAGAAATACTCAGAAACTCACTGTTCTCAAACTGAGAATAGGCCAACTTTAATTTCATATGGTTTTCATTTTACTTTCACTTATCTTTTCTCTTCATGATATCTTTAGATACTTTGCACAAATCTCTGATCTTGTCTCCCAAGTGACAATAAAGCAAAGAAAAGGACAAAGCCAACCAAGTTCTTTGCAGCCCAATGAGTATCCGAAAAGGGGTATTTTATCATAAAGGAGTCATAAAAAGAGAAAAAGGATTGTGATTTGAAAAACTAATGAAGTGCAGAAAAATGAAATGAGAGGATCCCCGATGAGGAACTGGAGGATGCATTCATAATGTCCCAATTATACCACGATCACCATCCTCTCACAACTTTCTGAATTTGCCCTCATTTCATCCAGGAATAAAAAGCAATGCAGTCAGAATTAAGTGACAAGTTTACCAAATATACATACATACTATTTAAATACCTTTAACGTTTTGCTTTAATTTCATATAAGTATAACCAAATACAGACTTGAAAAGACATCTACAAATGACTAAACTCAAAGGAGAGTCTGTGAATGTAGGTTTGGGTGTTATTTTTCCAAACTATGTGCTTTTAATTTTGAAATTAGGATCCTAAATATTCTCTTTTGGCTTTAAGGTGTCTTCCTCCCGCTTTGCTGTGCTGGGAATGGAGCTCGGGCCCTTGCACATGGTTAGAAAGTAAGAGGATTAAGCATATACATCTATTCTTTCTGAGTAAACATTCCTTTCACCTTTTTTACCCTTAACATTTCCCCCTAGAGAATTAGCCTCAGCTTACCTGTATTTCCCTGAACAGAGAGGAGATCATTTGTAACACCCCTCATTGCTTCAAGTGTTGAGTGGGTGACATCATATGTTGGAAGGATAATGTCTCTTGAATCCAAGGAGCCGCACCAGGAAATGATAGGTATAGGGCCAGGAGTGTCATTGACTTTTCGATGCTCTAAGGGCCAATCTCCCAGGTTAATATAAAATTCTAAATCTGGGAGGGCAACCTATGAGAATAAAAGCACAAACGTTAGTGCTGAGAGGCACCAAATGCCCCAGTGTCTTGTGTATGCATGTAGATGTGTGGAGAACAGGGGTCAATCTTTGGAGTTTTTCCTCGAGAGCTATCTCCTTGGTTTTTTGTTTGCTTTTGGGTTTTGTGGGTTTTATTTTGAGACATGGTCTCTCACTGGCCCGGACCTTTCCACGGTGGTGAAGCTGGCTGGCCTCTGAGCCTTGGGGATCAACCTGCTTCCTCAGCACTGGGATTACAAGCACATGTTATCACAACTGGTCACAAGGGTTCTGAGGATTAGACTCAGGTCCTAAAGTCCCCACTGTACTCTTAGTCCCGACAGAGAAGACCACTGAAAACACTGGGGTAAGGGAGAAGAAAGTCTCTGGCTGAGGGTAGTACAAAGAAACTCACTTAACCGGGAGTTGGCCACCTTTCCCCAGAGGTGGCATTAAAATGTAATGTCACAGAAGTGGGCAGATAGAGAAGTGTGAATGTGCGGCTCTGCGACCGCTCACCAGCTGCCTATACGACAGTCTGCAGTCAGACCCAAGCCTTCCCTCACCACACCTCCCTTCACCATGTCCTCTTCCACCTTTGCCTCTAGAATCTTCCAACCCATTTACTTCCATGTCTACGACTGATCCGAGCTCTGTTGAGGTCCTCTTGCTTGGAATGCTGCATCAGCTTCCTTCCTAGACACTCTGACTCCCCACCTCCCTCAACTTGAACCTACTGTCTGTACAACTGCTCAGATCTCTACATGCCACACAAATGTCACCACTGACCTCACCAGAACCTTTAGACTGTGGAACAAGAGCTATGTTCTGGCCCGGCATGCAGAGCCTCACTCTCTTACTCTAGCTCGTACTGAAGTCTCATGGGCCCGAGTCCAGGATCACAGGCAAGAGCCACCAAGCCCATTTTAACTTAAATGTTACAAGATAGAGGCATCTACAAAGACGTACATCCATTCCATGCCTCATTTCTGAGTCCTGAAATCCACTCTCACTGGTCTTTATAGTTCTAAGTATATCACTGTAGCAACAACAACAACAAAATTAAATAATACTATTTTTGGAATCTGTTCATTCATTTTCATACCTTCCTTGCCAGTGACAGCAAAATTTCATCAGAGAACATTTTGAAGTCTGTGTATTTCCCCAAAGATCTCCGGTGGATGTGGTTATTGACAATTGTGTAATGAACAACAGCGCCACGCTCATCCCCAAATCTTTTGGGGACTTCCTTCAGCATCTGGTGGAGATCGATGCTGGGGAAGGAGGTAAAATCTTGCTCGATCTGTGGTTCGGTGCCTGGACAGGACAGGGTTTCCTGCCAGGCCTGAGGATCCTCTTCTGGGCAGTCACAGTACTCATGGTACACGGGTCCTGGGGAGGTGACACACACACACTCAATTCCACCCTGGGCAACAGTGTGGCGAATCTGAAAACTACTGACAGAGGCAAAACTATCTTAGACAATTGAGTAGTACAGTGCTTACGTCAGTCTCACTCTGTCCCCTCAAAGGAGAACACTCTAGTCACTTGGGCGACACATTTGCTTCTAGTGAGGTATAAGTAATTAATATACAGTGGCTTCATTTTAGCATGCAAAAGGAGAGCTTCCTGATTTTCAGACATTCCAATGTAGAAACAGTGAGTTTTTAAGAAAATGCAGGACCTTTCCCTCAAAGCCTTTAATGCTGCCTCAGTTGGCATGTCTCTTGAGAAAGAGAGTAACCCAAAAGGGTCTATCAGTGTAATTCTAAGGGAGTAGCTGAATGCATAGGACTTTCTGGAAGACACATTTAGAAAACAATGTATACAAACCTAACATATAATTTCAGGACATATCCACATTTAATATGAAATTAAATTTTCCTGAGGATTTATTTATGATCTTTGGGAACAGTCTCATGTAGCCCAGGTTGACCTTAACACCTGCTGCTACCTCGGAAGTGCTGGTATTACATCATTAAGCCTGATTTTTTTTTTTTTTTTTTTTAAGATTTCTACTTCAGACCAAGACCAATAAAAGGCACTGACTTATCCTTTTACTTGAAACTGGTGAACAAAACCTGGCATAACTTATGCACTCACAGTTTTCAGACTACGGACATGAGGCGATGAAGGACTGTGAGTCTGAAAGATGGACACCAGCAAGGTCACACAACTTGCTGCTTAACTGTATGTAGCACAGGAAGAGGGAAGAGGGCATGGCTGAGCTGAGCAGTCTCACTGAGCTGAGGAAGGCTGAGAGTGCAGAGAAAACAGGGAAACTGGGCCGGGGAAGAGAGTATGTGAAGGGTGAGACCTAAACATGGAAAAGCCAGGAAGCAGGCAGGACTTTGTTCATGAGTAAACACCCCAGCCTGGATCAGGGCATCTGTGAGATGAAACTACCTAACACAGGGAAGAGCCATCCAGAACACTGCAGGTAGACAGTGTACCCACTCCGCACCAGCCAGGCTGCAAAGCCTCCTCATTCTTGGGACTTGGGGAATGCATGTCTCAGTCCTTGAGAATAGCTAGCCCTCGATTAAGCATGGTGCAATTCCATCTAACAAACCATAAAACCTTAAAGGATTAAGTTATGTCCAGTAACTGCCACGTCCCAGGATAAAGCTTAGGGGAATTAAAAATGGCATCAAGATACAAAAAGTACACTGTAGGGGATTAGTGGCAACTTGGCATTGCAGGAAAAAAATTTAAAGACACAGCAATAGGGACCATACAAAATGAAACAGAAAAGTATTGTTTTAAAAGATTTACTTTAGGTGTGTGAGTGTTTTGTCTACATGAATGTACATGTACTGCATTCATGTCTGGTACCTGCAGAGGTCAGAAGAGGACACTGGGTCCCCTGGAAGTGGATTACAGATGACTGTGAGCTACCGTGTGGCTTTGGGTCCTCTGCAAGTGCAACCAGTGCTCTCTAAACCCAGAAAACGACAATTTTTCAATAGAGAGAGAGAGAGAGAGAGCCTCAAGGAGCACATAAACAATGCTTACTCTGTTGCACTTGACTGCAGGGTCATCACAAGCCATCCTGAAAAGCATGTGTCCCACATAAGTCTAGGTTCAGGTGATGACTAACACTTACCTTTCAAAATATAGGGAGACTGGGCCACGTGCTCACTACCATAAAGGACCTCTACCATGAGGCCTGCGTGAGCAGTCTCGTGCATCCTGTATCTCACCAAAAACGTTCCATCATTCCTATCCAAAGGTTTAGGGACATATATTCGGACTGACTCCTTAGGTGAAAGGGATTTCACCACTACTTTGAATTGCATTTGACCTGGAAGCAAAATAAATACAAATAGCATAAGCATTTCCTGATTACTATGTCTCAAAGGTTAGACAGGGATCTTGGTACAGAAGCTCCTTTGCCTTGCAGTGTTCATGGTAAACCATGTTCAGTTCAGCTTGGAAGGTCCTTGAGGCCAAGGATCTGACTTAACATGGGAGTCAATAACTATTCATTAACAACAGTGAATAAAAAATTAATTCATTGAAGAAAGTAACATTCTGCCTACTTGGTCTTTTCTCCTCTGAATACCATTCAAGCTTAGGCAGTTAACACTCCACACTCTAAAGTTGATGGCCCTGTGGCAACTTTCTCTCTGTAAAACACACACACGTTATTTAATGCCATTTAAGAGACTAGAACCACCCCACACACACACTTTTTTTTTTTTTTTTAATTATTTTGGTTTTGTTTTTTGAGACAGGGTTTCTCTGTATTGCTTTGGAGCCTGTCCTGGAACTAGCTCTGACGACCAGGATGGCCTTGCACTCACAGAACTCCACCTGCCTCTGCCTCCCGAGTGCTGGGACTAAAGGCGTGCACCACCAATGCCCAGCACAACCCCCATTTCTGAGAGTGTCCTGTTTTTATTAAATTTGTTCTTTAACAATTTAATATGGTATAATACATACTGACCACTCTCACCCTCCGCCCTCTCCAATCCCCTTCCCACCCTTGTTTATCCCTCCCCCTTTATACAAATCTCTTTCTGATATTCATAGCTATTTATTTTGTTTTGTGACTCACTGAGTCTAACTAGGGCTGTCTGTGTGACTACGGAGTTGCAGCTATTCATTGGAGCCTGGTGGGTTCAGGATCGGGTACGCAGCAGGTGCACAACTGAAGATGACTCTCCCTCTCCCAGGACCTAATAGTAGTTTGGAAGTGAGGGACAGACCCCATAAACCCTGCCCCCCCCCATTCTGTGACTGATTGTTAATAGGACCAGTCCTGTATGGGCCTAGTGTAGTAATCACAGTTTTGAGTTTATAATTTCAAAGGCTCAGTCTAGAGCAGCGGTTTTCAACCTGTGGTTCGTGACCCCTTTGGAGTCACCTAAGACCATCTGCACAGCAGATATTACATTATGATTTGTAACAGTAGCAAAATTACAGTTATGAAGTAGCAATGAAAATAATTTTGTGGTTGGGGGTCACCACCGCATGAAGAACTGCATCAAAGGGTCACAGTGTTAGGAAGGTTGAGAACCACTGGAGTAGAGGGTGGCATTTCAAAGCCCATCACTTTCTCTTCTGGCTCTTACATATTTCCCACTTCCTCTTCTACAGCATCCCCTGAGCTCAAGAGAGTCTGAAAATTTCTCTTTTTAAACTGAAATTGAATTTGTAAATGCTTTGTGTTTATTCTAGCTTGCCATCAGAAAGGCAACCCAAGGGGCAGGAGAGACGGCTCAGCAGCTGAAAACACTAGCTTCTATTCCAGAGGACCCAGGTTCAAGTCCCAGCACCCACATGGTGGCTCACAACTGGCTGTAACTCCAATGCCAGGGGATGTGACACCCTCTTCTGGCCTCTAAGGCATGCACAAGATAGACATACATACATTCAGGCAAAACACCCATACACATAAAATGAAAACATTTTTAAAAATAAAAATATTAATGTGTGAGAGTGAGACAGTAGACTGAAAAGCTGGGGTGGCATACACCTTTAATTCAACACTCTGGAGGAAGAGGCAGGTGGCATCTGCTAGTTGAAGGCCAGTCTGGTCTACATAATGAGACTCTGATTCAAAATAAATAAATAAATAAATGAAAAAGTATAAAACCATTAGAAACATGTACTTTAAGTGCTTCAAGAAGTTTATTAGCAATGGGGAACTCACTTGCCAGGACTGTTTAGGAAGGTTATTAAAGCTCCCGATAGTTAAAGGGAAAGCACTGATTTTACATTAGCAACTAGAGTTTCCCAGAAGACCAAAGTGTTATACCCTAGGACTACGTAATCCTCCAAATCTGTCTGACTTCCTGCGATGGACGCACTCCAGGACCCACTCATGCACTGCAATCATATTAAGAGGGTTTTTCCCCCTCACTGTAAAAACATTATGATCTATTGGGACTAGAGAGATGATGGCTCAGTGGTTAAGAGCACTTCCTACTCTTCTAGAGGACACACGTTCAGTTCCCAGCAACGCTATTAGGCAGCTCACAAGTGCCTCGAACTCCAGCTAGGGCAGATCCAAGGCCCTCTTCTGGTCTATATGCGCACCTGCACACAAGTGGCATATACAAGCACACTCACACACCCATATAAATATAAATAAGATATAATCTTTGCAGAAATTTTTATTTGAGAAAATGAATGCAAAAAGGAATTAGGGGGGAAAGTCCTTACTCTCTTGCTGTAACCATGAAAGTGCATGTTTAGGTTCATTTATTTATTTCAAACTGGGAGTGATGCTATGTCACCGTTTGAATCCAAAACATGCCCCACAGGCTCCTGTTCTGAACAACTGGTCCTCACACTCTGCTCTTACACATCCGCAAGCCTGCCCAGAAAACCCTCAGCCTCCAAACCCCTATTCTTGAAAGCTTCCCAGACATCCCTGGGCCTGCCTCCTGTTCTCAATGTTTACACCACGCTGCGTAGTAACTATGATGCGCCCTGATAGGTCAGTTGCTTATCTATTTTCTCGGTAGAGTCTTAGCTTTCTGATAGACAGACATTACCATGTTTTTACTCCAGGATTACCAAACACACAGTGACCTCCAAGATCATGAAGTTCCCATTTGTACTGTGGAGGAGGTAGGCCCTGGATCATTTGATCTTCGCTGGCAAAACAGGACGCCACTTAGAAGCAGCCTTAAATTTAGACACAAATTAGCAAATCCTGACTGGCAACAACTCGAAACCCCCAGATGTGGGAAGAGAACCCTGCAGAGACTCAGGACAGGCCGCCTCTAGCCCCGTTTCTACTTAGTTTCTTTGATTTCTGTGGTCTGCATTTAATACATCAAAAGCAGGAAGAAAAGGGAAGTCTGCGTGCAAGAAGGACCTGCACTGCAGGCCTAGGAGCGCACAAGTGAGGAGTGGGTACAAATCAGGGAGGAAGGCACTCCCGACCGGCCAGGAAGGACCGTCTGTACCACGTGATTGCACCACCGCACCTCATAGGACACCACGGGCGCCATTTACCCCAACATCAGTCATTGCGCGGAACATGTGGCCTGGCCCTTGGAGTCAAACATCACCCCAACCGACCTAGGTGGCGTCTCCCGCCCTCAAGGGTTTCAGGGAGGAAGGAAGGGAGCTCCTGGGAGGGGAGAGAGGGCGACACCCACAGTGGGGATGTGGCTGTGTGGAGATAGGGACTCAAGGGGACTGGACCGGGACCGGCACTGACCTGGCGGCGAGCTAGTGAGGTTCCGGCCGTCCGAGTCCACCGCCTGCAGGAAGAAGTAGCGCACCGGCAGGACCGCGGAGGCCTGCAGGCCGGGGCCCCACGCCAGGCTCCGCGGTGCGCTCACTCGCGCCCCGGCCCCCGCGGCCACCAGCAGGGCGAGCTGCTGCAGCAGCAGCGGGGCCCGTGGGACGCGGTGCATGGTCGCCGGCTCTCAGCTCCGCTGGCCGGGGAGGGGCCGGAGCGCCGGGCTCGAGGGGACACTCGGGGGCGGGCCAATGCCTAGAGCCGCCCCGCGCGGGCCCTGCACGCATCCCGGCACCGACAGGGTGTCGCCATGCACCATGCCCAGGCCCCTGGCTCTACAGCCCTCCACTAGTTGTTTGAGTTTGTTAGGAGTTTGGAGAAAGGCCGTTTTGTTGTTGTTACCGTTTTCACTTATTTTTTATTTTACTTTGTTTTTCCTTTTGAGAAGGAGTCTCCGTAGCCCAGGCTAGTTTTGAACAGATGACAATCCTTCCTCCCCAACCCTTCTCCAGTAAGGTGTGCAAGCCTTCTTACCTTGTGGAGAAACCTGCTTTTAATTAATTGATTGATTGAGGCGGGGTCTCACTATATAGCTCCTGCTGGCCTGGGATCTATATAGATCGCCTGGCCTCTTAATCACTGCCATTCGCCTGCCTCTGTCTCCCAAGTGTGGTGGTTAAAGGTGGGCACTACCAGCCCAGCCTGAAAAATACAAAACAAAACAACAACAACAACAAAAACCAGTTTTAAATGTTACATACTAGCAGGGCATTGGTGGCACACACCTTTAATCCCAGCACTGAGGCAGTGGCAGGCGGATATCTGTGAGTTCAAGGCCAGCCTGGTCTACAGAGCGAGTTCCAGAACAGGCCCCAAATCAATACAGAGAAACCCTGTCTCAAAAAACCAAATTGGGGGGGGGGGGGGAGAAAGAATGAAAAACAAAAAGAAAAATGTTACAGATTCAGGTTTGGGATGTGGCTTAGTGGTGCAGTAAGTGTCTGGCATGTACAAGGCCCAGGTTTGGTTCCCCGGGCCACACATGGAGCAAGAGGAATGGCTTCCCTGTTAAGTACTTTGGTTTTGGTTCACACAGAGGCTGGCCTGTCATTTATTTTGTGCTTGGCCATCTCCCTCAATGGAGTCTCTAGAGTGTGGTTCCTTTCCTCTTTCAAAAAGTGTTTTCTGAATATCCGTTGATTTGGGGGCACCAGAAGGCAGGGTCTGGGCCTTGCCTTGAGCTGTGTGGACAGGCTTCTCAGAGCCAGGCACCTTCTCTCCCTGCCCATTTTGGAAAGGTAGGATGGATAATCTGCATCGTCTCTACTGCTCAGTCTCAGGGACTAGGAACATTCTCCCCTTCCACTCCCAGCTTGCTCATTTTAGCCAATTATTTTTCCTTCTTTTTGCATTAAACTCCTAGCAAATGTTTTCTCCAGATTGAGAAATTTGGAGGAACTCATCCTGCAGAATGGACATAGGGCTTTTGACCCCTTCAGATAGATCTCAATCCAGAGTGTTCCAGAACCAGGACCTGAATGGCCCTCCGCCTTTCCCAGGCTTTGATTGGGTGCCTGAGCATACTGAGCATGGGCCAGGTCACTGCCTAATTACCAACCGTAGGTTAGGGCACAGTGCCCAGGACTTGGGCTAGCCTGGCGTCCTCCACTGCAGATTATAGATAGCACACTGTAGTTTAGAAGCAGCATCAGGAACTAGTAATAAGTCACCTGTGAACTGTAGGGCTACAGTGTAGCTTAACTTGGTGTGACTTCACTGATTGTTTTTTTTCCCCCTGGAGTTGTTTGAATGCTTTGATGGAATGCCTGTTCTGCTCCAGTTAGCATTTAAATACACACACACACACACACACACACACACACACACACACACACACACACACGGTCCCCTCCACCCCACACACATACAAAACAAACCCAAAAGCCTATGTAGAACACAAATTTTTTCAGTCTGCCAAAACTGGACTTCAGTTTTTCTTTTCCCAGAGAAGTGAGCTGGGAGTTATCTGGGTAATTGTGAAATATGGCCTAAGAAATTATATAATACTTGAAATAACACCTGTTTGAGGGGAAACCATCAAGCAATTGATTCCTATCACTCCAGTCAACCAATCAACACTAATGAAGTTTCATTGAATCAAGTAAAATTGCCATTTTTTTTAAAAAAGGAAGCAACATTAAATATTCTTCTGAATAGCAAATATTTTAAAGTATTCATTTATTATATTTACACCTCTCCAAATCTGCATACCCATGGATATATAGTTCTACCTAAATGTATACTCACAATTATACATGTGTATTTATATATCTCTGCATATGTATACATGTGTGTATATGTGTTGATAAAGAAAGGGCATTAGGTTTTTCCAGAAAGGATTGTTACAATTAATACTGGAGATAGACTAGAGGGATTAACAAGAAATCTTTTGATTAATTTACTTAGCAGTAATTAAAAATGAATGTCAGGGCCAGAGAGATAACTCAGTGGTTAAGAGCACTTGTTCTTGCCCAGGACACAGGTTTGATTCCCAGCATCCACATGGCAGCTTACAATCATCTGAAACCACAGTTCCAGTGGAGCTGCCTCCCTCTTCTGACCTTGGCGGGCACTAGGCATACATATGGTACATAAACATATGTCTAGGAAAAGCACTCACGCATAAAATGAATAAATCTAACAAAAAATTAAATTTGTATCTCAAAGCTGGCTGGCTACTTCGGGTGTGTATGAAAGAAAGAAGCAAGCCACACTTTTTGTTTTGATTTTTAAGTAATCTTCTTGGCATATCTCTCCCAAATAGCTGCCAGAAAGATTAGGCACATTTCCCCCAGTATCTTAGTGTTTTCTTGGAAAATTTCACACTCAAAAAAAAATCATCTTTTATTAAAGGACTGGAGAGATGGCTTAGTAGTTAAGAGCACTCACTGTCTGCTCTCCCAAAGGACCCAGGCTTGGCTCTCAGCATCCACATGGCAGCTCACAACCATCGATCTAGGGGATCTGATGCCCTCTTCTGGCCTCTGTAGACACCAGGCAGGCAAAACACTCATACACATTGAGAAATTTAAAAAATAACCTGAGGGTAGGAAACAAAACCAAGACTAACAGTAAATTTGGGGTTGAGTCTGTGGCTTAGTGGTGCAGTGCTTGCCTAGCGTGTAGGTTCCATCTCCAGAAGTGCAAATACAAAACAAAAACAACAACAAATAAGCATAATGTGTCTGTTCAGGCTGTTTATTTCAACACAAGCATTATTTTAATTTCACCTTCTAACACATTCCATACTTTGGGAGCAGATCTGGGGAACAACATGAGAGGATTATTTGACAAAAGTGCTTATGGTGGCTTATCATTTCCAAACAGAGTATCAGTCACAAAGAGCCATCAAAGTAAAATATTTACATATTTATACTGTACATTTACATAGGATATTCTACAGCTCTAAACAATAAGGCCTGTTTGAACATACCAGCATTTAATAGAGGAACTTTTTTTTTTTTTTACAGAGGTGTGAATTTCCATTTGATTCTCATCTTTTCCACAACCTAACTAGGCTTCTTTTAGCACCCTTGTGACTCATGTTTATTTCCTATACAAAATAGTTTTCTCTTTTCAAGTTTATCCTTCACCAAACTCATGTGAGTAGCAATTAGAGTTTTATTAAGATCAGTGTATTTATGATGTTAAAATAAACTATTCAGAAGGTAGTGTCTAAAAAGCAAACCAATCTTATTAAATCCCATTTTAAACAAATTTAACAATATTTATAGCTGTGTTAGTCTAACATTTAAGCAAGCCAATAATTTCTTAGGCACTTATTAGTATCTATTCATTAGCATTTTACTCTATTTACAAGAATGTTTAATAATGATTATATATTTTAGAAAAAAAATATAAAACGACTATTATTAAAGTTACCACAGCTATGCCCAAAATGAGCATTAAAACCCAACAGTTTATATATTACAACACAAAGAAATTTGCTGTACTTCTTTAACGAAGTGCTGCATAAAACTATAAAACAGTAAAGGTGCTATTCTGTGTTAGGGAAATTACTGTTTCCCTGATTCCTCGGCCTGACAGGTAGGTAACCTTACACATAGTGCACAGAAAGAGTGGCCATTAGAGTCAATGTGGGAAGTAGATTCCATCAAGTAGAGTAAGTCCCAAGGCTTTGTCCATTCTTACCCTGATATCCCTCCCTCACTCAGAGCCTCACCTTGGTGAAAATCAAGCCAAATTCCTGCCACCTTCTGTAGCAAACATGTAGACTCAAAGTATTTATTGAAACAGAGTTTCATGGTGATTATTAAAAAAACAAAAAACCAACAAAGATCTTAAAGTTAAACTATCTCAGAATACCTTGAAATTACACACAAAAAGTCATATGAGAGTTTTACTTAAATAATCAGGTAACTAGCAAAAAAGGAAAGGCATATGCACACACGTACACCCTTAAATAAGAAACTGAATGTTACTCTGCAGCATTCAAGTTTAATCAGTTCGGAACAAGTGATTTACAGTTCTATCAGGCATCTTTTTGAGCTTCAAGTCGCCCAGAGTTCGAAGGTTGAGTGGGCAGGTTTAAGGAAAAGCTTTCATATCAGTGACCTCACCTTCACTGGTTTGGAGTTTTCCTTGCATTTGGGTGTTAGTGCCAGATCTCTATATGCTTTGCTAACACTGGACCTTAGCTTCAGTTTATCTGGATGAACAGTGAAAAATAAAAGTATGTCATGAATCAGGTATGAAAGAAGACAAAATTTGTTCTGTATTGAGATCCAGGATCCCATGCTGCCTGCAGGTTTGATCACCCTCAGCCTCATCCGTACGCCTTTGCCTTGAGTTATAAGGAAAGCTCCAGGTGTCTATGTGGGCAACTAATGAGGTAGGAAGCTGAATTAGCAATGGCTATCACAAGGTATTTACAATAAATTAGGAGTTCTGAGTAGTTATTCCTGAGGGTCTGATAGATGGTTCAGCAGAGAAGCCAAGTGGTCCCCAGACATCACATCTGACCTAGCATTTTAAGGACTCGTTCGAGGTTCCCACTAAATGCTCCATCAGAAGTGTCCTAGCCCAAAGCGTTTCTAACCATGGGTTCTCACTCTGTCTGAAGTTGTACAACTAAATGTGGGGTTGAAAACAGATGGTAGCAGTAAAAGGTTTCTGAAAGTGCACTGAATAAGAATGAATTCCAAATTAAACATAAATGAATCCTGGTAGTGCTCACCCATGGTGATGATGTGACTGCAGCCTTGGTCCAAACACACAGTACGGACACCTTGTGCTGGGTGGAGGAAGAGAAAAGAGGGCAGGGGGAGAGGTCAAGGAAGGGCAGGGGGCGGGGAATCTGATGTTACTCTGTTATGACCTACACTGCTTTTACCGCACATGTAAAGATTTCTGATCATACATACGGACATGCAATTACAGACAACAAGGACTTGTTGCTACTTTATTCCCAGCTCATGGGTAACATTAGAATGTCCTTGGGTTGTACTGTGTTAGATGAGCAGAGATACCTATCTTGTTAGTATATGTTTATGTTTATCTTAAACAAGTGATAATTTTGCATGTATGCCAGAAAACTGTTTTAAAATAAATTTGAGTTACTAGTAAATATTTGATTTGTACACCACCTATTTTACATATGTACATACCTGAGGGCGTGTAAAAATTCTCAAAGCTATAAAGTAAGCGAGAAGAGAGTAATAAGCCCTGGTCTGGGCTATCAATAAGGAAATGAGAAATGGACAGGTCTGCAGAGGTGAAAAAGTATCAGTTGTGGAAAGAGCAGCAACAAGGCTGGTCCAATAATGCACTATCAGCTCACCTCCATCTGTTAGCTACGTGTCTGTGGCCAAGCCATGGTGCCTGCATCATTCGGGTTTCACCACAGGGTTAAGCAAGATGGAAACTAAGCCCTCAAAAATTCAACCAATCACCACAACCCATTTCAGAGAAATTCCTGTAGGCACTAATGGGACTAACCCTTCATTTTTAACATCAACATGTACTCTATAAACATATCAAGGCTCCACTATTGAAGTGCACGGATGTTCTCATAATAATCACTTTATCTTGTGGCTAGAGAGAAAGCTCGGTGGTTAAGAGCACTTCCAGCTCTTGCAGAGGGCTCAGGTTTGCTTCCCAGCTCCCACACAGCCCCTACCAACCAACTGTTACTCCCATTCTAGGGGCTCCAGTCCTCAAGTGCCTCTGTGGGTACTGCAGGAACACAGTACGCATAAATGACAGTATTTTACCCAACTATCGTTTTTCCTACATTATTTATATTTAATGTCTTGAATTCAGGCTGTGGACAGAGGGAGACAATATAGTTTTGCAACTGTGCTGGGTAATTAACAAGTTTTAACAGGTGCCCAAACTATTAAGTGTTGAGAGGTGTAAAAAAGCCATGAGGAAAACAGAGCCAACATTGGAAAGTGGTTTAGAGATAGGGTTGGGAGAAAAGGTAATAAGGCCAAATTCCAACACATCAGGGGAAAATGTCAGGAAAAACAAGCAAAACCCCTCAAAACCAGCAATCGTTCTTAGAATTCAGAAGAAAAAATACATATATACATACATACATACATACATACATACATACATACATACATGGAAAAGAAAGAAATGGATTATTTTTGTGTAGACACTGCCCAAGCCAGATCTTCTTTTACCTGTCTATAAATTTAGATTCATTTTGACAATAAGATTTTGGTTAAAAAGCAAAATGTAGACTATTATATTATGCAGTTTCTTGCAGTCTCATAGTTCTGACTCTTTATCATTTTCATCCAGGTAGTATTCGTCATCGGTGGTTGTGTCCGTGTCTCGGTCTGAGTCCACTGGGTCTTCCTCATAGATATTAAGTGGTTCACTTGGAACTAAGCCATCTTCTGGTGACCGACCACCTGAATTCAACAGCTCTAACTTCGACAGGTTGGAAGCATTGAGTACATCATCCTTGAGGAAGCCAGGGTTCTTGAGGAAACTTGGCTTCCATAATCTTCCTTGTGTGAGTGACCTCTTGACATTCTCCAAGAAAGCCAACTGCTGTTCCTTCCCAAAAATCCCATAGTCAATAGGCCTGGAAATGGATGAGGTGGACTTGGGACCCGATCTGGTCCTGTTGTTATACAACGCCCAACTTTCACTTTCATCAGCCGCAGGAAGCTCAGAAAAAGATTTGAATCTTCGACTGTAAGCACTGTTGTGGGAAGAGTCATCATCAAGGGACAGTTGACTGAGAGCAGTGTTGATGGAAGTGTTCTCAGAAAAATGGCGCCCCCTGGCTTTGGGAGGATGGCTTGTGCATAGCCCGTCACCGTGCATATTGAAGTTTTTTAAACTCTTTGACCTATAGAGGTGAGGCTCAGGTTCTGACTCTGGAGATGGGGCACTGCGGTGGCGCAGTTGACAATGGGACAGGTTTATTGTAGATTTCAGCGCAGATTCCAGGGGGAAAGGGAAACTTAACCTCTGCTGGTGGCTAGAGCTTTTTCCTATGGGGCTGGTAAGTGTGAGCTGAGCTGGGCCTCCCGACTCCCCCGAAATCTGGGCTCTAGAATCCCCACTCTTTGAGGGTGTTTCGAAGACATTGTTCAGCTCATTCTGATGTGGTTGTGAAATGTTAGCAGACCTCTGATTGTAGGACTGACAAGGAGGTTCCTGGTTGGATACTGCAGTAGCTTGGAGAGGTGTCTCAGATTTGTTCACATTTACCAGGCTGCTTTCATCTGTGGGCTCTGTGGGTTTAACAACAGGTTCAGGGGATAGTGGGCTGTCCTCTGGTCTGCAAAGAGATAACCCCCTAAAGTCAGATTGGCTTTCACTTTGGGAGAAAACAGTGGCTACGTGTCTTCTGGGACTTAAATCCTTAGCTGGGATTTTTCTGCTTGTGTTAGACACGGCTGTCAGTCTGTGTTTAACTGGGTATCTGTTTTCTTTTGTTTCTAGGTCACCCATGTTGGCTTCATTGTCATTATTTCCTCCAGGAAGTAAAGTTTGATCCCAGGCCAACTTTTGTGCTTCATCTTTAACCTTCTCGGTCTCTGCTGTAGTTGTCTCCTGCCTTCCTGCCGGTCTGGGTTCTTGCTGCAGATCTGCTCCCCGTGACTGGGCCTCTTTGGTTAGCTGCAGCTTATGCAATGCTGGGGTTAGAGCGAAGGCTTGCCTTTCTGAGTCAGAGAGCATTCTATCAGTCAGGTTTCGGCAGTCTGATCCAGTTGTCCCAGTGGCTTCCCTAGGCTGTGACCCACTAGAACTGTCGTCTATAACTACAGCCATGTGATCTCTCCAAGGATACCGTCCGTGTCCTGGTGATATAGTAGCTGTGACATCTGCACACGCTCTGGAATTTCTTCTGGTTTGGGAATTTTCAGCATTACCTTCTGAGTGGGCTGGAAGGCCAGGGGGCCCACCGTCTCCTCCTTTAGAAGGCTGTTGATGACTTTGAGTGTTCTCTTCTCCAGCACTTTTTTCCTGGGGCAGCAACAAGCTCTGTAGGATTTGTTTTGGGAACTTCTCCCCTCTCTTTTTCTCACCTAGTGAATCATCTACCACTGTTTTAGCTGTGGAAATATCTTTGGTGTTAGGTTCTCCTTTATGAAGAGAAACATCTGGCCTCACAGAAGCCATTTCCTCCAAGATATATTGGGGAGCCTTCCTATTTGGCAGTCGGGAGACAGCCTCATTTTCAGTGCTGTGAGAAAGACAGCATCGGGCAGAGTCCACTTGCATCTTTAGGTCTGGCAGTGGAAGTATTCCTGACTGCACTCGTGCGGGACCATTCAGCTCATCATTTCCCAAAGCATTAGGGAATGCTTCAGTCTCTCCCTGGAAAGCATCTCGAAGTGAATCTGTGCCTTGAGCATATTGCTGAAGGAGGCTGCAGAATTTTTTGCTGGGTTTCCTTGGTAGAGTATAATATATTGAAACCACCTCAAGACATTTCACATTCTCTTCATCACCAGAAACAGAGAACATGCTGGTTGTCTTCAACTTATGTAAGGCTTTCTTGCTCTCTTTTCTTGATGCGTCTGCATGTACAGGCTTGGGGGTTTTGTTTGAAGGGGTGAATGAGCTCGTTCCAGGGGCAGGCACCTCATAATCCTTCCTGGTGTCTTCTTGAACAAGCTCCTCTTGATTGTGTCTTTCGGAGAAAGTGCTCTCTCTAAATGATGAGTTACCTTCCAGAGAACTGAAGATTCTTCCCCAAGGTCTGGGCATTACAGCAGAGGCATCCACATCCAGGACTGGTGACTTTTCTCTTTCACCACTTTCAGCTAAGGTACCTGGCTCCCCTGAAGGACATGATATCGCTCTCTTGATGAGGAAAGGGAGAGGCCCTTTCCTAACAGAAGCTGATTTAATGACTTTCATATTTGTGGTTTTCTTGGTGGCTTCAGGCTTCCCCACGATGGAATCTGAAGCATCACTCATTGACTTAGGAGAACTGGGTTTGTCAGATGTGCTCTTCCTAGTTGAAACATCCACTTTGTTTTTTATTTGGAATGGAATTGGCCCATTCCTAATTGAAGCAGGCATTATCTTACTTTCTTTCTGGCTGCTGTGTATGAGAAAGCTGGCTGGTTTTCTTGGCAAGGTGCAATAGACTGTGCTGAGCTCAGGGGCTTTGACACTACTTTGGTCCTCAGTGAGGCTACTGCCTTTGACTGTGGGTGCTGCTCTATTCTCTGTCTTGGTTAGCTTCTCAATACAGGACACACGGTGCCTTACTCTTCCTTTCCCCCTCCCATTTCTGAAGGGAGAGTATGGATGGCAGTGGACAGCATCATGCATACGTGCAGGACTGTCATGACTCTCTTGGTTATCTGTAGAATTCACAGTCAACTGACTATTTTGGTTCTCTATAGCCTCATCTTTTTCTTCTCTTTCTTCTTGAGATGGATCTTGGTCTGAAAGTCTCCCGGAGAACCTTGTAGTAGAAGGTATCAACAGAACACCAGGGAAAGAATCATTCAATGGTAAGGAATCTTGGGGTACACCTGATGACACATCTAAAGAATCTTGTGAGACACTGGGCTTGGAGGCCAGCCTGCTGCTATTGGTAGAACATTGTTGTCGCTCCAGATCCAAACTAGCAGGCTCCTCTGGGGATTCTGCTTTTTGGGTAACAGTGGATTCAAAGCACCAGTGGTTATTTTTAATGATGCTTGAACTATCTTCATTTCTTCCTGTTTTCTGGTGACAGCCTTGATCTGGGCTGGGAAGAGATGGCGGTGTCCTATGTTCTTGAATGAGAATCAGGGAAGCTGCTGAGTCAAGTTTCCCATTCTCAGGAAAGCCTTTATCTTTGCTCAGTTCATTGGCTTTATCTCTTTGTGTTGTTTGCATTTGGGAAGTGCCTTTCCTGGAAAAGACTCTGGGTGACCTTCTGGAACTTACTGTGGCAGAATCATTAAAAACAAACCTGGAGTTCTGGGTTGAGTCTTGGGAGTGGGCATTTTGAAAACTGGGTAAATCATTAAAGATCTCTGCCTGTGAAATAGGTTGGGGTAACCCACTTGCCTTGTTTTTCTGGCCCACCTTGTTAAGTCGTTCATCCTCTGAACAAGATTCGTTCACATCTTTCTCAGTGTTCATTTCTGTGACTGGGATGTTGGGCTTGGTTTCAGTAAGAGACAGCGATCCAGTTGAGTGGCTATCAGCCACAGTAACTTCTGTATGGTTTCTTATTGGAAGAGAGTCTGGCTTATCAGGGATTATTTTCTCAGGAGCAACTGTGGAATTCTGGAGAGAATCCCTCCTGCCATCAGGAATCAGGGGGAAGGGAGTTCTGAAGGAGGATACTAGAGTCTGAGCCTTGCCAAACAAGCGTGGCTTCTCATCTACAGCTAAGTCTACAGGACGATGGCCCTGCTGACAGTTCAGCATGGAAGACTGAATGTGGCAGCTTGAGCCAGGCATGGAAAAACTATGTGGTGTGACAAAATCGGGTAGAAATTGGTTCTCATTGACATGTGATGTGTCCATGCTCTCCAGTGGGGATGTTTGAAGATCAGATCGCCAGCAATGTGGATCCTCTTGACCTCTGAAAACGTATGTTCCATAGCTAGGAGAATGTGGCCTCCAGCGTTGAGAAGGGACACCATGGCTATAAATAGATGGTGCCCTGTTTGCTTCAACAGAAATCATTTCAAAGTCCCTGTCAGAAGGGAATGGCTTCCTGCTCTGGTGTAAGTCAGACCAGAAAGAATGTTCTTCATGTTGGCTCCAAGAGGAATTCTGTCCAAATCTCTGTTCTCCACTCTTTCTGAAGGTACTGCTGAAAAAAGACTTTGCAAATGGGTTATTCTGATGGTAGAATGGCATATTCTCTGAGTTCTCCAATGTGTCAGGACTCATGGCACCATCCATGGGGGCATTTAGAGGGGTGCCTTGATAAGCACTCTGTGAATGGTACCACTCATACCTCCTACTCTCCTGAAAACACTTAGGAGCCACATAGTGATCAGCAGGGTCGATATCCATTGGTGATGGTGCCCCTGGCGACTCTTCCCAATTCTGCCTATATCTAGAAGAATCTGACCTATTCCATATGATGGATGATAAAGGAGTTCTTTTGGGGCTTTGCTGGTGCCTTACTGGTGTAAAACTATTCTTGTTTAGAGTATCAGCTGGAAAGTGTAAACTCCTTGCAGTAAAACGCCCTGTGGCTGGTGAGGCTGATCGTTGCCGGCTGTCAAAGCATAACGATGTACTACCAAATGTATTCTTTTGTATAAAGTCCTCTTTTAAGACTCTGGGCTCCCTGCTTCTATACATATCATAAATTGTCTTTGTCCTAGGAGAAAAGGTTTTGAAACCTTCTCTAGGAGTTCCTGGTCTCAGTATGTCATAGATGGACATGTTGGAAGTTTCATCATGGTAGTTCTGGTGCTTTCTTGTGGTATGACCATGCCCATTCCTACTTGACTGAGAATGTTTGAACTGTATTCTTGACCCATAGTTGAATGGCACTCTGGTATTCACTGAGCCTGCAGATTGTTCCTGAGCCAGCTTGCTGTCCAAATCATCTAAAACTAAAGAAGAATGCAAATTAATTTTTGTATATGATTTTATAGTTTTAAGTCATTGAAGTACCCCTTCTGAGAATTATATTTTGTTACTATAAATACATTAATCTGCTTTTTTTTCTTTGTTTTTGTTTTTCATGATAGGGTTTCTCTGTATAGCTCTGGCTGGCCTGGAACTCACTATATAGCTCAGACTGGCTTTGAACTCAGATCAACCTGCCTCTGCCTCTTGAGTGCTAGGATTAAAGGTGTGTACTGCCACCACCACCTGGCTAATATAACATTAATCTTGATTATGTTTTAATGATGATTTGACTTTCATAAGAATGCAATGCAATTTTCTTTCTTTTTCTTTTCCTATACCTTTAAGGATATACACCTGTATTTTGGGGCTGAGGGGATAACTCAGTCAGTAAAATGCTTGCTGCACAAGCCTGAGGTCCTGGATTCAGTCCCCAGAACCCATGTAAAGAAGACAGAATAGTGGCATGGGTTTGTAAACCCAGTAGTAGGGAGGTGGTGGCAGAGACAAGTAGGGCTTTGAAGCTTGCTGGCTAGCTAGCCTAGCCTAATCAGCAAATTCCAAATCCCAAGAAGACCTTATCTCAAACAACATAGGGATTGGAGTGGGGGCTCAGTAGAGTGGTTGCTGCACAAGCATGAAGGTTGAGTTTAGACTCTGAGTGTTCACATAAAAGACTAGGCATGGTGACCCATGAGTATAATCCCATCACTAGGGAGGCAGAGATGGGGTTCTTAGAACTCACTAGACATCCGGTTTAGCCAAATCGGTAAGCTCCAGGTTCAGTGAGAGACCCTGTCACAAAAAATAAGATGGAAGCTGCAGTAGATGGCCCAGCAGTCACACAAATCTAATGACCTCAGACCCTAGAACCTATATTTTAAAAGCTGGGTATGTTGACATACATCTATAGGAGAGGTCAGCAATCCTATAGGAAGATAGGAAGAGGAGAGGAAAATAGGCCAAATGCCTTGTAGACCAGCTACCGTGGAATACACTATGCAATAACAGAAACAGCAAGACAGACTGATGGGGGATGTCCTTCTGTGTGCTTTGAATATATGTTTCTCTTATTAGGTTGACGAATAAAGCTGTTCTGGCCAATGGACAGGCAAAATTTAGCTAGGCAGGAAATTCAAACAGGGAAAGGTAGGAGGCAAAGTGACGGGATACCATGTAACTTCCAGGAAGGTAGGATGCCCAGGCATTCTCCAGTATGCTAAGACCTCGTAGAGATACATAGATTAGTAGAAATGGGTTAATAATTAAGAGGGAGCTAGCCAATAAGAAGCCTGAGCTGTTGGCCAAACAGTTTATAATTAATATAAGCCTCTATGTGTTTATTTGGAATTAAACAGCTGCAGGACCAGGTGGGACAGAAACTTCTGTCTGTAAGAGACCCTACTTTAACAAGGTAGAAGGAGAGAAACTCCTGAAAGTTGCCCTTTGACCTCTTCATGTGCACAGTGTACTCATACACACATATACACATAAGGCAATTGTCTAAAAGGTAGAGAGCTGGACAGGTGATTTAGTAGATAAACTGCTTACCCTGTAAGAGAGGAAACCTAAGTTTGTATCCCTAGATGGTATGTCAAAAGCCGGGCACGGCTTGCCTGCAATCCATCATGTGGGAGGCAGAAACAGGGCTGACCTGGTTCCAGGTTCAGTAAAATGCACTACCTTAATAACTAAAGTGGGGAATGATCAAGGGAGATATCCAATGCCAATTTGGGCTTCTCCATACATGTGCACACAAATGCACAAACTCTCATGATGCACTCACACACATGCAAATATGTACACATACATACCACTCATACATTCATAGTAAATTTAAAAAGGTAGAAAGCTGCTTAGGAAGACAGTGTTGACAGAGTGTTGACAGAGTATGTCCACCCACACATACATGAACACACACACAAAAAACAAGGTGGACAGTGCCTGAGGAACCACACACAAAGTTGACCTCTGGCCTCCAAGTGCAAATGAACATATGCACACAAGTACATATGCACACAATTGCATACACATAAACCTTCATATACATACCTATGTGTGTGCACACATACACACAAAGTTACATTTATCCTAATGAATTTTAACCAGTTTCTCTCTGTGGTTTACTTTTGTGCATCATGGGTTAGTAACAGCAGAGAATAATACAGGTTGCAATATGGGCTTGCCATTGAATTATTAGGCAAGCTGAGGATTATCAGCTATATTTCTCTCTTCTACATCACTAGGTTGCTGTAATAGTTCAACCTTTAGTCATATCATGAGACTATAATAAAAATAAGCCTGTAAACAGTATGTGATTTCTTAGCTGTCCAGTTTAAAAAAAAAAAAAAAAACAGCATTACAGGCGAAAGTTCATTACCACATAATGTACAAATTTAGTCAGATAAATTAATGTGTGGAATTTAAAGTTCTATGCAATATTATTAAGTGACATGTTAATTATAGATTGCTTTTCCTGAAAACTGTTGTAACAGAGCACATCCCATGTGTCAGACACACAACATTAATTCATAAATACTTATAGAACCTTACAGGGTTTAAACAAAAAGAAGCTATTTTCATTATTTTTGTTTTATATCTGAGGATGCTGAGGCAGAAAGAAATCAAGTAAATGCCCATGTCAGCTAGTACAGTGATCTGGGCCCAGACTCTCTCTCCTGAGTCCTAATACACAAAAACTTGAGCCATGCAAAGGAGCTTCACAAGGTGAAGCTGCTGATGTTAAACAACGCTGACTTTTATCTCAGGACAAGGTTCCAGAGAGGGTGGTGTCCAAGCCAAGCCCCAGTGACCTCCTTATAGTGAAGGATGGAGGCCAAGCCCAGACCCAGGGTCCATGACTGAAGTACCTTAGTCTGCAGCTTTAGACAAGCTACCATGCATCATCCAGGTTACTGCTGGCATTGCTTGGTGTTGTATTTAATCATAATTAATTAAACTGTTAGAATTCGTTAAACTCTTAGAATTTTAATATAACTGCACTCTTTAAGGTTTTTAGATTTTTCTAAGATTTACATCATAATATATATTATTAACATACATACTTTATGATGAATACAATCAATTGTACATTTATTGATGAAATTGTCATTAATAAAAATCATATCTAACACAGAAATAAGTAAGACTCATATTCATTGTGCCCGCACAGAATCTGGGTCAGAGCAGGTGAACTGTTGAATGACTACTACATCTCATCACAGTGCATGCATGCCCTAATCAGGAACAATAAAATACTCTTAAGGGCAAGCTTCATGGATATATTTCTTTTTGAACTGAGGTAAAACATTAAACTTTATTACCAGCCTGTATGTCTGCCAGTCTTTGATCTCAGAATATTTGCTTGGGTTATATTTAACCACAAGTTTTTTTTTTCAAGATTTGGGTTCATAGGACAGAATGGCATCCTCTCCAGATGCAGGAAGCAAGGAGCTTCAGAAATCAAGTTCAGGCCTTGATTTGTTTAGAGCATTAGTATGAACTACTGTTAGTGTTTGCCTCTGTGGGTCCTGGTATTCCCAGGGAGATCTGATGCGTGAACTTACCTTGGAAAAACTCGCTCTCCAGCAGGGAAGAGTCCCAGGGTGGAGGCATGCCACTCTCCTCCCTCATGGTGGCTGGATTAGGAACAAAGGCACTGGCAACTGGTGAATTGTATATTTTTGCCTGTCAATTTTAAAGTAAAAAAATATAAGATTTCACATCTTCTCTAACTAAAATACATGCCCTCCTAAAAATGTCAATGGTTCTAGTCTAAGAAGTACTGATCAATTTTCTGAATATTTATGTCTCAATTTAGTGTTTTCTTGTTTTTGCCATTTACAATGGATCAGGGACTCCCCCACACATACCCTTATATAATGCTTTCATATATACGTACATATATATTCACACATGCATTATCCTACACATGTGTTCATATGTACACTCCCCTACACACACTCATATGCATGTTCCCTTCTGCAGATACCCTCCTAGGCATGGTCCCCACACACATCCTCACATGCGTACTCCCCTACATATACTCTACACATACCACAATATGCATATTCCCCACACACTCATATGTACCTTCTCATATACACTATCCTACACACACATTCACACATACACTCCCTGGACATACGTTCATATGTGCAATCTCCTTAACACGATCCAATGGATGTTAACTCTTTTAATAACGATGTTAAGGCAGTCTCTTACAGAATTAAGCAGGCCTTATTGGAGGAGGGTGATTCCTGGACGTCAGGAAATTAACCGTTTTCAAGTTGGGAGGATTGTCTCCATGGCGACAAGGGCTGGGACTTTGGAATTCCTAACTCTGCATTTTCTGTTAAGAGCATCTTAGCTGCCGTCTAGGTGGACCTTGAGTTTTGTGAACTCAAGGGACTTGGAGAAGACAGTGTTACTGTCCAGAGGTTATTCCGAATGGCAGAACAGAGAGGAAACAAAGGCAGTGACTGAATACAGGTGACATGAAAGCAGGAGGGAGGAAAGGGGACCAGAGGGGAGAGGGCAGGGGAAGGAGGAAGTGAGTGAGCAGCAGGCCAGGGTCAAGACAAGTAAGTGTGAAAATGCTGGACCGGAACTCATCACATTCAGGTTAATCTTTAAAACAAATCAGATTATATTTTAAGAGGAAGAAAAAAGAATGGGAACCCTCCCCATGCCCTGAGCAGATTCAGTAGATCTGAGACAGGACACTGAAAGGTAAGATCTTACATAGCTTTTGAAATTAGTTCTACTTTTAAATAAACAATTAAAAACCTAGCAAGTGTTCATGCTGATGTCGCATTCAGTCACGGCCCTACTTACAAGCTTGGTTTGTCTTTACAACACTAGGACAGTTATCCTCGCCACACCCTCACTGGCCTGTGTGAGAGCACTGCCTGCATTCCTTTCGTCCACCCGGCCCTGTCAGGCCAGTCCCCTTCCTAGCTCCTCCTGCCTAGTGGGAACCCTGAGAGGGCTGGCAGCTGCAGTCCTTTATTTCCAGTTCACTCTGGGACCCAGTCCTTGCCTTCTGAGTCACACTGCTCCCTAGTGTCCCCTTTCCACTTCACATCACATCTCATCTTATCTATAAAGCTGAAGGCCAAAGGCCGAACCTTGCCAAGGCCCTGATTTTTAAATTCCTCCACTATAGGCTGAAAGTTGGGGTCCTCTTAGGCCCTCACACCTCCCTTGTTTCTCCCAGAAGCCTGACCAGATAGATCTCATCGATTTCTGTTTGTAGCTCTATAGAAATAAGTGAACACTCACAAAGGGGGCTTGTTAACTAATAAATAGACAATACTCCCATGGTAATTTGTTTCTCATTGGATGTAACCTATCACACAGATATAAAAAAATCTAAAGTAAACAGATACAATAAAACTTTGACTATAGATACCCATCAGAGCATTAGAGATAAGAGAACTGGAAGTTCATCACTTGAAAACATTGGTTAAAGTTAGTTCTTTAATCCCTAAAGTGTAAAGAGGCGTCTTTTTTAGTACTCTTCCATGGCTCTTCAATTTTCTATATTTTTTTGTTTGTTTATTTATTTATTTATTTATTTTTTGAGTCTCACTTTGTAGTCCAGGCTAGCTTGGAACTCACTAGGTAGCCCACCAGGCTGGCCTCAACTGCAGAGCAATTTTCCTGCCTCGGTCTTGAGGTGTGCATCACAACCCTAGTTCAGTTCTCCACTTTAATAACAATTATTCTCAAATCTATTGTTTTGATACTTGGTATAGAATGGGCTTACTGGATAAAAGTCACCAGGCATCATTATCTCTTAAGTATTTAACACCCAAACATACTTCAGATTTCCTCTGTGCAGACCAGAGTACATGCCTGGATCCATGGTTTAGCATAGTAAACATTTATAATGAAATGGAAACTATATGTACGGGGTGCTCAAGTGAGAAACGAGCCTCTGTAGGCTGGAAGTTCTTCTATCTAGGGATCAGGTTCTTTTCATCAAGACCAATCCTACACATCCAACATATCCCTACTACTTCTGGTAGAGAGATGCGAGATGACTAACACCTAACAGACCTTCTCCTTTATGCCTTTTAAAAATCATGTGTGCTCCTTTTCTGCCTGTTTGAAATGATGAATTTTACCAGGAAGGACTATTCAGAGCTGTAGCCTGTACCCCCACTTTTCCTCCCATCTTGGATTTGTTTTGGTACTTTGTTTGGTCAATACCCCGTCATCCCCTTTGTACTTTTTACAGCCTTCCTCCTCACACATTGTGTCCTTAGGACATTTTTGCTGTTTGGGCTGCCTTGCTCATCTTTATGTCTCAGCCACAGGTACAGGAGCCAATGCAGGATTTGCACTCCACCAAGTGTTCAATGAATCGAAAACACTGACTGGTTTGTGTCAAAGTGCCTACGTTCTGCAGCTCTCCCCTGGGCTCTTTCCATTTGCTGCTTCTACATGATATGAGAATTTGTGAAAACAGTGTTGCTAGCAGTGTGTTATCTGGATAAGCTTTGAATGGTGGCCAAAGGCCTCTCCTAGCATAAAAATGTATCTGCTTTGTGACAGCTCCCTGTGGTGACTCAGAAGCGCTTTTATAGGAGCTTGGAACTGAGGCAGTCTTGCTGGAAAAGACCCAAGAGGTGGTTTTTGTTGCATTTTCTTTCAAGGAGGTTGCTTCTGTTCTCTGTTTTGATTTGAGACAGGGTTTCCCTATGTAGCCCTGATGGGCTTGGAACTAGCTGCATTGGTAGACCAGGCTGGCTTCAGACTTACAGTGATCCTCTTACCTCTGCTTCCTGGAAGGTGTTTTAAACTAATCCCCTGGTTTTCCAAAGATGAAATGAACCCAGGGAAGTTAAATGACTGGGTCAAAGTACACAGCTGTGTGGTGCCTCCATAGTAGAGTCCCCTGACCCCCAGCCTGGGGCTCATTCCATTGCCTCTTACACTCCATGCCAGTCTCTTTGACTTTGGTGGGCCAAGGAAGTCTAGTCTGTCTACCCCTCCATGGTGATGACCCCAGAATAAAGCTGAGAAACCATCCACTGAAAGAGAAAGCTTGACTTGCCACTTGGTAGTACTAGGGAGCTGGAGAAAGGACCAGTGAACATACTCTAGGCTTCATGCATCAATCCTTGGAGTACCACATCTTAAATGTTCCAGGGCCTCCCCCTCCCACTGTCACTATAATCAGTGAGAAATGGTTCCCCTCAGTAAAGAAACTTGCCAGACATTTACATTTGCACCTCTGCCTCAGCTTCTAGGAACCCTAGAGAGAGCTCATCTGAAACCTTCAACCTCTGACCCTCAGGAGAAAGGTGATTTTAACCCAGAATCATGAGTGAGCTGTAAACTCAAAAATATGTTCTTGGGGAAACAGGACACAACAGACGGCTTGGGTCAGCTAAGTGTTACCAAGTTAAAGACAGTAAACTGCTTTTGTTTTGGAACCTGTCCTGGAACTTTCTTTGTAGACCAGGCAGGCCTCGAACTCACTGAGATTCATCTGTCTCTGCCTCCCGAGTGCTGTCTCTTTGCTGTTTTGCTATTTCCTTGTGGCTTAGAATGTAAAACCAATTGTTCAGATCTGTTCTGAATAATTTATCTTTCATATTAGAAAAAGATCAAGATTTTACTAACATGTAGCCTCAACTCTGAAGCTTATCAATGGCTGCTACCAGGCACAAAGATGACCAAGTGTCATCTTTGCTCTACAAATCCTTTTCATTTAAGCGATACGATATGTGAGATATTATCTGTAGTCATTTTCTTACCAGAAGTAAATGAATGATGATTATCAAAGCCATTATTTAAGGACTTTGAGTGGGATGCTTTTTAGGTCTTCAACAATCCCATGAAGTTGGTACTAACATGGTCCCTACCGTCAGGAAACTTAAGTTTCAAGAGGCCATGTTATTTGTTTGGGTTCCTCTGGGGTGGGGGCGGTATTCCCAGACTGTTCAATTTTTAGAACTCTACTCACTGCTCTTAGTAGTTGATTTTCCAGGTAATAGGAATTTTCATCAACTAAACACAGGTCCCACAGTACCTTGGGAGCAGCTGCAGTCCCTTGTGACCCAGGTCAGACATGGGCCCTCAGTTGGAGCTCAGTCTTGCAGAGTCACCATAAAATGAGAAGTTTATTTCTTGGCTGGGAAGATGAAGTTTGAACACCTCTCTACAGCAAAATCAGCAAAGTCAAGGCACTTTCCCAACTTTTGATGTAAGCCTTTCTTTCCCTCTGTCCAGATTTCCTGTGCTCCGAGCTCTGACACACAGTGTCCCAAATATCACAGGCTCCTAGACCTTTGTTTGTCCCTGTATCCTTGATTTTTGCTTTCTCAACCTTTTCTCTTAGAAATGGCTATTCATCCTCCAAAGTCCAGGGATTATACTCTCCACAGGAGCCCGTTTTCAACTCTCCCAAGCAGAATTTACTCCCACCATAATTCTTACACCTTTCTGGTATTTCACATCATAGCATCATGTTCAGTTTGGTTTCTTTTCATTTTCACTTTGACACTTTCTTTCCTTCCTCCCTACCAAAAATCCCACTCTCCTAACCAAGGCTTCAAAGTCGGGTTCTGGAGCTGGCCCACCTCCCAAGGGAGTAAGAAAGCAACACATTCTCATCTGTACCACGAACACCAACATAACACACAGTCAAATTCAAGATGGCGCCCCACCCCAGTAATAGTCTCTCCTTCTGGGTTTCTCTAAAACATTTTAAAATTTTTGTGTGTGGAAGTGGTATTGTGGTGTGTGCATATATGTGCATGTGTGTGTGAAGGTCCACATACCCATGTGCGTACCTACCAAAGTCAGGAGGCCATGGTGTCTTCTTCTATCTCATTCCATGTTATTCTCTGGATAGGATCTCTCACTGGATCGGAAGCTCACCATTTTAGCTAGACCATCTGGCTAGTGAGCTCCTATGATTCACTTGTTTATACCTCCCAATCCTGGGGTCACAGGCATGTAACCTAGCTCTTATATGGAAGCTGGGGATTTTAACTCAGGTCCTCAGACTTATATAGAAAGTGTTCTGTAGGGCCCTGCATGGACAGAGGCACCTTGAGCAAGCCTGAAGCTGTTGGCTGGAACATCTTGCACCAGAGTAGTTCTTGGTACTCTTCTTGATTTGCTAACACACTTTTGCTGGGGAGGAACTAAGCCGGAGAACTTGTACACTTGACCCTTGATTGTTTTCCACTGTGCTGTGAGTCAGTATATAAGCCCACTCCATCCCCTCAATAAATGGCATTTGGCATTCAGCATTTCAGCTGCACCAATGACCTGCTGTCTTGTCTTTTATTTCAATCTCTAGGCCTTTGCCCGATTAGTGGAACAGATTGTATGTAGCACGGGCACTACAGTGTTCTTCCCCATAGAGCCATCTCCCTAGCCCCTCTAATACATCTTTTTTATACTCATCTGCTACCACCATTCTTATTTTTTTTAAACACAATTACTCATTCATTAAAAAAAAATAATAATTACAGGAGTAAAGGGATGACTCATCAGTTAAGAGCCCTGGCTGTTCTTCCAGAGGACCTGCGTTCAGTTCCATAAGGCTGCTATTAACTGCCTGGAACTCCAGTTCCAAGGGATCCAATGCTTTCTTCTGACCTCTGTGGGCACTGCATGCATGTGGTGTACAGACACACATGCAAGTAAAACACTCATACATAAAAGAAAAATAAATAAATCTTTACATTTATTTACTTATTTATTTATTTGAGGGTGAGTGTACCAAGGCATGACTGTGGAGGTCAGAGGACAACTTGCAGCAATCAGGTCTCTGATTCTACCATGTGGGTCCCAGAGATGGAGATTGTCAGGCTTGGTGGCAAGTGCCTTTCTTTGCCCTCTGAGCCATGTGGCCAGCCCTCAGTTCCTTGTTATTACTATACTTCCCGCATCTTTTCTCCTTGGGTCCTTCTGACAAATGTGTGATATGGTTAAGGACCATCCCCGTTTTGGGGATAAAACAACCAGATTTCAGCTAAATGTCTTACTGACATCACATGAATGACTTATGGTAGTGACCCATCTAACCTGATCCCAAACCCTGATCTGTAACTTTGCTAATGCTCATATCTACGTGACAATCATCTGAAAGGAGGAACCTGGCCTTAAACACTCCCTGGCCTCCCGCACGTAGTTATGACACGCCAAGGTAGAAAACCACAAAGGAGGGGAGGGTACTAGTAAAAATTGCAACATTACTGAGCTATTGAAAAATTTTTCCACTCAGGAGGCAGAGGCAGGCTGATCTCTGAGTTCAAGGCCAGCTGGTCTACAGAGTGAATTTTAGGACAGCCAGGATTACCACAGAAAAAGCATGCTGGAGTGAGGAAAACGTAGTGCCTCTGCCCAGAAATGTTTACATCAGTGGTTCTCAACCTGTGGGTCTCAACCCCTTTGGGTTGCATATCAGAGGTTGCATATCAGATATCCTGCATATAAGATATTTACATTACAACTCATAACTAGCAAAATTACGGCTATGAAGTAGCAATGAAATAATTTTAAGGTTGGAGGGTCACCACCACATGAGGAATTGTATTAAATGGTCACAACATCAGGATAGTGGAGAGCCACTGATCTACATAGCTCTGGGCAAATTATTTAACCTTGTTGTGCTTTAGTGACTTGGTTGGTAAAATGAAATTAAAGACGGTGACAAAGCAATACTCCCTCTGCTAAGACAGTGGACTGATTTAACAGCTGGGAGCCACTGAGAATGGGGGTCAGGCCTTTGGTGAGTCCTCCACACCTACTGTTACCATTCCTGGGTTATGGAGAATTTTCTGGAAAATTCCTGAGAGCATGAAGCAGGCAGGTTCCCCACAGGACACTGTATAAGGCTGGCTTTCAGGAAACAGGGAACATAAAAGCCACGGAGAGCAACAAGCCCTTTACACAACTCCAATGCCCTCTGCTGATACTGTCTGCAATGTTGACAAAACTAAACAAACAAAGCTCCTGTCAGAGAGTAACCTTCAAACATTTGAGAACATCCTAGGGTGGCCAAACCTGCAGAGCAGCTGTGGGAGCTGGGACCCACGCTGCCTGATATTATCAAACGCCTTGGTAAAGTCAACAAATTAAAATTGCAAGGTGCTTCTGGATTTGTTCTGTGTCTGCTTTCCAGCACAGATCACATTTCAGCAAGGTGTTCTGGGCTCTGTGGCTTAAAAATCACGGATTAATTTCTGCTTTCAGATCCTGCACACACATACTATCCCACACAGGGATATATCCAGAGAAGTGAGATGCTGTCTACTTGGTAAACGACACCTTGGAGTCCCTCCAGATACAACACTGGTGGTAGTAAGCTAAGCTAGAATGTGTTCAGAAAAACTAAGATTAGCTGATCCAGGTCATTAATACACACACACACACATACACACACACACACACACACACACACACACACCTTGAGCTAGCCTTTAACTTGTTATGTAACAGAGGTTGCTATGAACTTCTGACCCTCCTGCCTCCACCTCCCAAGTGCTGGAATTACAGGCATGCATCACCACACAGTAGGTTTGTCTGATGTATGCACATACAAGTGTGCTTGTGTATGTGTGTATGTGTGTGTGTGTGTGTGTGTTTGACCTAGGCTAGTGTTGAACTTGCTATGTACAGAGTAGGGAGGCACTGTTACATGTCCTGCAGTTACATGCTCCGCAGTACACTAGACAGTACCCTCACAGCACCGTTCAGCTGAAGATACCCATGGTGCTGAGTCTGAGAGGAACCTTGGGCGAGGTGATCTCTAAGTTTTCATCGAGTGCCAAAAGTCTGGTGTTTCTGAAATTCTTTGTTTCCTTTAACAAATGTTTAAATAGTGGCTGCTGTCTCTTCTGAGAGGAGAGTAATTCAATCACATAGTAAACCTCACACAAAACACTAACATGCCCCTGCACCATTCCTGCCAGGCTGCCGATCAAGTGTTGGGAAATTCATCACCTCAGATCTTGGCAAGGATTCTTGTGGCATCAATGGTCACCTTCCAGGATGCTATACACAGTTCTACCTTCAGGCAGAACTTCCATTCTTTCCCTTTTTGTTGCTGGTGGTAGCTTCAATCACTCTCACTCGCTCACTGGCAAGTCCCTTACATGCTAAGGGCTCATTGACACAGTTCGTTGAAAGTGGCAGCCAGGAGCCTCAACGGAAAATATTTGCTGATCCTCACATTCGAATTTCAAATCCTAAGAATGCCACATTAACTCTGCCACTTCACATAACACAGGCACCCATTGCTTTTTCTAAACTCTGCATCTCTTTCATATCCCTAGACTCAAACATTGGAGGATGCTCAAACATTCCTCCAGGAAAACCGAGAACAGAAGCATCTAGGACCAATGCCTTGCCTTCTTAAAAGTAGAGATAGAGTATATGCCACTCCAGTCCACAGCTGAATTAGGATAAAATGACCACAGGGAGCAGTTCACTGGTGTCTATATGCAAAGAGCATGTCAGGGTGGGCCAGCTGCCGGCACAGCTGATTCAAGCTATGATGGTTTCAACACAGCTTTTCTAATTTGACTCTAGGATTTATCTTTGCTTCCCCAGATACTTACTGCAGTTGTCTCCTTTACAGACACTGGAGGTCCCACAGGGTCATCACACCTGCGGAAAGAATTTGAAGTCATTTCATTGAGGAGGTTGACTTTCACCAGGAAGAAAAACACCAATAGCACATTTACCACTACATGTCACTAATGTCACTATCAAGAGAGGATGAGATGTGTCTCTAGAGAAGGTGGGGAGGGTGAGAAGAGGGGAAACTAAGATTCGTGTGTAAAATAAAAAAGAATGTTTTTAAAAATAAAAATAAATTTAAAAAAAATCACTGTAATAAAAATAACTGAAGAAAACAACATAAGGATGTATTTCTAATGCTCTATAGGAGGGCACCTCGTGGTTAGTGCATCATTGAGCAAAATTTCAGAAAAGGTCTCCTGTGGTTGCCACCCAAGTAGATTTGTGTTTGAGCCCAGGTTGGACACTGATTTTACTCAGACATCCCACACTTTCAAGGCAGAGATTACAGCTGTGTCCACTTCACTGATGATAAAATAAAGTGCAGGGGAGATGGGAGACAGAAACATTTCTGTTTCTGGGCATTTATATTTTAATTGTCAGGGTCAGAATTAATTGATAAGAACCATTAAAAAGAAAAAGAAAAAAAAAAAAGAAAAAGAAAAACAAGCCTTACAAAAATTGCTTCTGGGTGATTTGTTCACAAAGACACCCAACTTAACATGACATTATTTTGGACGTAAGCAAGTGTATTGCTTCTCTCAATTCAGCAATAAAGAGAAAACTTTACAATTCCTAAGTCCAAAATGGCTATGTTGGTAACATAGCTCAGCAGGCAAAGACATTTGCCACCAAGCCTGCCTACAGAGCCGGATCCCTAAGACCCATATGGTGGAAAGAGAGAGCCAGCTCCCCCAAATGGTGCTCTGACCTCCATATGCCCGCTGTGGTACGCACATGCACATGCACACACAAAATAAGTAAATCTACAAATGAAAAGGGATAGATGTGGAGCTGGGCAGTCACTAATCCTGTGCCAAGGTGTGTTCTTCCCTGTCCTGATACAGGGTTAGTAAACTGTCATGACTCACAGCTCTCTGTGAAAGTAGGCCACCTCCTCCACCAAGGCAGCAGCAAGGGAATCAAAAGTTGTACAGGTCAGGACTGTGGATCGGAACAGTCAAAAGTGGCTGGGCACCAGCTGTCCACCATCTACTTCCCTACTTCACGGTTAGTGAAATAAGCTGGGAGACCAGTGGTTTTATATTTTAAAGATATCCATAGTGGTTTTATAGTTAATCTCAGATTTTGAACAGAAATTGAATCAATGTGGTGGATTTTTTCATACTATCCTGAAATATCAGTTCTAGTAATAATATCTGCATGTTAAACACAGGTCAGGATTCCTTATCCAGTGTGCTTGGGACCAGAAATGTTTCCATTTTTCCTTCCTTCCCTTCCCTTCCTCTGTTTTTCTCGTCCTCCCTTCTCTTTCTTTCATTATTTTTTAAGTACTGGGTCCCACACATGCCAGACAAGTACTCCATCACAGAGCTGTATGTATCTCCAGCTCTCCCTCCCTCCCCTCCCCTCCCTCCCCCTCCCTCCTGCCCACCTGCCCTAGCCTGCCTGCCTTATTCATTCCTCCCTCCCTCCCTCTCTCCGTCTCTTGTCTCTTGTTTTGTTTGTGAAGCTACATTTCACTAAGTTGACACAGCTAGTCTTGAACTTGAACTCTGTCTACCTCAGGTTTTAAGTAGCTGGAATTACAGGCCTGTACCACTAAGCCCAGCTCTGTTTACTTTTAAAATTTAAATATCTGCAACTAATTAATGAGATGGGTTGGGGATTGGACTCAAGTATAAACACAAAATTCATTTATATTTCGGAAACATTTCACACACAGTGCCAGAAGATGACATAATCCAACTGCAGCCTATCACATGAGGTCATGAGGTTGGATGAGGAATTTTCTATTTGTAGGATCATCAACAGATTCAAATTTTGGGGGGTGGGCAGTGAGAAGGCTCATCCAATAAAGTATGAACCATCAAGCCTGGTGGCCTGAGTTTAGTCCCCAGAACCCACAGTGGAAAGAGAGAGCCGACTAAGGCAAGTTGTCCCTCTGACCTCCACACGTGTTATGGCATACACAGGCCCACGTACACACCCACTAAATAACAAATAAATAAATGTAAACAATATTTAAAATTTCAAGTTTGAGGTTTTTGGATTGGGATGGATGTATTGTTCATTTATTCACCTGCCCTGTGAGTCAAATTCTTGCTATGCTTCTCTTGGTGGCTGGCCTGAACTCACTGTGTAAATCAGGAAGGCCTTGAACCTGCCACAATCCTGCATCTGCCTCCCGAGATTACAGGGAGAGTATTGCCTCATCTGCTTTTATTCTTCCCCTGTCCACACCAGTTGAAGCTACATTCCTCCTACAAGCTGAGCACACAAACCAGTCTTGTTTTGAAATCTTTGAAGGGGACAAATATGGCGGAGACAGGCACTCCGTGTTTTCAGGGTGTTTTAACCAAGGGAAGCATAAAGAGCTGTAATACCATTTTAACCTCAATAAGGAAAATAAAGAGAGGTGAGTGGATGCATGGACACTGGAGTAGAAACACACACTTCCAGAGGATGCACAGGGGAGCAGTAGGGAGAAGGGGGGAGCTGCTGTGAAGGTCAAAGGGCAGGGTGGGCAAAAGCTGACAGCCTGACTCCGGGAGGGATTCAGGCCTGCAATCCCAGCTCTCAGGATGCAGAGAGGATCACACACATTTGAGGCCAGAGCCTGATCTACACAGCAAGTTCCAGGTTAGCCAGCTCTTCCAGAGGGCCCAGGTTTGATTCTCAGCACTGACATGGTGGCTCACAACCGTCTGTCAGGAGATCTGATGTCCTTTTCTGGCATCCATAGGCACCAGACATGCACCTGGTACACAGATATATACACAGACAGAACACTTTAAATAGGATTTTAAAATAAATACATAAAATTGAAATCAATAAATAGATAAAATACCCCACCCCCAAAACAAAAGGCTTGGAGATAGGAATGTGAACAATTTGGGTGGGAACTGGCAAGCAATTCAGTTAGCCTCAAGCCAAGAGAACAACCCAGATTGTGCCAATTCTTTTCATAATCCTAGTGACTGCAGCCCTCATCGCTGGTGCAGCCCCACAGCCAGCGTCTCACTATCTCCCTAGGCCCCTTATCTGATTTGGAGTCAGTGCAACAAGGGCAGGCTGCTGAAGTGGCAAACGGTACAGGGAATGTCCGTGCCATAGACAGGACAGAGTGGGATCGGGTGCAGGTGCAGGCTGTGTGTGCTCCCACACACTTTGTAAGAGGGGAACTTCCAGCTTCCCGGGAGGCCCACATCTCTGTAAGCCCCGAAGGCCTTCCACACATCTCTGGTGTCATGAAGGATAGGCTGGAAAAAGCCCTCCGGACTGGGCAAAAATAGCTCACCATTTGCATTTATCCCCAAGTCCCTAATGATGTCACACACTGAAATCTCTCACAAATGTCCTCACTCCTTCCATTCCAACCACGCTGCCCGATATTAACCTTGCTTCTCTTCTGGAATCCCCTCCATCCTTCATGCCAACAACAGAGAGGTCTTTGTAAAACTCAGACCCCATCTTTTCAATCCCCGCCGAAAATCCCGATTGATGGGAATTGTTCAGAACCTTTACATGACACAAGGATTTTCTTTTAAAAATTGTTTCTGTCATTGCATTTGTTTATTTATTTAGTGTGTGTCTAAGCACACGTACACAAGTGCATGTAGAGGTCAAAGCACAATCTTTTCTTCCTCTTTTTCAAAGCACAATTTGCAGGAGTTGGTTCTCTCTTTCCATCCTGTGTGCCCTAGAGATCACACTTGGGTCATCAGGTTTGGTGGCAAGTGTCTTCACCTGTTGAGGCATCTCACTAGCACAGGGCTTTTCTTTTATCTGGTGAGCCTCTTAAGCAAGCCCTCACCCACCCAGCCTTATCTCCCAGCTCTCCTCCTAGACATCTCTGGGCCTGTCAACTTAATTCCACCTCAATTATTCTCTCCTTTCCTGCCTTTGCAGATGCCATTCAGAAATCTTCACGTAATAGGGCAGGGCAGGGCAGGGCAGGGCTCAGGAATATTCTTTTCTAACACTTTGATCACCTACACGGTCATAGATAGTTTAGACCCCATGGTTAGACATGGTCTTCCTGTCTTTCCATCCTCATTCCTTCCTATCTCATTAACAAACACTACTGACTCAAATCAGGATTCTCTCTCAAATCCATCCTTGTCTCTGCACCCTTGTTACAGCATCCACAAGCTCTTGCCTTTTAGTGCAGTAGCCCTTCGCTGTCCTCATGTCTCCAAGTTTGTCCCAATCCATTCTCTGTACATGGCCCACAGTGATCAGGACAAATTGAACCATGCCTCTTCCTGAAAAATGAAGAGTGAGATAATTGTCTAAATCCATGAAACCCTACTCAACCTAGACTCTACATAATTCCTAGCCTCATGTCCCCTATGTCCATTTCTTTCTGTCCCCTCAGCCAGAGGGAATTTAACAGACATCTAATCTTCTTCACATACTGTCCTTTGCTTGCACAATTATCTTACACTTGAAGGATGCTATAGATGCCACTCTCTCCAGAAGACTGAACCAGACTTACACTAAAGACCTGTCCCTCTGATGTGATCCCACACCATTCATAGCCTTTCTCCTCGGCCTCTGATTTTGTATTATCCTCGCAAGAACACAAGCCGTTGAAGGGGAGTACTATCTACGCTGGTCCTGTGGAATTCATGTGCAGTCTGACTGAATAAAGGAATGAACATGGTCATTCCCCTTCCCCCATTTGCTCTTCCTCTCTCATCCATTACCATCCACCTGGTTACCCAAGGCAGAACAGAAGGGACTTCACCTCTGCGTCTCCTTCTTCCTCATCTGCCGCATCCAGTTGCGACTGTGTCTTGACTCCGCATGAAATCATGCACACATCTGTTCATTTTTTACATTTGTTACCCCAGTAACGTAGTTAGTGCTTTCTTGTTGTGACCAATACCCAGCAAGAATCC